TTTCCGTCGACGACTAGGACATCACCAACGCTGATGCTGGTATTCTTGGCCAGCGCCGAGCCGTACACGTATAAGCCTTCTGAGACGCGCTTGTTGTAACTCGGTTTGATGGATCGCAGCCATATGCCTTCAGGGCCCTTCGCCGTCACGATTCCCGTTACGTTAGTAACATTGTGGCCATTGAGCGGCGATAAGAAGCGATCACCGTTGATCTGAGCGATCGACTGCCCAGAAACGCTAGTGACTGCAAGTAGGGCGGCCGCAAGCCACCCGAGGAGTGTAGTGGTGGTCATCATTATAATAGGAGCCGTCCTAGTGACTTCGATGTACTTGAGACCGGAATACACTACGGTTCTGGACCTTCATTAGAACAGAAAGGGGAGCATTGCCGTATTATATACTCCCGTCTGTACGAAGAGACCGCGTGCATATCGACGCGCGGATATGAAAAGCGGACGCCTATCCCGAATCCAGCTATCACCGAGCTGCAGGAACACGGAATCTAGATCTAAACATCGCAAGCGTAAGAGGAACCCCATCGCAAGACTTTCCCATTGGCGTCGTGGCTACCGAGCTGATATGGGGGAGATAACCAGTCGTATCGACGAATCCAGCCCACGTTGTACGCCTACGGTCTTGGCGATTTCCAGAAACCGAAGGTGGATGATACCTTGCGGTTCGGCCGTTGGCCTTGGCATCGGTGATCCAATCTATTGGTACCCCCCTTCGTGATATACGTCAAAGGGCGAGGTAATAGGAACTTCGCCGCGATCTAAAAGACTCGGACTAAGACAAAAGCAAAGGCAAATAAATATATCATGCAAGATTAGGAGGTAGATGTGCTTGCGATAGAAATCATATTCTCATTCTCATATTCGAACTCAAACGACTCAACTCGCTCGCTCAAGACGAACATCCAAAATCAAAGCAGCCAGGTTGTGTAAGGTAGGTACCCAAGCCGAGTAATACATGGAATATAATCCAAGAGTCCCCTGAATCGCCTTCCCAATGCATAGTATCTAAATGAATAGCCAAACCGTCGGCCACTTTTATACAAGAAGGGAAACACAGAATTATGCCCTTGATGGCCATAGGTGGTAGCAACTAGCCAAAAAGGATACATGAGGGTATAATAATATTCGACAACAAGAAAAGGAAGGGTTGGACTATCGGTCTAATCGAGGGCTTAGTGGACTCTTGCCGGGTCCTTGTGCCCTTTTCAACGCTCTGAGTTCATCCTCGAGCTTCCTCCGTACCATTTGTTCCGACTGTGAAATGTTAGTTAAATGAAATCATGGGAGAAAATATGGTTCTTAGGGAATATACCCTTAATTGCTCTTCGTATTTCTTCCTCTCGGCTCTCAGTCCCGACCTGTAGGAGTCGGTAAGGTATGAAGTCTTCAGACCGCCAGGCGATGGTGGTCCTAGACGCGCCGATCCTAGTCGCTCTTTGTCGAGCTCTTCCTGTAGTTGTTCCTTCTCCTTGCGTAGTCTCGTAATCTCGCGATCCAGTCTCTCTTCGATATCACTGGTAGCTTCATGGAGCCGCTTCTCGAGTTCGTCATTCATCATATCCTTCTCATCCTTAATCTTGGAACGTTCAGCTTTCACCCGGTCGAGCTCATCCTCTAGCTCGCCGATCTTCTTCTCGCTCTCGAGCGACTGCTTGACGACGTCAGTCAAGTCTTGAGCGGTGGCTTTCAGCTCCTTCTCTAGCACTTCAACTCTATTCTGCATTTTAGTTGATTCGTTATTGTTATGCAGAGCCGCAACTTCGGCAGCCCTCTCTTTTCTAGAACCGTAGGCTCCGTCAAGTTCGGCCTTAGCAAGAGTAGCTTCCATCTTAAGTTCGGCAACCATGCCTGTCATCTGTTGAAGCTCCTCGTCCTTGGTCTTGAGATCCCTCTCCTTCTCTCCAATAGCCTTGTCGGCAGCCTCCTTAGCATCATTGGCCTCCTGTAATTGTGTTGTGATAGCTGCAACATTAGCCTCTGCTGTTGCTAGACGCGCTTGGATTTCCCTAACGCTTTCTTCTAGCAATGCAATCTTAGCATTCCGCTCCTTAAGCTGCTCTCGCGCTTCGTCAATGGCAGTAGATTCTTCTGTTCGGCCCTTCTGTGACTCTTCAAGGTCCTGCAAGGCTTGTGAAAGTTGGAAGCGGGCGTTGTCTGTTTCCTTCTCTGCTTGATGAAGTAATTCTTTGACCTGTTCTACTTCGTCGATTTTGTCCCTTAATGCTTGATCCTTCTCGGAGTCAGACCTACTATTGAGCTCGCGCTGCTGCTTAATTTGACGTTTCAGAACACCCTTTTGCTCATGTAATTTGGTAGCTTGTCTGTACAGCCACTGAATCTTGACCGAGAAAGCTGACAATGAGTATTGCTCGTCAAAGTCGATAGATTCACCGTCGGACATATCATCCTCATCTGGCTCCAATCCCTTCTCTTGGCGAGCCTTTCGTCGTTCCTGCTTCCGTTTTCGTAAATCGGCGTACCCTGATTGAATGATGTCCCAGAGTCCCATGAGAACTGTTTCATATTGCTCGCTCTCGCCTCTGGTGACAGAGTTTGTACTAGCTGCGTCCGCAGCCCGCCGCAGCTCATCCTCAATAGTTGGTAACGAGTCCCGCAAATACTTGAGCTGCTCGTCAGCGCCTAGTTCCGCGTTCGGTGGTGGCGGATGATTTGTATTGGCTCCTAAGAGTATGTTTTGGACCTCAACGTTGAGCGTCCGTATCCTCTCTGCCACTTCAAGGCTATTACTTCGCTCTTGAGCAATAGCAATTAGTCCATTTTCAAGGTAATCTAGGTGGCTACCGATCATATCACCAGGCTCGAGTCGGCCTGATGGGATAGCACCGTAAGTATCGCTCTTGGCTGGATCCATGCCGATAACTATTTCACGCAGCCGGTAATTGAGCTGCTCTAGTGTACCTTCTGTGTCAGAAATTAGGCTCCATGGGTCTGAGCCTGAGCCTTGACCTCTGAGCTCGTTGATTTGCGCCTGTAGCTCACGATTTTCCTCACGTAGTCTCTCAGTCTCTTCCGTTAGCTGCCTATTTTGTCCCCGAACAGGTGACTTTAAGGGGATTTCAATAGCGTTCTGCCTGCTTCGATCCTCGGGTCGTTCGGATAAATCGAAGGATCGATACAAACTTGCTTCGTCAAAGATGAATCCGTCTTCCAAGAAATCCATGCTAAGACTGTCGCGGCCATTCATTGTAGTATACATGCTCTCGGGACTAGCGGGAACGCCGTTAAGAAGGGGGACTCTTGGGGATGGTGTTTTGCTATTTGCTTTGTGCGTGAGCTGAAGAATACCAGCAGTATGCTCCAGTAGTCGCCTCTGAGGTTCCATGGCGCGCTTCTCCAATGACCATAGTTCGGATGCTAGGTCTTCGCACTTCTTCTGGATCGTGCTGAGTTCATGTTCAGCCTCCCGTGCGGCATCAGTCGATCCACTGTGTCGATGACCTAGGAGACTCCTTCTCTTGAAATCAACTTTGGTTGGGGAATACAGTTTAGACATTGATATAGCAGCATCGCGATATTTGGATTGGATGGCAAGGGTTGACCTCGTCTGCTCGATTCGCTGATTTAGGATCTGGCATTGCTTCTTGAGATCATCGACTTCCTCCTGAGATAAAATCTCATACTCTTTGCTGTCGAGTAAGGCGGTTTCGGTGAGTAAATGTACTTGAACGGGATCTTTCAGGTCGACCAGTACCGAGCTTTGAACGCGCCCCGGATTCATCTAGTTTGATTGTGAGTACGCAACGAGGTGGATACGATGGCCCTCGAGCTAAGAAGGAGTTAGAACAGCTGCTTACTGGATTAAATCGCGGCTTGTCTCTTTCGAAGTCATTGAGGCTGTCTTGTCGATAGGAATCAACCAGTGCTGGACCCCTCGGCGCAATCGTAGGGCGCAGCGGTGGCGGACCTCCGTCGAAGCCATCATACCCACGGTTCGCAAACCCGTTCATTCTTGTCACTTTCGAGTAGAAAGGTTGGCTGTCAAATGCATTATACTACGGGGAAGGTCGCGTAGGAGTCGGTTACTCGTAAGTTTATTATGGTTGGATCGTTACAATCGGTTGTATTAGTAGTTGGCGCAAGTTTTAGTCGCCAGGCAGTCGAACAAGAACCCAAGATGAATTAGTTAAGAGAAATAAGAACACCAATTCAAACAGAAGCCCTAGTTAGTTAGTGGAGAAACAATCTGCAAGAATGATTCACCAGAACAATGGCGCAATATATATTGTAAGCAAGTCAGAGTCCAAAATGCGATGGTCGGTCGGGTTACGTAGTAATGAGATGAAAAAGGAGTTTTGTAGATTGAGGATCTACGATGTATTGTATGTATGTACCTAGCGTCTACCCGATAACCTAAATTTGATTGATTAGCGGCTCCACGCTGGGGCGGCAGCGCTAACCTGCGTTGAGTAATTAAGCGAAGCGCGCGTTGGTGTGGCTGGGGTGTAATATACCATAGTAAACGTATTCAACATAACCATGACTTGAATATTGCACAATTCTTTAACCTAGTTTTTTTGCTATGCATCCCTTCACTTGTTAATCTCGTATCTAAATTTCAGTCTTTACGTAGGTAGTAATTCGATGTTTGTTTGCTAGGTACCTCTTGTTATCTTAAACTATGGTACGTGTATAGATCTGTAAATTCACCGGCATTAGCTTGTCTAACATGTCACTTAAAATAAATGATGTATCCAGCCAGCTGATTATACCCCTGTCGTAGCACATGCGTGTAGTACCTATCAAACCTCACATATTAGAGACCCCATATGATTACATACATGTAGGTCTTATTAGGTTCTGATACAGCTACGGATCGCAACTATATAGGTATGCTTTACGTCTATCGCGTTAAAATGTATAAAAAGGTACCAAAATCGTAATTTCGCTTGGCGCAATGTTAACCAGCCGTCATAATTATCCGGCTCAGACCGTTGACAGGGGTGGATCGATCCTTTACTTTTAAACTTCTTTATACTTCAGCGTGATACGGCTTTATTTTTATTACTAGGTATTATATACGTATATAATTACTTTTGCGCCACTTCCATCTCGTAGATAGTTAAACCCTAGCTAGGGCTATGCTTGCCAGCAATGCCTTTGCTGCACACGTGGATGGCTGCTGCAGTGCCATAATTTTCGAAATACGGCGCCGACTGTTGGGTTGGCTCTTTGCAAAGCTTCTAAATAAACCACGGGTCCCCAAAATAGGGAGACATCGTGGCCGGTAGCGTGTAAGGGACGGTAGTTGATTTGACCAGACACTGGTGCATTTTATCTAGACCATACGCCAACTCTGTACTTGTGTAAGTATGCTATTTTAGGTATTCAATGCTGCGAATGACCTCTGGGGGCCGAACACGTTGGACCTACCTAAAACCAACGATTGGGTAAAAGTCGAAATACTTTTTTATTTGCTTGCCAATGGGTCTAAAATGCGCCTTGGAACTGGTCTATAACTTGCTGGCCCATGGTCCTGCGTCTTCCGCCTTCGGCGTCCGCTTGGCCCTGTGCGCCGCTTGTTGCGGCCGTAGATCCGTTTTCACCCTCGAGTCTCCTGCGCAACCCCTCGAACTCCTGACTCCTTCTCTGTGTTCGCATCCCCACAACCCAGCCAGGTAATCGCCATCGTATTAGTGATCGTGGTAAAACTTCCATCCTCCACGAGAGGCCCAACATCCATCCGACCAACGCACCGAGGAGAGATCCAGGCCACTGAAAGAGAGCTAGTTGAAATGCAAGGAGGTATCGGTATGACTTGTCAGAGAACGTAATGCCTTGTGTCTGATCGTCTGTTGAAGTGGATGCCGACGTTGCTATCTTATATTTATATATCGGCGGGACCATAGCATGGTACTGGGCTAAGATCGCAAAGATTATAGGTGTAGGCCCGGCAGGGAGGTAGTTGAAGAGCCCTAGCGTGAGTGGCCTTAGAAAGAGAGCCAAAACTGCGGGGGCCAACCAGCTGGTGAATAACGATGTGATGAAAACGAATGTCTATAGTATACCCGTCGTTAGCTAGATACACCAATACGGTAATAAGGAATTGTTCTTACAGCAAATTTCCTGGACCCCCACATCCTCTCAACTGCTCTCATGTTGTATAGAGTCATGGCAGCAAATAGTACCTCAGTCGAATTGGTATAGCAGAGCTGATAAATGAGAGCCCTCCATATCTGGTGAAACTGCCAAAGGTGTAAGTCGACAATGATATAGAAGTAGTGCTTGATATCAAGTAGGCTGACGCCTATTGATATCCCAATAAGTCCGTAGACAAGACTGCGCGTCACCGGGGCATTCGTAAAGGACATGATGTCAACTCGAGGTCTCGCGATAGCTATCGGCGCATCGTAGATCGTTCGTTAGATAACAGGTTAATGTAACCAGCATTTAAATAGGTAGCTTGGATCGATGTTATTGATCCTGTTGTACACAATCTTAAATAGGTATTGTGTACCTATGTATGTATAAGCGCGTAGATACGGAAAACGATGTCATCTGAACAATCAACTTCATTCCCGGACTAAGGAGGTACCTGCGTATCTTAATCATGGCCAAGTGTCTTAATAGCTATTACGTTTTGCTACATACTACTATATCCGTCTACCCGACACTACCGACATTATGAGGTAAATGACAAGGTCCAGGATAGTAGCTAAAATTTAATTCCATCTAAGCTTATCGATAGGCTTCGTAGCTCTTGCTAAGCCTCAATGTTGTTAATCATATCTGTCATGTGAACATTCCACCTGTGCAACATTTAAGACTTCAATTCATATGTAACGGCTAATAGCCACCATTGTCGTCATCGCACTACAATGCAAAATACATCGCTTTCCTCAAATCATTTTCTACGTTTGCTTGTTTCCCTCTTAAGCTAGAGCTATTCGTTAAACGCCTAGTCAACACTGTCACTAATTCACTATCAATTCAACCATGTCCGACCTCTACCTCTCGCATGTTAGGAACTGGATTCTTAAGTCTCCGCCGGCAGAATGGGTTATTAAAAGTGGCCGAGAGCTGCTTATAGGCACATTGAAGCAAGGTCCGATACCACAGCATGTCGCTTTCGAGATGGACGGAAATAGGCGCTTTGCCAAGAACCACAAGATCGAAACTATAGAGGGCCATCACCTAGGATTTGAGGCCCTAGCGAGGGTGCTCGAGATTTGCTACAAGTGCGGCGTCAAGGTAGTTACCGTATACGCATTCAGTATCGAAAACTTCAATCGACCTAGACACGAGGTCAGCGGCCTGATGGCGATGGCCAAAGTCAAGCTGGAACAGCTTGTTCAGCACGGCGAGCTTCTCGACCGGTATGGTGCTGGTATCCGGGTATTAGGAGAGCGTGATCTAATCCCGGACGATGTGTTACCATACGTCGACCGAGCCATTGAGATGACAAAACATAATAAAGAGTGAGTAGCTTCCCACGGATATGCTTGGGGAGATGGTTGCTAACTATATGTATTAGTGCTGTGCTCAACATATGTTTTCCTTACACCTCAAGGGCTGAGATGACCAGTGCGATAAAAGCTACGGTGGATGAATACACAACATCACCTCGATCAACGAACACACCATTCTCACAGTCGCGAATCACACAGAAGATAAGATCTAACAAGTCGAAAAGGTCGGACTCTTCTTCCCCTATGGACTCTTCCCCAGATGAAAATGGTGTATCGGACATCGATGATTCCATGTCTTCGACTACGGCATTGGATCCGGGATCGCCTCCTCTACAGTCAACACCAGTGAAGCCCACCAGGTTCAAGAACCCGGAAAGTATCACAACTGAAACTATCAATAGCCACACGTATACTGCCGAGTGCCCACCCTTGGACATGTTCATCCGTACTAGTGGTGTTACGAGATTGAGCGATTTCATGTTATGGCAATGCCATGAGAATACCCAAATATTCTTTCTGAAGTGTCTGTGGCCTGAGTTCGATTTGTGGCACTTTATTCCTATACTTTTAGAATGGCAATGGCGACAGAAGAAGCTGACAGAGAAGGAGGGATCGCGGAAATGAGTAGACGAATGATGCAGCATACCCTTTGTATTGGCGTTGAAGCGTACTCGTTTGAGATTGATTTTTAGTACCGGCGACGCGTACTTGCTACCGGCTGAATTTTAGTGACGTAGGATAAATAATATACTGCAGAAAATAGTCCTATCACGCAAAGCAAAAGCTTAGAAAAAGCTTATAAAAAGCTTATAAAAATGCGCATCATGTAATTGCACGGTAAAACGCGGGTTAGGTAACATGCTCGCGAATGGATGTACCGAGGCTTGTAGGGACTGCAGACGAAAAACGGAGCCTAAGTCTTGGCTGTTGAAGTCATTGTTTTTCTTATCTTATCAACCTCTGTGCGGATTAATTATGATTTATCGGATCAACGGTCGCTTCCATAGGGGGACTTGCAGGGTCCAGTAAACAGTTTACCAATAGTTGAATATAGCTCAATGATTATTTAATAGTCATATGTAACTAAACGCTTATATTACTACGCGTTGATGAATATATATATTTAATGAGATTTAGGCGTCTAAACCGTTTAAACGTTTAAAATATTTTCAACGCTTGCAACTTTCAACGCTTAAATTTTTCAACGTTAGAACGTTTAAGACTAGTACGTACCTTACAGATTAAGAAGGAAAGAGAGACATATCAATTGAAATTACGAGGCAGGCAGTATTGTAATGCCTTGTAGTCTATTTGAATAAGCCGTAATACATTCGTAGTTCAATTGTAAAAGTAACAGTAGTAAAAATGATCCTATTCCAAGTATGTGTAATAGTAGTAGTATGCGATACCTAATAGTAGTATGCGACACCTAATAATAGTATGCGATATGGGAATATATCTATTTTTTGCATGTCTTATACCTTGTATATGATAGTCTATTCATAGTTTATACCCTTTAAACGTATAAAGGGTTTCAACGTTTACACTTTTCAACGCTTAAGATATTTTCAACGCTTACCACCTCCAACGTTGACGGGTCGCAACGTTTAAATTTTTTTAAATATTTAAATCAATTGAAATAATTATATTTATCAACCCTCGCTCAAGTATCCGCATCCTTATAGACGTTTAAATTTATCAATCATAGACCGAGTATCAATTAATGGTTTATTGGACCTAGCAGATCCTGGTATGGTTGTTTTTTTCTGTGCTGTCTGGTCATAGCTACCCAATCAAGCCAATTGAAATGCCGCTTCCGTGTGTACCTAGTACAGGCATGTACAAGCCCACATTATCAGAAGGGTTGCCCGCCGATAGAAACCCGCGCGCAAATGGGGACTTAGCAACTGGGCTCAGCAGTGCAGAGTGCTTAGCAACTTTCTGGGCCGACTCAATTAATAAATCTCATCCATCCAGTTGTCCACCTCATCTTCGCAGTTTTGCGCTTTCCCCCCTTCTATGAAGCTCTACTCGTATTCCCTTTCATACTACTTCTACTAGTATCCTTCTATTTTTTATACTCAAAATGACATAAACTTCATTTATTGAAGCTTCTTGTCCATTTAGTAGTTCCTTCGCAAAGTCTCCGAACCTCTCCAACAAGAAATCTACTTCCCGTTTTCTCGCGTCTCCTATCTCGACTGGACCTACTATTTAAACCCGCCTGAGAAACCAAGATGAAAACTGCGAAGCTACCTCAAGCGGACGCTGGTCCCTCCTCAAATAGAAGAGCCCAACCTGTTCGCCAAACCCGAGCGAATCCCCCGCGAACGTCGTCTGGTACAGCCCGCACTTTCGCTGGCAGAGATTCTCTTGGAGGCGGCCATAGTCACGATCAACCTATCGAGGTTTTCCCCGCAATTACATACTTCACCGATTCTATAACATCGCTCCCTAAAGATCTCGTCCGACACTTTACTCTTTTAAAGGAAGTCGACGCAAAGATATTTGCCCCCGAAGAAACCCTCTTCCAACTTGTAAACGCCGCTCTCAAGTCGAGCCCCTCCGAACCTAGAAATGCCAACGATGCATCCAGTAGCATCGCTACCGCCTCGACGCCAATGAGCGCCCAGAATAGCTCGAGCGGGTTCGCTGCGAATGGTAATACTAGATCGATCGACGATAACTATAGCTCTACGGTGTTTAACCCGAGTAATGTCCCGCGACGACAGCTATTTCATCAAACCGCCCTCAAAGTCCAGGAAATGCTGGTGTCCTTAGAAGAGAAAAACCATGTCATATCGACTGCGAACGAGGCGCTATCTAAACAACTAGCTCGGATTAATGACGTCTGGCCGCACCTCGAGGGTGAGTTCAGCGACGAGGCTAAATGGGGTAGCACTACACACTGGGCCTATCCAGAGAATAGGATCAATCGAGCGAATCAAGCTGAGCGATCGCGCCGAGATGGGGCAGCTACTATCACAGCTGCGGCCCAGCAGCTTGCTGAAGAAGCTGCAGCACGAAGTGACGCGAGAAAACAAGCGCTCATAGCTAAGAAAGGGCTTAAGAATCAACACCAAGACTCGGATGTAGATGACCACGAGAACAAGCACAGGGGAGAACCGACAAAAAAGGCCTCTAACAATAACCACAGCAGTAAGGCTCGAAAGGCTGCCGAAGCAGCCGCACCTGTTGGACTGGGTATTACTTCAGGCACTGTTACGAACACTCCCAACGGGAATCCTCCATCCAAGAGACGAAAGGTGGAAGCAAATAAGCCGGCCAACGGGGGGCAGCCAATGGAACGCGCAATGAGCTCTGCCCTCGGCAATGGGACGAAGCCCAAAAACTCGAGCCCTAGGGCAACACCTGCACCCGAACCGCCTAAGAAGCGCAAAGCTCTTCCCACCGTAAACGGTACCTCGAAAAAGAGGTGAGCATACCTCATCCTACCTACTTCCACTACATACACCTCAAGTGTTTCAGTTTACTAACTTGGAGATTCTCCCCTAGCAAAACGGCTACCGCAGCCGCCGTGCTTTCTCCTTCCATCGCAGCCTCTCCAATCCAACCAAACTTCGATCCCAAAGCCGCCGCCCGCGGTTCACCTGCGCCTTCTACAACCTCAGCGCGTCCCGCATCATCTCGAGCGAGACAAAACTCGATACAGTCCACCGTAGAAAATGGTCGGCAGCGACCTGCCTCATCCGCTCCAAACAGGCCAAATGGCGTCGCGGCTACAACTCCGGAGCTTACGGCAGCGCACAACGGCGTTCGTCCCCCGGCTGATGCTAAACAAAATAAAGAAACCGTAGCAACCGTGAAGATCGAGGCTACTAGGGAAGAAGCGGTCCTTACCATCGCTAGTACTAGTTCCGTCACTACGAGTAACAAAGCCATACCCAAAGGTGACGATGCGGAACCTAAAGGGGATCCCACACAAACCCCATTAGCAGCGTCCACGCCCGTCGTCACCACCAAGAGCGGGCGAGCTAGTAAGCCGTCAACGCCAGCATTAGGATCATTCCCAGACCCGCCACCACGATCTCGGTCATCGCGAAATGCGTCGAGTACCAATGGGAAGAGGAGCCATAAGAAAGGCGCAGCCCAGCAACTCGCAGCTCGGCTCGCGAATGCAGATGCGAACGGCAGTATACAGGGCGACGACGACGCTGATGTTGATGCTGACGAGCCACTGTACTGTTATTGTAATGGAGTGAGTTATGGCGAGATGGTCGCATGCGATGCCGATGATTGTGAACGAGAGTGGTTCCATCTCGATTGCGTTGGCTTAAAAGCAGCCCCACCATCGAATAGTAAGTTTGTCAAACGTCCCCCAGTATCAGGGATGGATCAGCTAATAGTTCTCCTAGTGAAATGGTATTGTGATAATTGCAAGGATCGTATGAGAGCCGGGAAGAAAGTAAATGGCAGATGATTTGCTCCTTTACTGCATGTTTTGCTTCAATAGGTATACCAAGCGTCTACTTAGAAATCATGGAGTTTACGGTGTTCATTGAGCCATACGATAGTCGGCATTTAACAGGGCACTTTGGGGTTGAAGATGCAATAGGACCTCACGTATATTGGCGTCTCGGGATTCGAAACCTCTGGGAGGGGTATCTAAAGCGCCTAGATACCTAAATTATTGCTTTGGGGGGCTACTTACTAGGTAAAGGCTTGATATGGTGCCGACGAGCTGCTCCTATGTGGCCCGGAGTATGTTTTGGGGAAATTTATCACGCCAATGGAAACGCGGGTTAGATAGATATTGGCGTTTCTGTACATTTTTTCAGACTCCTATGTAGAGAGTCGCTATCAAAGCTAAGAACATACGTTGATATTATTGTGAACTCTACATGTATGTAAAATATCAGTAGGACTTACGAGGAAATCAGATCTACTCGAAAATATTTTATCACCTCCGAATTATATCCAGAATAGAATCATCAATATTCATAATCTTAATTTAAGGCATCGGCTACATAAATTCCTAGTTTTAGGCTGACAAGTCCACGTCTAATAATGGACGGTCAAGTGTTAGCACCATCTGTCTTCAACCACCTTAGGTACTTCTACGCATGGTATATATTTACATGGCTAATACTTATTCCCCTATCCACTTTGATGTACCCTTTACTTAGTTACACTTACAGGGAACAAGTTTAGGTAAGTTTAGGTAACATTTCCCTTAGAGACCGGAATATGAGCCGCAATGTTAGACATGGAGTAGCCAATATGCAAAGTGATTGGCCGTCCGGAATTTACCAACAAGGCGTGAGGCTATTTCCCCGCAAACAACTATGCATATATACTATGCATCATCTAGCTAAGTGCTGCAGGTCCAGCACATATCGACGGCTTAGCTAGATCGGCACACCTGATCTCTGCAGACAAGGGGTAAGCATCAAACGTTGCATGGTGAAGGAGGCTAATACCTAATAACAACACCTTCCGAGGACTTCTGAAAATTGCATGTTTACTCCTAGAGCGTCTGATTAGTCTTAAATGCTGAATGACCCTTTTCTTTTCTTTTCTTCTCCTTGGCCACGTGAACTCGGTTGCACATGTCCACGATATAGCATCGGGTTGAGTCGGCTGGAACCGAAACTAAAGGCGGTCAAAGACTCCGTAAAAGGGTCATGTTCTAATACTATATCATCTTCTCCTTATTTTCAACTGAAATGCTCAAAACGGATCGTTATGATTATTAAACAGCCTTGAATAATGGCTAAAGAAAGTAAGAAACGAATGCATCTGATTAGGTCAGTTAGGAAGCACAAGACCAAAGTCACCCGTCATATCCTATTGTAAGATGGCGACAAAGCACTTCTAATATGTACCTAGTTAGATGTAGTAAGACGATGTAATTTCGACTCTGCGATATCGCAGCCGTATGGAGCTCGGATCAAGCATTGTAAATGAAGACTCCAAGTGGGAAACGAGTAGATCATACTCATACGGTGGTATTTCATCAACCGCCATATTCTCAAAATACTACCTACCTCGAAAATATCATGGAGTAGTATACGAGATGAATCCGTGTTCTGTTACGTAGAGGTTAAGTACAAGTAAGGCAAGTACATGCAGTATTGCGATATACGTACATCAAGCAGGTATAGGAAGTACCGCGGAAATCCTATAATCGAATCCGGGGAAAGGAGAAGGAACGTCTTAACGCCAATTGGCCAAGAATATTAATGACGGTCCTGCGGTCCACGCAGCGTTGCACATACACTACATAGCAACTAATGTAAACTTTCGCTAGACTCGGCTAGCTTTGATTTTCGAGCTAGTCGGACCCCATAACAAAAGTGAGCAAAGCCAACCTTCGTTCCGGAAGCTCCAGAAAAAACTTGACCTTCCCTTCTACTAGTTTCCCCAGAGTTTAAAAAAAATTAAAAAATTCCACATCGCGATGACGATATTGCCCCGTAAACAATAGGCCTAGGTCGTCTGACATTCTCATTACCAAATAAGTATCTAAGCGGAGCTCATGGCCAAGGCGCTTTCGGATTTCGCACCATTTGCCGCCAGTCTCGAAGGCAACAAGCGTTGGTGGGTTTGGCTCAGGTGACAAAGAAGAATCCATTCTCTATGCCATTCTTTTATTTCTATTACTCAATCTCTGGTCAATGGTAGTGTATCATGGGAGATTTGCTCGTACCATTTCTAGCCACTTGCGGGCCCTTGGTTCGCGAGTTGTTGCTACGAGGTACATCCCCTAATGAATTAGACGGTGAAGGACAAGCAAGACCCGGACTCTTATTAGACTGTTCAGGCTGATTTTTATTTTTTTATTTTTACTATTGATATTGGCAGGCCAGGGAAGAAATAGACTGGAAGAACAGAACAGTCAGTCCATACACGTGCAACCTGGTAGCTTCCCCCTTGGTGTTTCTCATACTCCATACTTACGTATGAACTGATAAACCTTCCCCCCCCTTTAGCTTTTTTTCTCCCGGCCTCTAAACACCGACGACGACAACGCCCCCCGGTTCTTTGCGTAGCCCGGTAAACGAAGGGGGATCCAGCAGGAACAATTCGCGTGCCAAAGGTTCATTTAATACCTAGCCTACATATTTACTATACTTATAAGTCATTCCGGCGGCAAAACCATCTCATCAATCCTTCCCCGCATTGCGCCAACGAAACCTGTTACCTAAGAAATCGGCGTTTTGACTAACAGAAAAGCCCATCGGGGTTGACTGGGCCTACTTTGCATCCTCTGGTGGCTTTGGTGAAACCTGGTGCCCTGGCCGGTTCCCTTGAAGGACGGTTAGCAGCCGTGCCGTGTCCTACCGGGGAAGGAAGGGAAAAAAAATTCAAATAAAATAAAATAAAAGTGACATTGCGCTATTGATACCACATCTTGCATCGCTCGCCTGCGCAACTGCAACCCTGGCTCATCTTCCGATAATGGATCGAACAATCACCTCCTCTTCTGTTGGACAACACCTAAGCCAGAGGCATATTCCCAGAAAATCTAGTCAAAGCCCTCCTCTTAGCTTGCGTGATACTATGGATCCTCTCGAAAACACAACTCCTCCGGACAAATCTCTTCGGTCCTCTTTCTCTTCCGTCCGGGAGGCCGACTCAGATTTAGCTCAGAACTTTACCTCCACTAAGATATCGTCTTATTCTAAGTTAGGAGAAGAAGCTGAAGAAGCTGTCGACGACTTGCTCTCGCCCCCGGAAATGGCCACGCAGCCCCAGTTCATTCCTCCCGTGACCCAACCGAATAGCAGGTTGCACGGCTGTTGGTTCCCAGCTGTCGCCGCCGAGGGCTTTCAAGGCTGGAAGCAGATAGGTGTGAAGGGGAGGCAGGCTAGTAAGAGTTATGGGGATTTGCAAGCTTTGAAAATTGTGTGGTCTCCGGCGCCTCCAATTAAGAAGAAGGACCCCGAAAGGCCCTCTCCAGGACTGTCCACCATAGAGAAGTTGCCCGCGGAGATACTTGGTAAGTCGAAAAGAAGGTCGTCATGATAACCGGAATAAGCACCTTACAAGTTAATTTGAAAAAATAGGCCAGATCATTGATCACCTTGTCCTCGATGTCCCGCCCAATGGAGTTTCTGCTCGAAACGTGGATCTCATGTCCTTGTTGTTGACGTCGAAAACGCTGCACTCTGCAACGTTGAATGCGCTCTACAAGAACATTACCATCCCGCACTCGAGAATTTTCCGAAAGTTCTTGTCCCACATCGCACAGAACAAAGAACTGGGGACTATTGTGCGACGGTTAGACTTCAGTCACTTTAACCCCACCACGCTCTTTGCGACGGCAAGCGAGCGAGCTACTACTCGCAACTTGACACCCGAGACTCTGATGCAATGCTTAGAGCTGACCCCTTTCCTTCGTGAATTCTTAGCGCAGGAGTATATCGAAGACGAGATCAACGCCCACGTCTTGCGGAAGTTATTTTTCGGGCTCGAGAGGTTACAGGGTGTCGACTTCTGCGGCTGTTCGTCGACTCGCTTCAAGGGCGCTTTCCAGTCGATCCTCCTGACCGGCTGGCCGGACGGCTGGCCGGAAGCGCTTTCGATTTCTCGGCTGTCTCTGCACAAATGCATTACTCTGCCTTCGTCCGTGTTTGAGACGTTACTCCCTCGACTAGGGAACTTGACTCATCTGGACCTTGCAGGGACTCGAGTTACGAACGAGGCGCTCCTATCAATCCCTCACAATGCCAAGATTACGCACTTAAACTTGTCTAAATGCAAGCTCCTAACGGCAGACGTTGTCATCGACTTCATTGCAAACCACCCCGCTGTTAAGGGATTAGTGGTTTTGAGTCTTGGGGCAGACGCACGGAGCCACCAGCTTCTAGATGAAGATGATCTGAGCAAGCTGATACCAACTCTTCCCCAGAGCTTACGTTCGCTAAGCTTGAAGGGCAGCAAAATGACTGCGTCGCACATTGACTTACTGCGCCCGTTAACGAAACACGTGGAAGAGCTTGCGTTGGGTCGGAGATTGAAGATCACCGATATTGATCGTCTCTTTGTGCCCGACGAGAGCAACGATGATAACATAGATGAAGAGCTAGAATGGATCCCGCACTCGTTAAAATACTTGGATCTCTCCGACTACACGGCAACAGAACTCGACCTCATTACCATGTTTGATCGAAACACGTCAATGATGAAGAAATTCTCGGCGCCGTTAGAGGTGATTGAGGTTACGGATGATTTGTACCCCCGATTAGCAAAGTCGCCGGTTGTAAAACAGCTTGGATGGACAGTCACGGAGAATGGTAGCCGGGCTTGGCTCGTCCGCGTCCACAGCCCCGAGGACGGTCCCAGAGACTCGGGGCTTCGATCTTGGAAGATGGGTGCTTCCTTTTGGGGTATGCGTAAGATACCTATCGCTTGCGCCGAGGTTGGTGGCATGTACGGCTCATACATGTTCAAGCGAAAGCTATAATAAATAAGGCGCGCGGCGACCTCCGACTCTCGCCTCTACTCTCCTCTCTTCTCGCCTGTATTGCTTGGGTTTATACTTATAGGATTGGCAGGGCTTAGAATTATTGAGTATTTGGTTAGATTATTTATTAGCATAGCGGCATGGTGCATTGGTTGGGTTGACGATTCACGAACGAGCTACGATACTAAAAGTTGGTCGCTATCGCATATGCTTTCTATAGGACAAGGATGGCGGAAAGGCGATTATTGCATAGTAACTATAGCGTGTAGCGTTTTGTATGCTAGATTCTTTATTACTGCTATTTTAATATATTTGAATTGGATTCGTGATAAGAGCATTGGTCTGTTGAGATGGTTCGGAGTGAACAGATAGTAGAGTCGAGGGAACCTAAGCCTTTGAGATCTTAATTTAAGCAGTATGCAACTATGAAGGTTTGCTGACTAACGTCGTATATAGACTCCACCTACAAAATTGCAAAGTAGCTGCCGCTTAGTGCATAGTCAATTTGCTTCTTAAATGCATACTCCAATGTTACACCCTGATTAAAACGATACCTCACATCACTTCTGAAATATTAGACCAGTGAGGCTCAATCGCTCAAATCAACCTTCATCTAATACGCGCAATACAATACTTGGGAATAAGGAAGGAAATCTACTCACGATGTACACGCTCACTCTAACGGCAGAATTAAACGGGTATGCAATTTGGAACCGAATTTACTAAATTTCCACCCGGCTGATAAGGATGACTACCTACACAGGGTTACCGACCTCCGACCCAAGGACACTGCCGAAAGCCCGTTCTGGTATACCTTCACGGTCCAGTGTACCTCGTGCCGGGAGACCCATGGAAACCCGGTCGCGGTCAGCAGATTTGTGAGGATATCCGATAGACTTACTTACTTACGTCTTGTGTTATAGGGAAGTTACTCGTTGCTGATTTTTACTTTTACTTATAGGAGACCAACGAGTTAAGCGGAAGTAGAGGAGAGGCCAACTTCGTGTGGAAGTGCAAGAATTGCAAGGTTGGTGGTTGTTGGTCCGCGGAACAAATAAACCCGCTGCCTACCTTTATGATGATGGGGGCGCATGTTTCTAACTAACTACATTATTCGACATCCAGCGAGAGTCCTCTTGCTCGATCAAGACGGCGCCTAAGCCCTACGCGCAAGGCGAGCCGCCTAAGCAGCAGTCCATCATCGAGTTCGACTGTCGCGGCTTGGAGTTTACGGATTTCACTCCCGAGGTAAGCGGAATGAATTTTTTTTTTATCTTTCTGATCGTCAGCCTTGTGTTTGTTTGTTTTTTCTAAAAATCGGCGTAGGGGGAATGGTTGGTAGACGGCATCGAGTCGAATACTAAGTTTGAAGGGGTTGAGCTGCAGGAGGGCGAGTGGTACGAGTATGATGAGAAGGCCGGGGAGGAAGTTAGCATTAAGGATTTGAAGTGGGAGATCAAGAGGGCTTGAGAAGTTGCTGTTTTAGATTACGTAGGTTGAGCCTTGGAAACCTATATGAATCAAATTAAGTGAAGACACGGCATAGTGATAGACGTGCTATCCAATGCGTTCTAGGTTAGCTCCTTGATATGAAGTTGCAGTCTTATTAATGTTGTATAAGTCGGTTGAAAATCCATTTAACTACCCATCTTTTCTTTATCTTATCATCTCCAAGTCTGAGTGCGGGGCAGAAATACCGTGTAACCCGATACATACATACGCACCTCCTTAATCACAGACACCCCCATTAATCAATTAAACTGGAGTTTAAGCATTAAACAAAGCTCAAAAATTCCAATGTACACTTTATTACAAGCCTTCAAGCTTTCCGCGAGTTTGGACGCGCCCCCCAAACATCTACCTACAACCAATCCGCCACGAACCTCACGATCCCTTTCACCATGAGTGTAAGCCGCCCCCTAAGCTCCCACCCGCATAGCTTCCTAACCTCCTCCTACATCTATCTATATATATATATATTACGACAACTAACATAAAACACATAGTTCGTACCCATCAACCCGCGGCCCATGCTGCAAGACCTGTACGTTTCCCAAGCCAAAAAAAAAGCAACCCGCCTTGCCTTTCCCTGCAAAACTTCAGATGAAAGCGATCGAAGCCGGATTGGACTCGACTGGACTGGACTGTACTAACGCCGCAAGCAGCGTCAACAAGGACATCGTCGTGCGCCTGAAGTGGGGCGAAACCGAGTACCGCGGCCGCCTCGTCAGCTCCGACAGCTACATGAACATCCAGCTGACCAACGCGCAAGAGTTCATCGACCAGAAGTTCACCAGCGACCTGGGGCAAATCTTGATCCGGTGCGTGCCCTTTTCCTCTCTGCCTCCCTCCCCCCTTGCAAATCGGGGAAATAGACCGTGGACTGGACTGACTGACTAAACTAACATGTAACCAGATGTAACAACGTGCTGTGGATCAAGGCCGCCGACAAAGGCGACGGCGGAGACGTCAAGATGGGTGGATAGACGAGACTCGGGGGGCAACGGTCGGATGAGAGGCGGCAGATATATACCCCGGTTGAAGTAGAGTACGGTGCCTTGGGAGAAAGCAGGTCAAAAAAAAAGGATGCACCAGGCACATCTCGACAGCAGGAGATAATGCCTATATACGGGCAGTCTAGCTGGGCTGCTTGGCCAGGAATACAAAACGAACATAGAGGGAAGGGGTTTTACGTCTGGTCATGCTAGTCCCTTTTTTTTCTTTTCATTCATCGCGAAGGCGCAAAGCCCATTCAACTCGCTAACTTAGTGATCCTAATCCTTGGGTAGAGCTTGGTAAAGCCTCGTGAGAAAAGAGGTGCCACAAAATACAACGGCTTTCCCCCGATGTGTTTCCTATCGCTTTAGCCGTCTCGCTTTGTAGAGCAATTATTCCCCTACTGTCTTATCCTGTAACCAGTTGACATCCTACCGCCTTTTCTATGTATAAGAGAATCACAAGAGACAGGCTACTTTACGACTGCTGCACATATCCGAACCCCCAACCTTGACCCGCTGGTTCGGCCCAACCCACATGAACGCCTCGACTATCCATTCGTACCATACCTTTGCGTCGTCGGTCTGTCGCCACATGCTGACTTCTAACTCAGTATCCGCCGGGAAATAGAGCGGTTGCTAAGAACCATTAGTTAACATATCCGTATAAGAGGTTACTAAATAGACGTACCTTAAGCGGGAAGAAGATCGGAAACCAAGAGATCATGTCCTTGCTCTTCCGATCCATCATATCCGGCAGCGTGCTCAACTCGATCTTGTCCCAAACCACTTCTCCGTGCTCCCGCCCTTCTTCGCTTGATCCATCAGCAGCTCCACTAGGCTGGTATAGTACCGACTCGAAGTAACCCGCAAGTCCGTGTACGACGCCGCGGTTACGGCACACGAAGGTGAGGTGGCAATGTCGTGTGTTGTGGTCGTTGGCGCCGACCGCGCCGGCCATGCTACCTCCGCCGCCGCCTGCCACGCCGCCCGCTCGCCGGGCTTCCATCGCCTCCATCGTCGCCTGCGGCAGTGGGTGCGCGAACTCCCATGCTTGCTGGAACCGCGGTCGATCAGGTACCCGCTCCGCGACAAAGTCCAACGCGAATAGTCGTGTCACCCACGGCGTGTCGAAGGCGTCGCTCGATGGGGACGAGGCAACCCGCTGCTTGAGGTCTGCATGGATACGAGGCGTCGAGATGGGGCTTACGTGCGCCGTGTACGATGCCGGAATAGAAATACCGTATTGCGGTGCCAGCACGTGTTGAATGCCGTCTAAACATTCGGGGCTCAGCTCGTTGTCACCGAACGAGCCTAGGAGCTCAGACACTAATATGTCGACTTTGCCGTAAACGGGGCCGGTAGAAGAAGACGAATCGGAGAGTAGTGGTCCCTTCCACGCACGCATGTCCGTCTTGACGACAGTGACACAACCGTTCCATTCCCGCTGGTTTTGCCGTAGTAGGTATACGTAGGCGTTAGGGTTCTTCTCAATAGCCCAGACGCGCACGGGAACGCGAGTAGATTCGCTAGCTCTCAGAGCACGGGTGACAAGCGGCCCACGACCAGACCCGACAACAGCTATAACAACCTCACCGCCAGGAGAGGATGTAGGCTTGCTGAACGCATCCCAGTCCTTAAGTGCGGCTGCGATCGCCGTCTCATATTGCCAATACTTGACCGGGTCGCCCTCGAAGACTTCGTACGTCGCGGATTCAAGGTTGTCCGAGAGCGGTTGCAGTGGTGATTGCAGCCAATCCTGGAAGTTGGTCAAAGTGTTTTGCTCCAGGTCACTAAGGGACTCCTGCTGCCTCTCGAGATGTCGAAGATAGGCGGAGTAGGCGTTCTGCCCTTGGGACTTGATTCTTTCACTGGCATTTGCAGTTTGTTGTGCGGCGGCCTCGGTGAGAGTCGGGAATTCAGCCGACGTTATCTGTTTAGGATCAGGGTCTGCCTGCAATTCAGGACCGACGTCGCAGAGGAGAAAGTAAGGGGCATTTTTTAAGCGCATGTAAGTGAAAATCATGTCCTGGTGGTGGCGGCTTAGGGAAGGATGACCAGCCCTATTCGTCTGGAATGTCTGGGGACTAAATGTCAAGTATTGAAGGGGTTCAGAGAACCACCTCGTCTGGAGTTGCTTCTCTGGAAGGACCCGCGGAATTTTGAGCGCTTCATACTCTTCCAGTCAGCACTATTCTACTTATAACGACCCCATGGTAAGGGGTAGAGGGTATTATTTAGCATAGAAGGTCGCTCAAGGTGTACTTACCAACCAAGAGTCTAGTATCATACTCGCAAACAGTACGGATGGTATGCCAAGAATCCCAAGAACTGAAGAGGTCTATTTCCTGTCCAGCAACATCTGTCTGGTTTGCGTTGCCATCTAGCACGGATAGAAGCGGCACTCTCTCTTCTAGACTTGGCTCGCGATACATAGGAATGTGGATAACGATGCTGACTCGAGTACCGATAGAAAATGCTTCTTGGATAGCTCGAGCATATTGCGCGATACCTTGGCTGTTACCTGTTTTGACCGAGTCTTCTCTAGGCCCAGGGATTATAATGCTCCTCGCCCCGCAGAAATTAGCATAAGCAACTTCGAGGTTTAGTACCTGCCTCGAAATGCTAGATATGACATGGTTGGGGGAGCATAAATCTATCCAAGGACTAGAATAGGCGACAAGCCCGCTCGTATAGGTTCCCGGAAAGAGGGTGGTATCCTCGGGGGTCAATGGAGGTACCACGGGATCGAGAATAGAGCCAGCTTTCTCATTGTATCTGGCATCTGATAGACTAGCTTTGACCAACTCCACGACGCGCTGATGAAAATTCTCATTTGTAATCGGGGTTGTGACGAAGCTGAACTGCAAATATATAAGCCTTGTTGTATATTCACATGGTTATATTCTAAATATTGGTTACTTACACCAGCATTCAACACTTGGCCATATTGTAAATCGGTCAAGGTCTCCAATCTTGTCGAGTCATGCTGGCCAATGTAAAAGGTTGGGCGGATCTCGTTGTAGTCGTCAGACTCCTGATCCATATCAGGCTGGTCCACCATATGGTCATGGAGCATATACTCTTGCGACATGGTGAAATGACTTTATTCGCCTATATCCTTTAGGCGTGCTGAGCCGCTGAGGGACCCCTGTTAATAGAGAAGTACTTCGGGGAAGCACTAATCGCAGTCTGCTGGCAGCACCTTAAGGTGAAGCGGAAGGGTTTAATGATGTATGGATATTTGAACTTGTGTCAAGAATCCATCACAACATAAAAGAAATAGATGATTGGGGAATATACCTAAACCTGTTGGGAAGGCTCGCTTTTACCTAAAGGAAATACCTAAAGGAAAAAATGCATCCCAATATACATACAATATTTCTAGTGTGTGGTATGATTGGTGTATCAAACGGATTCGATCTACTTAAATACAAAAGGGAAAAAAAAAAAGTGATAATATTTAGGAAGGTCCAATGCATTCATTGGCCCGGGTAGCAGTTAGCCCCGATGTATCTATCATAGCAATGCCTACCTAAACTACGTTGGGTAGCTTTAGGTAAGTTTAACGATATCTCAAATGATAGTATTATATGCATGATATATAAGACATCGTTCTTGGATTAAGTGTAAGTTTATAAAGTTTCTGTAAATAAATCTATTTGGGTATTAGGTCTTGTTACTCCTTCGCTGAGCTGTTTGATAGAAATGGGTAACTATGAGCCGTGTAAAGTTAAATATCTTATCGATCATGTGATTAAGCCCTCTTAAATCCTGATACATTGGTACATCTATCTATCTATCTATCTATCGCAATGTACCTAACCCGCTAGGTACATACACGTCTACCCGCCTTTAACACTTAGACGCGCCTAGAATTCACCCCACCTTCTAAGCTCTTAATAATTACCTACGACAGAACCCCCCCCCCCTCCACCCCCTAGTAAGTTGCTCCTCGTTGAAGGAAGCAAATACTCCTAATTTCCTACAAGATGAATAGGCGTATGGTTCGTCTCTCTATATCCTTAACCTACTAGACTCCTAATATGCTAACCGTCGGTTTTCCTACGTTAGCTTACCAAAGAGGATGAAGCGGCCAGCGATGAGGTCGAGGTGCGCCGCGAGGACCAGGACAAGATCAACAAGTTCAGTCGTCTACACCAACGTGAATTAAACCTGGAGGAAGAGCTTAAAGCTAAGAACGTACGGGAAAAGAACCACTTGACCGGATGGGTACGGCGCATGTACTGACAGAAAACGCTGCATCGTATAGAAGGAGAAAGAAGAACTCGATGATATTTCCACTGAACTCGAGCTTGCGGACGAGGATGATACGGTACCGTAAGGATCCCCGGCTCAAGTCCCTAAACTCTAGGAATTTTTATATGAGCTTTAGTGAAATTCGGGTTTAGACGCAACTAACGGTTAACCTGACCATAGTTATAAGATCGGAGATGCTTTCTTCCACCTACCCCTCCCACAGGCACAAGAATTTTTAGCCTCGTCAACGACAAGAGTGGAGGAAGAGGTATCGGCGCTTGAAGACAAGATTGGCGAGCTAAAGGACGAGATGACGCAGCTGAAAGTTGAGCTCTATGCGCGATTTGGGCGTAGTATCAACCTCGAAACATAGGAGTATCGGCCAGCTGTTCCATGAATGAGCTAGTACCAGGATTTTATGGTGCCTCAGAGGGTTCATCTAGAGGTTGAATTGTCTTGTTACTCAGGCAAGTCTCGTGATGGCCGCATTGTGCCGACCACATTCTCGGCGCTAAGTCTCTAGCATGGATAGAGATATGAACTAACTATTCTCAAGTAAACCTTCACGATTCCTGCTTGCTCAGATGAATAATAATGGAGACCTAGACAGTAATTATCTGCTACGAGTCTACGTAGACTATACGATCCTAGGTCTCGTAAGCTCCTAGCTTCGCTATGTGAAGTATAACAGCATTCAGAATCTTAACCTATTATCCTATTATCCTAGGTCCTTAAGGTACTTGAACTACACAAGCCGCACCAACCATGCTTAAGGATAAGGTCGATGTTTGGTTTTTGTTAAGACTCATAAAACTTGGGTGAGTTGTGATTGGGCTAGGTACCGAACTTAACTGTATACTACTACAATGCGAATCCAGCAGCAAGGAAATAATGTCGTTATTACCACAAAGAATTATCAATCTATGGTATACATAAAGGAGCCCTTCTTTGTATACGGCAATTAGGAGTATGCCTGGTCCTTCGAACGAAAATGTTTAAATTCTTATGCTACCAAGCTAAGCATATATCTTATTCGAGCCAGCCAGTCATCCAAGTCACATTCTAAACCCGGCATGTAAATAATACCTGACTCAGATTGACTCATGTCAAGGCATTGGATGTAGGTGAATGCTAGGTAAGGTAGTTACTAACATGACATACTCTCTTCTGTGTTACCCTATACAAAAGGGAATGTTCTTACACGGTAGTCACGATATAACCTGTTGAGTAACACTAACAAAACGAGCGTAATGTTTTATTCTTGTTTTAGCACATTTACACGTCCGGGAAAAATGTCATTATTCACATATGTTCTCCGAGAAGTACTTATATGCTGCGAAGTCCGGCTTCTACAGAGTATTATTTGATCATATGAACTATTCATAACACAAAACATACCTACAATAGATACTACTTACACCACTTACCATAATCATTTTCACATCATCAATAATAATGTCTTCCACAGAAGCCACAGCCGGAGCGTCCTCGCGAGGTCCTTCCTACCGAGAAAAGCTGAATAATATAGGGGACATCACGCCCCTTGACGCACCTCTGATATCGTGGGGTGGACAGCGCGGCAGATCACCCACCGAGTATCTAAAGGATTACAAGACATCCTACACAATCCCTTTTGGCTACGAAGTCGCAACATGGCGACAGAAATTCTTTGGCGGAGGGGAAATGATGCTGCCGTTTTCTTTCCGAACGGAGCCCGATATCGAGCCCTCTAAGCCTCACGAGCCAACTATAGTACTCCTCTTCTACCCGCGTCCCGATGAAAACGAGGCAAGACCGATTCATAGATCCGCATCGTACCTTCGACGGATAGACCGGATTGCCAGGATGGGAGAACAGACCATCATCTATGTACCACCGGAGTTGAAGTCCGCCGTCCAAGGCATGCGCGGTGATCATTACTGGCACGTTATCGACGATTACCCGACTATTTGGGACATGCCCAACAACGCGTATCAGAAAGATAACTTTGCGACCAAGCAGCCGGCGCTCTTCGAACAATTCGACGGGTACACGGATGCGGACGGGGACCTGAGACCCGAGCCGCGGTACAATCGCGCGCACCATAGCGCCGTGTGTAATGCAAAGGCATTCGTCATGTACGATGCTATCATGCGCAATCCGTTCGGCTCAGACGACTGGATGTACGTAGATGCCGGGTTCCTCTTCGACGACGGCCCCCAGGACGACGACGGCACGCCCTGGGGCGAGCTCTTCCGCGCCGGCCTCGACTCGGAAAAGTTCGAGCGTGCTATCCGCATGTCCCGCGACACGGGGGTAGTCATGGGCGAGTACTCGCATCGACACGGGTGTCCCGATGCCGAGGACGAGTGCTTCACCAACCCCAAGAGATCGTGGCGCGCGCGACAGTTCATCGCGCAGGTGTACGTCGGCAACTCGCTCGGCATGCTGAACTACAGCGTCCGGTTCATGCAGACGGTCGACGACATGGACGCAAACGGGTTTTACACGGGGCGCGAGGAGCTCGTGGTCCCGTTCGTCGCGCTGCGGTACCCGAACACGGTCTTCTCGGTGCCGTACTTCCGCCTACCGCCGCGCCTGGACTACGCGTGGCAGTTCCCGATGAAGTTTGTGTTTTCTAAGGTAGGAGGCCCCAAGTCCGTCCCGCCTATCGTCGATCCTATTGCGACTTTGTATTGCAAGGGGTATACCCCGAGACGCCCGAATATGCCGGCTGGGGGCATTTATGAGGACCCCAGGAAGGAGGACGACGAAGAGTAGGCTTGACGATGGGCGATTTCGTGTGCTTTGACCGTTTGGTGTTGTAAGATAGATAAAGTGTTAATATAAAAAATAAAAAAGGGGGTTATCCCCGATAATGCATTGCTTGCCGAAATGTGAGATTACGAGACTTAGATGTAAGGCACATGGCAAGCTAAACTTGTATCTCTAGATGTTATGCCTACTTGATAGGTAGTACCCCTGATAGTCGCGCGGAAAGACTCAAGTTGACAAAGAATTGATTTAACGTATATTGTCCTTGGCTATATTATACGACACCGTATTACTATGCTCTCTCCTCTTTTCGGAGTGTCGTCTTCTAGCAAAAGGATCCGACTGCCATTCTAAACCTCGGGATCTTGCGTCACTTACTGGCCGCATTGTCCGGAAATGATCTGGAGGGACAGCTCGTTAGGGGGAATATCTAATCCACAACGGCCGTCGGCTCGGCAAGTACCCTTGAAAGTACCGTCAGTGCATGCTTGGCCTTCGACTGAGGCCTGGTTACCGTCGTCTTCGTCGTCGGTATCGCTGTCGAGGCCATCGTCGCTGTCGCCCGCCACGCTGTCGTCATCAGAGAGGTCGTCGTCAGTAGCGTCGTCTGTTCCATCGTCTGTACCATCGTCGGTAGCAGCGTCGTCGTCAACGCTATTGCTATTGCGACCAAAAAAGTTGTCAAAGGCTCCTCCGGTGCTAGCAGCTACACCGCACTGTCCAGAAACAAGCTGGAACGATGTCTCGTTGGGAGGAATCTGCAATCCACAGCGACCATCGGCGCGGCAGAAACCTTTGAATTGGCCGTCGGTGCATTCTTGGCCCTCAACGGATGATGCCTGACGTGTTGTCAAGGGCACTGCTAAAAAATTAGCCGATGCAATGTTTCTATAAGGTAAAGTGGGAGAAATCAGACTTACCCGCGGCGGCGTTGCCGGCAAGGAGGCTGGCGAGAAATAGGGAGGTGGCAGTGAGCTGCATTTTGAGGATTTTGTAGAAGAGTGGTTTGGTGAAAGGTGAGAATAGGTAAAAAGACTAAGGATATGGATAATACGGTGTTGTTAAGATGTGACCGGCACAAAGAAGAACTGGATATCGAAACGCAGCTGAGGGATTCAAACTCGAAAATTGGGAGAATTCATGACTACCTAGGTAGATATAGGCGCGCTATTCACTGAGGCTGCCAGCCTGGCGGATATCGGCACTCATCGACGATACTGCTATGGTGAGGTTGTGTTACAACCCCTTCCCCTTTCGGCCCCTTAGTAGCTAGTATTGATAGTCAGGCGCGATAGCGTCATGAGTTTCATCCCACATCAACACGGCCAAGACTAGGTACCCAAATGACGAGGAAGACCAGCACATCTACCTATACAAGACAATGTGTCGTCCCATTAACTTATAAATAGTAGCGCTAGTTGACTACATGTGCAACCGTCGCTATATTGAATGATAGTGTGGAATTACTTCACTAATTTCATGTGTCCTACCTAGATTTAACCGTAGGTAGTCATCATCATCCGATAAAAGTTCATAGGGAAGAAAACATAAAGCACACCAGCAGATCTATAAACGGAGTGAATGGACTTAAACAAAACCCCTGTTAGCTGAACCCCGTGTTTGTCCCTATATCGCCCAGATGTTTCGGAAGCTAAGCGCGCTGCCAAGCTGTTTGAGCAAGCAATTCACGAGGTGACGACGGCATAACGCAAATCTCCATCTGTTAATATCGATGAATTTATTGTACTATGTAATAGGCAATACGAAAATAGACATGATAATGAATCAAGGCTTGATAGATAGTTGGTAACTATGTGTGAAACACTTTAAGAAACGAAATAAGTTTTGATGTTTAATTTACACTTCAGGAATATAAGTCCCGAACTTCTTTCTTGAGAAGAGACAACGCACTTAAGGTAATATGTTGCGAGTGTATAACCTGTTAATATATTTTATATAGGGATAGGACTATGCCTTTGTTGAAATAATGTAATAGTATAATATGATTACGATATAGCCACATATTAGGTAGGGCTCGACTTCTATTCTATTTATAGGCCGGATGGATCTTATTTGTTATACGGTGAGGGTATAGCCTAGAGCGGGTAGTAAAATGGGACTTGGCTTTTCTTTATATTATCGTGGTTAGATACACTGGGATTTACTATTGCTTATTGGAACATTATCCAACCGTCTTGACTGCCTAGGGAGGCTGAATACCCCTATTCTGTACGTAAGGTGGTCAGATTATTTCTTTTTATGCCGAAGCCACCTAGTTGATAGTTGTCGTAACTGTTAACGTAATACTGAGTTATTCGGAGTTTATGTTGTTTAATTAACAATATCATTCTTGTTTCCTCATTTCCACGTAGTGATTAATCCGTCTCAGTAACCCGCTGTAAGATCTCAGTAGGATTCCTCAATCATGACACTTATGTAACTTGCGTGATCTTGTTTGATTTGTGCTTTACAGAATTGGTATGGGCCAAGTCTGGTGTTATCGCGGACTCTCAAGGACTCCAGGGTTTACGGGTTAAGAATGGTTACGACTGGGATTCATCTTAACTCCGGATCTATCCGTTATAAGCCGAACGAAATAATTTGAACCCGGAGCTCAATAATCATATTGCAGCATAGGATATTATATGTTCGTCGCTTTGGAGTGGTAAGAGCATGAAAGTTAGAGCAGCTGTCTTGGCTCATTTGAAGTCGTATCCTCATTCCTTCGTCAATATGCTAGTTAGAATACATCAAGTCCCAGTTCCTGATACCAGAATACCACAACTCCTACTCAACTACCCAACGCCCAAGCCAGAGTAGAAACTAAACATACATAACACCACCTGATACGCAGCTATAAATACAAGGGATTTGAGTGCCGATGGATACTAGCTTATTTGGCTATTGGTCACTGGTTTAGTTACTCCAACCTCGCCAGCGTTTCCTACTCGGATTTGAATATCAGTACGGACGTAGATGTCACCCGATGCTGACGAGTCTAGATTTACCGCCTGATTAATCTGGCTGCCGTCAGGGAAACGTGTCGCTAAGCACGAATCCTTTGTTTGGTTCTCGATATTTTCGACGTGATCAAGTGGTTGGAGTTGTATGTAGTTCGAAGCACCACCATGCCTAATGTCCTTCGTAGCCGTGTTCCCCGTAATCTCAATAGTAGTCAGGGGGATGCCGTCTTCGTTGGAATTATCCACTTTAGAAGCGTCAACGGTTGTTGGCATAGTCCAGATATGGTTCAAGCTGGCCATACGCTTGAAGCCACGGGCGCTCCGTCTCTCGGAAGAGGCTTGAGCTGCGTTTTTGTCGTAGACGTAACTATTACTCCCAGTCCTGGCTTTGAACCTCCTGACTAGCTGAGGTACGATTACGGGTAGACTAGCGCACACTACTGCGGTAGTCTCCTCAGCGGCAGTGAGTATTAAGAATACGGCGACTCCATCTATCACTATGGGTGAGCAAATACATCTTAATTATTGAACTAGACTCGTAACTTACAGCTGGGATCAGTCTTATCATCGGTATCGAGGAGGAGGACCAGTACGCGAGCCAGTTCAAGGAAACAGGCAATTAAGCCGATGCCGAAGACGACCATAAGGCCACGTTTCTTATTCTTGTCGAGTCGCAGCTGGGAAATAGCCGAAATTGGTAATATCAAGAGACCAATGTCTGACACAAGACTGAAAATAGGGGGCAGTGCCACATGAAGCACACTTGTGGCATCACAATTTCCTTTTATGTTTCCAGGTACGGGTTTGTGGAATCGTTCGTAATATTGGAGGAAGTACCATCGCACGGGCTTGCACTGGAATAGGTAGAAGCTCGTTGCGCCGAAGAACCATAGGACAACATAGACGAAGTTGACCCACCAGAAGATGCGGAGTTTCTTGTTGGACACTAGGAACAGTCGTCTGTAAAAGAAAAGTAGCGTCATCTTTATACTGGTGAAAAAGCTTCCCATCAGAACCATGGTGATCCAGATATGCTTTCACCATGTGATATAGTCAGCTGGCTAGGATTACAACAGAGAATAGGGGTAGTTGTATGTTACATACTCTAAAAGTCTTAGACAAGTTTGCGGGATATTCGGCATCTAGGAAGTTTATAGCGAAAACGTGTAAGCCGAGCCCGTAGTGGGTTGCTACCATGAGGTTTGCGATAATAGCATTCACAAGGATCTGGTGAGTCCTCCTAGGCGTTAGTAATCGCTATAGACAGGCACTTTCAAAAGGGGGGGGCAGAAACTGACACCGCTCAACACGATCGATACATCCTCGGCCATAACCCGCGAACGGCTTATTATTGAAGTCCATGTTCCCCATAGCCTTCCGACGATAGCTACATTGTTAATAACAAGGAAAACGATTAGACAACCCCAGAGTGCGGGCTGTCTAGTGTCGTAAAGATGAGCCTCTTCCTCCGGGGTCAGCACGAGTCCAGACATTGTTCAGCTGGTGAGTCTTATTGAGCTTCTCATACTCTACAATACTAACAATAAGCGGGCTAAGAGGTTTCTGGGGAAGCGGAGATCATGTTACTAATAAGCAACCCCTGGTTTCCCCGGGTAGACTTATTCATGCCATTCTGTACTCCCAGAGAAGCTCAAGGCTGAGGATTCCATGCCATGTAGTTTTTATTGAATACTCTACGCCATGCAATCTGGGAATACATTATTGACGCAGGTGTCACAAGTGGGAAGAGAGCTGATGGACGGTACTACTCCACGGGCACTCCGCGTTCATGATGGGGGGCAACCGGGCAACAGGAAGCAAATAGCAACGGATAGTCACGGGTAGCTAATGTTTTCAAGCCACAATTCGGTGTGCTTGGTAAGACACGTAGGTATTGTACTATGCCAAAGCAACCAGGAACGATCTCTAGAACGCAGAAATCCCTATGCGGCAAGACTAGGAGGGAGTTAGTTCGGTGAAGCTGCAAGGTATGAATGTTCAGCTAGTCATCTAATTTTATTTACTTACAACTTCTAGGCTTCTGAAGAGAGCAGGCTGCGAGTGTAAATAGTAGTGGGTGGTAAGATTTCATGTATGTCTCGGGTCCGGGCGCATATATGCAGCGGAAAGCGTTTATGAGGAAGTTGATTGAACCGTCCTACCCCAGAAAGCTGACAAAAGCAAGGATGCCCCGTATACTTTATATTAGCATTCATTGGCCATTCACCCCTTTCATCCTACATCGGACGACAATTGCCGCCTTGTATGGCGAACATGGCGGTTTGGAGTTATAAGAGCGAGCGTTTGTTTCGCGTTTGCAGTGTAGTACTGATGTTACCTAGAAATGTCCATATGCCCTGGTAGGACATAAATTTCAAAGATTGTACCTGTTGGTGATACCATACAGATTCCAGAGCTTATATAATTGGTAGGTAACTAAGAAAGAGGAGGTGTGGGAGGTTGGGTTGGGTGATGACAAAAAAAGGGAGACGAAAAAGGGAAGACTCAACCCGAAGATGTGGTTGTACCATAGCCAGCCATAAAGAGCTCGGAACTTGTTCGTAGCCGAGATGGAGAACAAGTTGGATTAAGCTTTTTGCAAGCTAGGGCACGTTTATTTCCCAATCATCAATGAGATGGACCCAGAGATAAACGAGGCTCGCGATGTGTTGGTACCGTGGTTTAGTACCTATTGTGTCTGGGGGTGAGCAGGGATCGATGGGGGGCCAAATCCTTCCAGAAATAAATATCGGGTGCTTTTATTAGAGTTTATGTACAAAGGTACTGCATGCAGGACCTGCCTTCTCCTATCATAAAAACAGCGCATTCCATGTAAATTGATTCTAAAGATAAACATGAGTACGTAATCTTGTGCACTAGTAATAAATGAAATTAATTTCAAGTTACTGTATCCCCTTGCGTCTTAAGTATGATAATATACCTGATGGTGACCTAAACTTATATGATGATCGATTGGATAATACCTTAGGGATAGAAAATGACTAAGTGCAAGTACCCTGAAGACACCAACTGCTTATTGGTTACCGACAGTCTGTAATGAGCATTCCCCAAACTACCTAATTAATTGCCTGGTCGCGACTTCCGTGGTCTTTCTACGGTTACATGGCAGTTGCGATGGTCTAAAATCCGAGGAAGGTGCGAGACCGTAGCCTACCTGAGAGATCAGCACCTGTACTACACAACTATTTAGGACAACCCGGCAACAAAGAATTATAGATTCTTTTTTAATTTTTTTTTTTTAGAACTGCGAAGTCGGCAAGTTGATGTTTTGAAGTTTTTGACGCGTTATCATTAACGAACCGGGGGCTTCCGACCCTTAAATATTTCTTTCGTCTTCGCAGCAAGCCTGTTCACGTTCAATCTTCAATTCGTGTGACCAGCTGGTCTTAGGAAGTTCACAAGGTTGCATTGCTGCGCCAAGTCTCCCTTACCCATCTGTCTAATACCTTGATATTAACTCGACCGGTCATGTCCCAAGATAAGACAGCTTCCGCCCTCGAGGCAAACGAGACTGCAGTCTCTCAGCCTGCCGACTCTCAAGATGGCATCTCTCAAGATGTCAACCTCGCGAACTACACCCATGAGCAGGAGGCTCGCGTGGTCCGAAAGTTGGACTGGAACTTGATGTCGCTCTTCTTCGTACTATGTAAGTTAATAACCCAATTTGGATATCTTCGATAATGAGGTAATCAGCATGCTAACATGAACCCCTTGATGCCAAGACATGCTGGCCTACCTCGACCGTGGTAACATAGGCAATGCTAGAATCGCTGGCATGGCACAAGATCTCCATCTTGATGGTAATCGATACCAGTGGTTGCTCAACATCTTCTACATTGCCTATATCGTCTTCGAATTCGGTGTCCTGTTGTGGAAGATCTTCCCACCTCACCTTGTCGGCGCTGTTGTCGTTTTTGGTTGGTAAGCTACTCTAAAGCATCCCCATCGATCTCTTATACTGTTCCGTCTGACTAATCATGTGAAAGGGGGTTGATTGCTACTGCCCAAGCTGGCGTCCATAGCTGGAGCGGTGAGATGGCTCTTAGATTCTTCCTCGGTGGCTTCGAAGCTTGCTACGGGTATGTAGTAGATTGCATTCATAAAATTAACCTCCGGTACGTGATTGTTGCTGATACTAGGCCTGTTTAGACCAGGGATCATCTACCTCCTTTCGTTCTTCTATCTTCGACACGAGATTGGTTTCCGATGTGGTATCTTTGCCTCTGCAGCTCCGCTGGCCTCAACATTCGCAGGTGCTCTGGCCTATGGCATCACAAGCGGTCACTCGCACCTTGCTAATTGGCGTCTACTCTTCCTCGTCGAAGGATTGCCGACTATTCTTATGACCATATTTGCCTTCTTCTTCATCCCCGATTCTGCGGAGAAAGCCAGATTCTTGACGGCAGAAGAAAAGGATATTGTCAGATCCAGGGCCATGCGCCAAGTCGGCACCCACGCAAATGCCAGAATCGGAGGATTTAAGATTACGGACGTTTTGCCGGTAATAACGGATTTGAAGGCATGGTTATGTGGACTAATGTACTTCTGTGGCAATGTTACTTACTCTAGTCTGCCTGTCTTCCTCCCGACCATCCTACAAGATATGGGCTACACTGCTATCAATGCGCAAGGTTTATCCGCTCCTCCGTCCTTCGCGGCCTTCTTGTTCGCCTTGATTACGACATGGGTCGCAGACAAAACCCAGCAGAGATGTATCGTCCTCATGGTTACTTCGATCGTGGGAGGGGTTGGTTACATTATCCTTGCCACCGTTGAGACTGTTGGCGTTCGTTACTTCGCAACCTTCCTGGCATCAGCTGGTGTCTTCTCTACCATTCCTAACATCCTCGGGCTGACTTTAAGTAAGTACACCCATGTCTATTGTGTCTCTAGTCAAGTATCTGGGGGAGTATTCAGGTATTAATGAGTTTCATAGATAACCAAGGTAGCGATACCCGACGTGGAATGTCCATCGTTCTCATCAACGTGGTTGGCCAGTGTGGTCCTTTCTTAGGAACCAATGTTTTTCCTACGAGTGAGGGTCCCAGATTTATTAAAGGCATGAGCATTTGCGCTGCCTTCATGTTCTTCTCGGCATTCCTAGCATTCTCCCAGCGTCTGCTTTTGATGTGGGAGAACGTCAAGCTTGACCGCAAGTACGGCACCATCACCAAGGACAAGACAAACGCGAAGGCGAAGGATGTTGCTGCGGAAAACTACGGTCCCAACTTCAGATACGTGCTTTAAGGTGTTTCAGGATGATAGGCCTTTCAAGCAGTCTAAAAATCGTTGATTCAATACCCCCTTTCCAGCATAGCCTTTCAATTAGATAGACTTTCTAAGATAGGGTTATTAATCTTGTTAGGAGAATGAATACGAATGCAATGATTAACATAGACAAGAGTTTTCAGTGGAAGAAACCAGCATCCAACTAGCTAACTTAGGGTTATGATGATTCCAACCGTACCATGTTTGATTACCACCAGTGGAATGGTAAATGCTCATAGGACACCTACCTAAGATAGTGAATAGGTGTAGGGTAACATATTACGTGGTTTCTAGCCGTAAGGATCCTATAAAGGCCATATGGGAGGATGTGATTTGCTCCGATCGGGAACTTGGACGCCATCTCATCATCTCATCGCCGATAATCTCTTTTCTTGTTCTTTTTCTACGGTATCATAAAACGTCTCTATTATACTCGTGTAACTCGTATTTACTTGATCGGTTTATTACAAGCCTTATTCAGAGCCCAGAACTCGTTTCTTGGTCCTTAGATTAGATAGTTGAAGTGATATCCACGCTCTGTAGGAGACTTTAGCTCTTATTTATTAGAAATATATAGTTCCTAATACCTAGGATTTGAAATAGACTGGTCAGGATCGGTTTGGACCCTAAAGCGACCGACGGGCTCAACTAAATGGGCTCGCAACTTTCTATTCGTGGCTAGGAGGCTAGGATTTTACCTTGACATTGAATTGAGTGTTTCCTCATCTATGGGTAGTGGGTCACGAGAAGCCCGGAATAGGGGTCCTACCCGCGATACGATTCGGCGCATTACCTATTGATAGCTCTCCACAAATGCACTGTGGACATTTTATGTTCGGAATTTGGTAAATTAGTAGATCAAATCTCGCATCTAAATTAAATCTAAGAGTTACGAGCGATGCAGTTCTATTACTTTCAGCACCGGCCTCCAACCCGCAACCTTACGGCCCGTTCGAGGAGGGGGGGGGAGACTAATACTTAGCCCCGGTATTCAGCGGGCTCTTGGGGTCGTACACATCGGTCGTGATGACATCGGGGTACTTGACATCGCCCTGCTTAAGCGCCTGATCCATAACCTCCATGATGGCGATACTCTCGGACCAGGGGATCGTAGCGCTCTCCTTCTTGCCGTCGCGCAGACAACGCGCGCACTCGTCCGCCTCCCAGAACATGCCGTGGCCCCAGCCGTCGCGCGCCGGGTCCTTGGGGATGGGGCAGTCGACGACGTCGACTTTGCCGCCGCCGTCCTTGCGCACGATCTTGTACTGCAGGGGCGAGAAGGCGGGGCCCATGACCTGGATCTCGCCGAGGGCGCCCTGGATCTTGATGGCGGGGCCGCCGCCGTTGTGGCCGTCGGTGTTGGTGGCGATGCGCAGGGTCGTCATGGCGATTCCCATGCTCTTGTGCCGGGGGAACTGCAGGATGATGTTAGTCGATTCGTCGGCGCCGGTCGAGTATTTGTTGATGGCGGCGACGGTGTGGGGGGCTTCTTTTTCGGGCTCGGGTTGCAGGTGGTAGAGGATTTGGAAGAGCCATGTTAGCGAGTAGATTCCTAGGTCTAGGAGTGCGCCGCCTGCTAGGTCCGGGTTCACCATTCGGTGCTCGTCGGGGAATGTTAGGGTGCCGTTTACTCCGTCACAGCCAAACGAGTTGTCGGCTACGATCCAGTGTTAGTATATGAAATTTGCAGCTTCGCTATACCTTCCCAGCGCCCAGTACGAGGTCTCGGGGCTTACCAATAACTCGATATACGGGACCAATGGCTCCAGACTGCACCAACTCTCGAATCTTGATGCTAAGAGGGAAGTACCGTGTCCAGACGGCTTCCATCAGGAAGAGGTTCTTCGCCTTGGCAGTTTCAACCAGCTTCCGCGCCTGGGAAGCGGTGACTGTTAAAGCCTTTTCGCACAGAACATGCTTGCCAGCTTCTAGGGCTAGCATAGTGTTCTGGAAATGATGGCTGTGGGGAGTTGCGACGTAGACGATCTCGACGTCAGGGTCGTTTACCAACTCAGCGTAAGAACCATATGCTCTAGCGCCTTCTGGGGCCTTGACCTTTTCAAGGAAAGATGTAGCGCTCTCCTTGGAGGATGAGGATGCGACCGCGACCACCTTGTGAGCGACATCATGGACATCACGGGTTGCCGGGTTGACGAGTAGGTCCTTGGTGAAAGCTATAAAGATTAATTGTTAGTTAGGGAGTCTAACTAAACAGTTATAGCTGAACTAGGTTACAGGTATGTAACTCACTCTGAGCAATGCCACCAGTGGCCATAATACCCCACTTGAGGGTGAAGGGTTGAGAGGCCATATTTGATGTTTTGCAATAGTCTATAACTTAAATGAGTAGCTTCTATATTAAAGTTGAACTAAGGAAGTTAGTTAGATGGATAGATAGCAGCCGTGGACTCGGTGGAACGGTGGTGAAGATAATCAAGGGTGGGGTAGTCGGTACGTTACATTTACATTAAGTACCTATCTCTAGCTACGAAGCCTGTATATCAAGGTAACTTTTATTCTCAAAGTAGTTCGATAGGCTAATAGTAAATCATTATTCTAAACACGGGGAAGGTTTATAGTACATGAGGTACCTAGTGAAAATAGGCGAGATAAACTTCATTACGTCAGTCTATTTTTACCCCACGTACCTAGGTACGAAGTACGAAGCTCGGCATGATATAAAACCGAAATTGGCTAATTGGTGCTGTATTGTACTATGTAGTTACTTAAAGTATTATTAGGTAATCTTGGAACTCTAGATACATTAAATACGTACCTGGGTTATAGATGTAATTAACCGTTATGTGTATAGCCTCTTAAACGTTGAACATTAAACATTAAACATTAAACATTAACTCTTAAACATGAGGCTTAGCAATACGATACTTAAATGCGCAAGTCCAACCCAAGGCTCTGATTACCAATATCATTATCAACCTAGGTAACCATTGCGTGTTGTATCATCATAGGTCGGATGGATGCACAAGACTTTGGGGAGATGCTACCTAACAGCCAAGTATCGACACAGTCGAATGACTATAAAAATATACATATTCGACTAATCCTCGCGGTTCGGAGAGATCCTTTCGCGCAGAGGAGACATAATGCCGTGCGTGAACCATGGTAATCAAAATCTAGGTACTGCTGCTCAATAAGTGCTTCGAGTATAGTAATCGGACAACGATGTGGATATGTTATGATATACGTGGGTACATTTTATAAGCTTCGATGGGCGGCTCCGAATATATTCTGAGCCGCGTCAACCTAGTTTATTCAAATAGTTACCTATACTTTTATCATTTCCATGTAATGGCCAGTCAATTGTGATGTAATTGTAACCATAGAACGTGATCGGTGAAATCTCTGTGATAACTATTCCCCTTCTCATTGTTGCTTCCAAACTAAATTGCCCAAGACGTGCTACGAATAAGGAACTCTCGTGGATGAGGGAACCAAGGGAAGCTGCTTACAAGCATTAACCGTGTCCTTGATAGTCAAGTTGTAACAGCTAGCAGACAGTCTGCTGCAGACTGCCTACCTGTCTCCCAGCAAGAAGACTTCCTGGGTAGGTATGTATTGGAACAGTCGCAATGGTCGACTGCTGGGTGTAGCAACGTTCCCTCTCTCGTCTGCCTGTATCCCATGCGGTGTAAAGTATCGCAATCCAATCATAAAATGCTCGCGCTATAGACGAGTCAACCCAGCGTTGACCCAGCAAATTCTCAGACTGAGCTCCTTCGCAATGGAGAAGAAATCAGCACCAATGCCCAAGTTGTTGTATGGGACAGCCTGGAAGAAAGATGCCACGGCCGATCTCGTGTTCTTAGCCCTGAAGACCGGATTCAGGGGTATCGATACAGCAGCTCAGCCGCGACATTATAGAGAGGATCTAGTCGGGGCCGCTGTTAAACAAGCAATATCATCGAATATCGTAAAGCGGGATGATTTGTTTGTATGTTGTTGGCTTCCTGCTCGCTATTAGTTAAATAACATGTTAACAAGTGCTAGGTTCAAACCAAATTCACTTCGGTAGACGGTCAAGATCCAAATAACTTACCTTACGACCTGAACGCCCCCCTAGAAGAACAAGTCCACTCCTCTGTAGCGTCATCTCTTAACAATTTCCGCTACTCAGACTCAGAGTCAGACGAGCCCTATATTGATAGCTTGGTTCTGCACTCTCCCCTTCGTACGCTTGCAGAAACGGCCATAGTGTGGGAAACGCTGGAAACATATGTGCCGCACAAGATCAGACAGCTGGGGATCTCTAACGCGCCACTGGAAGTTGTTGATTACCTAAACACCAACCCTGATATTATCGTTCGTCCGGCCTGCGTACAGAACCGCTTTTACCCAGCTACGCATTGGGAAGTAGATCTGCGAGCTTACTGCCGAGAAATGGGCATCGTTTTCCAAGCGTTCTGGACGTTATCGGGGAATCCTCAGCTTCTAATGAGTACAAACGTCCATACCCTAGCTACGAAGGCGAACGTCGAGCTGCCCGTTGCATTGTATGCGCTTGTGCTTGGTCTCGGAGGTACATCGATTCTCGACGGGACGACTAACGAGGCACATATGAAGAGCGACCTAGAGGGTATTGACACTGTGAGTGCGTACGCACGGAGCAAAGACGGCCAACACGTCTGGTCAGAGTGTCTATGCAATTTCAAGAAGCAGATCGGAGAGAAATGATAAAACCGACATGTATTATATCATATTGACAAGAAACTCTACAGCGGCTGGGAAAAGGGGGGCAGACTAGGTACCTACCTATGTAGTATCAAATCAAGGCACTAAAATGGCGAAGGCCGTTCGGATCGTCCTCAACCGATACGTGGCGTGATCGTATCTCCTAAGGGGTTGGAAAATCGAAAAATAAAACTAAATATAGACCCGAAACTGACGTAAATTCACCAATGAGGAAAGACATTCGCTATTACCTTAAATATCTGAAATATACCAATACATAGGGAGTTTCCATAAACCTAGGAGGCATTGAATGATCATAGACAACAAACAGGAGAGTGAATTTAAGAAATAATAAAATAGCTGTTAAGACAATCCACCATGTTTGCACCAGCTCGTTCCCCTCCCCAACTACCTAACCTAGCTCAACTCCCCCTTTCATCCCCAGCCACCCTATGTAGATACTTCTTCAACCGACCGTGCCTCAAGCACCTATGTAGGTAATGATTACGACACCCATCGCAGCTGAGCTCAGGATCCTATGTATATGGAACATCTACATAGAACAAACGATAGGTACTGCCGACATGTATAGTCAGTCGTAAGCTCCTGTAGCTAGGTAGTTAACTTAGAATTCCTCGCGGGATAACGAAGTGGTTTCCACGTTTGTTGCTCTACCTCGTAGAAGATCCTACATAGCAGGGCCCCTGCTTACGCCGAAAACATAAAGTCCTATGCAAAGGCCATATTTACTACAAGCATAGGAGGTAACTACCATGTGCTAACCGCCTATAGTATTGTCACGATCATAGGCGAAGCACCCTAATTAGTTGCTAGGCTACTCTTTTGCTGAATTATCTCGTATTGTAATTGCCGTTGGACGTGCCTCCTGAGGTAAGATCCCCGATGTTATATTTAGAAAACTTGGTAGTTGGGCAAATCTTTAACCTGGGAAAGGATATCGGTATCACGATGTGGAGCAAGAAACATGAAAACAACTTTATTGTTCCGTATTGAACTTTAAGCCCAACTATAGAAGCTTGAGCTATATATGCCTTTGAAGTATCCCCTAGGTACCTATTCAAGAGGTCTCATCTTATCTCAGGTGTTATGTTATCTCAGATGACCTTAGACTAGAAATTCTAAATTGGTTCGGGGGCACCCGCTTCTACAAATTTAAGCTTAAGTTTTCTAGAATAACCCAAGAGAGGGTACAAATCACTAAAACACTCAAGACAAAAAGCTCCCAATTATATCAATATAATAATATTTTCCCAACACTGGGTCTACTAATATTGCTTTACGAACACGTTTCCGCCTTTCTCTCTGCAAAGTCCAAACACTTCAAAGATCTACCATAGCTCAGATGGTGCCGACGGCCGTGACAACTAGCTACCTAAGCCCTGACCAAGGTAAGGCCGTAGGTCGACAGAATCTCGTTGACGGGCTGGAAGTAGGTCGTGCCGCCGCGAGTGCAATCGCCGGAGCCTCCCGAGGTGACGCCCTGGGCCTGGGCACCGGTGTAAAAGGACCCGCCAGAGTCGCCGGGCTCGGCGCACACATTGGTTTGGGTGAGGCCAGTGACACGTCCTTCAGCGTAGGTGACTGTCGCGCCCAGGGCGCGGACTGTGCCGCAGTGGACACCGGTGGTAGAGCCGGAGCGACAGATGCTGGCGCCGGTGGCGGACGCGGTGCTGCCCGACACGGGCAGGTTACCCGAGCCGTATCCATCGATGTAGCCACTGAGGGTGGTTCCGCTGACAGTGCGGATGTAGCTCATGTCGGCGCTGCCAGGAAAGACCGAAGCCGAGAAGGTTCCTAGCGACGCACCGCTGCTGGTGGTGGCAGAACTACCTGAGGTGCCACAGTGGCCAGCCGAAACGAAGCCAGTTGTGACCGAGAAGCCGACGGAGCACCGGGCACTTCGGTTGATCAGGTAGGCGTCGCCGCCGAGGACCGTGGCGAGGGTGGTCGGCATCTCCTCAACTGTCCGCACTTCGAACTCGGACGCGGCGAGCCCGACCTGCGCGGCCAGCGACTCGGCATGGGCGGTACTGCCGGCAAGTGCCTCTATGACGAGCTTGTTGGCGGCGACATCGACGTAATACGCCGCGATGCCCGTGTCGGCCGAGTCCGTGCCGAGGGCCTTGGGCTGCTCGATGTCAATGTTGTCAAGTGCCAGCTTAGCCTCTTCAAGCTTGGACAAGCTATTGGCCACGATAGCCGGCGTGGCGCCAGCAGCGGTCACCTCGGAGGCCAAGGCTTGGTCAGTGACGGCGACGTTGAGCGTGGTGCCGTCCTCGGCGATCCAAGCGCCGGCGAACGAGTCGCCCGCCGAGCTGCGCAGCTGCTCGATGACATCGCTGGCCCAAAGGTCTCTGGTGACACGAGCAGTGGCCTGCTCGGCGTCCAGCCCCAAGTCGCGCTTCATGGCGGCTAGGAGCTTCGGGTGGAGGCTGGTCGTAGCCTGCGTGGGGGCACCGTAGGCAACGGGCAGGACGGCTGCCAGGAAGGCGAGGAACCTGAATAGCTCCATGTCTAGCGTTCTGAAGACAACACGTGAGAGAAAGGGGCGCTAATGTTGTAGATGCTAGATAGTAGGCAAGATGAGTCCAAGATGAGTCCAGGATGCTGCTGCAAACTACCAGACAGGATGAGAACATGCGTCCTCTTTTATACTTATCCCGACTCCAGTATCTTGACTTGCATCACGCTTCTGTTGTCGCTGTCCAAGACAGAGCCCTCCATTAGACTAGCCGTCGCCAAATCCCTCCTTCCCAATCTGCCCAAATTCGCCCCGCGACGTTACCCAGGTTTGAATAGTATCGGCAGGGCAATCGTCTGAAGACACTTCAGAAGACATCCATTCTGCGACGTTATAGCAAGATAGGCAGGACAGTCCTCGAAAAGAAGCTTCGAAGATCAAGCATACTCCCTGCGCGACGAGACGGCACATAGCCTAATAGGAAGGAGGAAAAGGGAAGCAAGGAATTAGACGGGAGCTTTTGTTAGATAAGGTGCTGTAACTCCAGGCCGGCATACCTCATGACCTTAGTCAACATGCCAAGTCAGTTCCAGATCATGGGCTTCGGATCGGCTATATCTTCAAACTGGGCAAGCCGATGGTAATGGATGGCTTGGCCCATGTTGTTTTTTGGCCGACAAACCGGGCGATCAACGCTTCCGGCCCGCGAGATTCAGGTCATCGGCATGCGATATTAGCAGGCAAGCCAACATCTGCTTCAGCCTACCGATGATCTGCGTTTCTGGCTTTGCGGAAACACTCGTCATTCTCCGGCTGTCGCAGCGGCGAGCCCCGGCTAACCCGTCCCTCTCCCCCGGCCCCCTCCTACATTACCCCCTTCTCCTAGCTAGCTCCACCATCACTCTCTCTCCGCTTTCTTCGACGGTCTAGGCCCCGCCGAGACAATGTAATCCGAGGTTTGTCCGTTTACACTTTCCGTTCCGGATAAGCAACCGAGATGTCTACGGCGTTCAACACTAATAAGGGAGCTTCAGTCTTGCAAAAGCAAGACTATAAGCCTTGGCTGCTACATGGCTTGAGATGGAGGTCACCGGATAAATTCAGCAAACTTGCGCGCCTTCCTTTGTTAGCGTTATGGCTGAACCAGTAATGTCCACCTTCCGTAAATGCACTAACAACGAAGCTTCCAGCCAGCCTTATTGACTATAGGTATTCCATCGGAGGTCGTATCCACGATATATAGAAAAAGAATCACCTGATAATGGTGATACGATTGGAATCGCATTGCAGTACATGACCTGATTATTTTATTAGAATTAAATATCAGGCCAAGAATCGGTCTTCCGATGCATATACTGGTGCTGTCAATTGGAAATCGAAACGGAATGAGGTGCTACTAATTGTAGACATGAAGATGTATTGGGGAAGGTTTCTAGAGGCATCTCTTAAGATGCGCATCTATAAGATACATCTAAATACATAAGTGGATCTAATTATGGGTCTTATCTATGATATCTTATCTACGATACGGATAATAAGTGCCGTTTTGTGGGTCGCAACAGATATAGGGGCTTCCATTTCTTGATTCCAAAACTTCCAACTCCAAAGGCTTCCATGCCAAGTAGGGATTATTAATACCAATATGTACAATTAAAAGACCTTGAAAAAAGGCTTTTGCTTCTCCTATGATAGTAGCTATACTGAGCCCTCTGACGTTAGATAGATTCCCAAACGAAATAGTTACTAGTTTCTATCTTTGGTGACTTCTGCCTACACTGTTGCTCAGAGCATGAATCAGGGGCACCCAATGCCTACTTCCGAGGAACCCGACAGCGGCCTGGTGAACCTTCATAGTATTCTTTGGATTGTTATGCGTTATATTTGTTATGCTTGATATCCGGGCGCCTTTAAGGTATTTCGCAGCCTATGCTATACCACAACTTCATGCCTGGGTATGGCGACTCTTGGCGTTCAAAACCATATAAGTGGGAAGGGCGGTTAACGTCTTTCATACATATGGTATCACGGCGGCGTGGTCTAGCTGTCTTGGTTAAGAGGATTTATATCCGTCCATTTTTGGTGGCAAAGCTTGACGAAGCCAATGTTCGGGCCGTACTTGAACAAGCCGCACAAGAACTCGCGATTCCACTCTCGAGATACCTTACTCATCTCCCGGATATGGGAAGCAGCAACAGATACTGTCTGCCCAATTACTTAGGGTACTCTTAGCTACCTTACCTAATTTGAGCCATCTCAGCCTCCAAGTCAAAAGCCGTTCTGTTTCCATCTCTCCTTTAGCCCTAAAAGAAACTGGTGCTTCTGAACTCTGGTTTAAAAAGGTCGATATATCTACGTATTCCAATCCCTACGTCGATGGAAGCTACAAGTTCAGCATCAACAACAATACATGCGGTATTTTCAACTTGGCGGCTAATATTGAGACGCTTAATCTTCATATGTGTGGCTCTGTGGTCAATATTCCCCGGTCGAAGATAAATGCTCTCCGTATCACGCATAGTAGACTAGACAGGTACAGTATCCGAAATCTCTTATCATCTTGTGTCAGCTTTGAAACTTTTGTCTACGAAGCTGCTCCTCCCGGTATAATCACGCACGGATGTCTTCAGGGCGCTCTAGGTACGTCAGCCCTTAAGGTCCCATTTTTAAGCCCGGTTCCCAAAAGCCCATTACTTCGCGACAAGTTAACATTTCATTTTCAACTTCTTTAATTCTGGGAAAAGATTTCACTTTGCTAATACATTTTTAATATCCCCCCTGGGCTGTCGTGAGCAAGAGCTGGGCCTCCCCTACATAGTGCCTGATCATGCCTGAGTAAAGTGGTAAGAGATGGTGTGGAGGATAGGGGGCTGGCGAGGGCAACTTTCGGGTGATGCAACAAGCCAGTAAATCAGCCAAGTGTATCTACTTTCGATTTGTCCTCCGCCGCGATGCTAGAATCCCACGCATTTCTTCACCTGCTGGTTTCAGAAGCCGGTAGTGAGCGACTTGCCGTCCTGGAGCGGCAAGAATAGGCCGCTCGTGCCTACGGAAATAAATGTCTTACTTAAGGGATCAGTTCACGTGGCCGAGATGACAGGATTGTTTGGATGGATTTGTTGGCTGGAGCGTATCGGCATATGGCCGTGGCAAATACGAGTGCTGGGCAGATGGAAGCCAAAAACGTCATTTCAGCTGCCAATCCAATTTTTTCAAATCGCTCTCATTAAGAGGTAAGGCGTTGAAGTATACAGGAATATCGTAAGGAATGATGATCAGAAGATACCTGTTGTGCTTCTTTAATTTGGTGCTGGAATCAATGTGTTATTGTTGGCTAGATGAACCGAGGTGTGGTGAATCGTGATTATGGTTACTGGTAATAGAGTGGTTGGTTGGTTGGTTGGTATATTTAACGCCGTGGCTGGCCTCCCTAGGGCATATGGCGTGTAAGACTACCTCAGTATCTTACATGTCTAACCTTAAAAGGCACACGATAATTCAAGCCCTTCTGTGTGTGATCACCATACGGGAGTCTTTCAGGTCCCCTAGTCGAAAAGATCCTATTTCAAGCCGAAGGCATTCCCACGATACAAACTAACGATGGTAATAGAGTGGTAAATGCAAGAGGATAGGCTTTAATGATGAAAGGACTGTAGGGTAAGTAAGTTGCAAATCCTTATGACAAGCAACACAACCAGTACCTATTTCTCTTTAGGCAGATCTAGCACAATGTTAACGCGTTTTTATAACTACCTACTTTAGTACATATTAAAATGCCAATACCCAATGTGATGGCTGCTCCGTACCATGGATTTCACGTATGCTTTACAACCTTTCAAGACTGCTATGAAGTTAGCAAAAGCTACTAAGCTTCTGTAATTTTTACTATATGTTTCTACTTATTCTACCTAGTATAATTACCTAAATATTATTTGACGAAATGAGTAAAGGTGTAAACTTAGTTTGACTTATTGTTTATTTTTCACTGTTAACGGAGGTTAGAATTCGTGTGCAAATGCGCACACATGGATGATGATGATGGTGATGATAACATTTACGTCTATTGGTCTGCTATATGCTGCCTACGTAGATACAGCGGCGCATCTTTAGCGCTTTAGACGTTTAGAGTACTCCCCAAGGGGTCCCCAAGGGGGAACAGAGCTAGAGTACCGCCTGACATTGCGCACACGTGGAGACCCTTTTTGAATCACGAAACTTTAGCTCCTTTTTTTTTCTTCAGCTTAATGGTAAACCTACCATATACCATAGACTTGTCCAAGAATATGAAGATAGGTCGTTCGTCTATAACAAAAAAGAAGATACCTATGGTAAGTTATTGCCTAACAGGTTTATTTATTTCCATCTCTGAAGTTACCTGCCTATGATATCGAATCCAGGGATCTTCTTCTTTGAGGCAGGTTATACACCACATCAGACTCCGATGTATACCTAGTATCCAGTCATTAGAACTCACCTTCTTAACATTGAACGGTGTAAAATTCTGGATAAACTAACCAAAACAGCAAACATTTATGCCTGTCTAATGACGTTAAAGGGGGGAAACCGAGGAACCGCAAATTGCCATCGCAAAGGACTGAGGGTTTCTGAGACTCGTAGATCGTGCGCTGCGTGACATATGCGAACCAAGCGCAAGCATAGTTACTGCTTCCCTAAGTTTCTTAGACTGCATGCAATTATTGACAGCTCATAGCTGATACACAGATCGTGTATGCATTCACGATGGAAGCATCTATGTCACTTAGTTGTTATTCATACGTAAAACCTATTGGATTATTTTATGCTTAGAAATCAACCCCTTGAAAGGACGCGCAAACTAGCTAACGATAGTGGAGGCCATACCCATTTTTAAAGCTATACGAAAAGTGCAGTTGCTTGATGTAACATTATAGTCTTAGTGCACATTCAATAGTCGCCGGGTCGATCATTTGACACCTGAGCATCTTGAATACCTACCTACCTAGGTATGTATGCAAGTCTTAGCATTCACTAAAATCCATCTTTGGGTCGGAAGTAATTCCATCTTGCTCATTTGCCCACATCATCAAGGGGTTCGGCATTTGTATGTTACCTATTGGTGTAACAAAAGACAACTAACAATAGCTTATACTAACTGTATTTAGTTACTTCAAACCACTCAATGGCTCTCAATGCTTAAGTAGTATTTAGTCGTTGGTTAAGGTGGGTAAAGAGATTAAGATATGCGCATAGTCTAGCTACTACAACTGTTACAGTAGGGATTTTTCTGGCGTGACTACCGAAGACCTTTGGGTTCACTAATAAGAAACTTGGTTTTAGGTTAAGCAAGTTCTATAATGATACTTCCATATAGAATATTACTTGGAAATTACGTTTTATAAACGTAAAAGAAGAGAAGTAAAGCGTAGAAACACCAAACTAATACTGCAAAGCCCAATAGTTAATACTTATAGGTAGTTCGAAAATCTTTCTCGTATTATTAGCACTCGGACTTTAGAGTAGACAATAAAGCACTTAAATGCTGGAGAATACATTGACACTATAATACCTACCATTGCAGATAGCAATACCAATCCTAAATCGTTAAACGCAATATTATCGCTTTGACCTTTCAGATCTTGTTGTCGCATTATCACTACCCCTCCCGTTCGAGTGGCCAAATCCTCGAAGCGGATAGCTCCGATCAAATGCTTGTGACAGGCATTCGATCCGGCGCAATCATAACCGCTGATAGCGAAGGACCAATTGAAAGTACAGCAATAGCTCGGCAGCTAAAAGCCCAAGCACCGGTGAGAACGCAATAAACTCCACAGACGTATTGGATTGCTGCCAGGATGATAATATCGCCATTATACCGTAACTCGACGTATTTCCAAGCCCTCTGTTATCGGTTTCCTTCATCGTCGCCAACAATGGGGCCACGTCGAATGATATTGCGCCACCGGAAGGACTTATCAACACCGGTGACAGAGTAACATCCGGCACCTGACCGACCGCCTTGCCCTTGTTACTGTGATAACGTCGTTCCAAAGTTTTAGCTATCACAGCAGCAAAGATATCATTACAAGGTAGTCCTAGCACGTACAACATTTTCCCATAGATCAAGAATTTGATAGATCAAGAGAACTTGGAAGATATGCTACTATTTCCAACTTTTAAAGTATTAAGATAGTTGATTATACTAATTATCATCTATATAGGACGTCGCTCGTACCGCATATTAGGTGTATAATGGGTACTTCCGACCCAATACTTGTAAGTGCGACTTGAATATAGTAGCCGCGAGTATTCGTAACACCCCCTTTTCCAACCCCAACTAAGGACCTATTCGTACAACCGCAAACACCCAATCACCAATTTGAAACCGACCAATAAGTCAACATGCGCTTAGATTTATTAAGCCCTTGTCCCGTTTACCGCCTGTCTTCAAGAACACAGGGGCAGCTCTTCGGAACGGCTTATGACAAGACACATATGCCCGTCTTAGGACTAAGTAAATTCCCTACTGCATCGGAAATGCACTTGACAAGTTGAATCCCTGCTTTTCAAGCAAGGTAGGACACTTGCCCCTTGACCTCTACCAAAATATTCAAACGGAACGTAGCCGTCGAGGGAACCCTAATTCCGATCAGTTATAATATTGATATTCTAAGCATGCCGGCTCATATTATTATACTTCCCCGGTCGATCTCGTTCCAATAACGAATTAGTACTACATACAAGGTCTATGTTATTTGCCCCGATCTCGATTTGCATTTGCCTTTGGTATACACATTGGGATTTTGAGCGTCGTGAGGTGATACCAACCAAGAGATTAAGGTAATGATTGCTTATAAGAGTTTGTAGATACATATGTACTTAGACCTAACCTATGAGGTAGGTAGGCATTGTAGATTGTGTGCATGTAAGTGCGGGACAACACGGCACGTACCAACACAGCATAAGAGGTATGTAATGTAATACCTGTGATTACCTAGCACTGTATCAATAGTGCTGCCCTCCAAAGGGTACATGTACCTATTGGAACTTATCTTTAGGTTATACAAGTATACCTCTTTACATAGTTCCAATCAGAAACCAGAACAGGTAGAACGAACAATCGACTTTCTATCAATTCTGCCAATACCGCCAAGCATTAGTACTTATAAAATCCGTTAAATTAGGCCCATGCAATAACGCAATCAATGCATTGTTACAAGAGCCGAAATGAACCTGTCTGCCTGCATGTCTCGGGATCGTACCGGTTCGGATTTGTCGGTCTTGCTTGCGGTGCAACGGGAATATGTTAGCACATGGCCAACATTTTTATTTCTCCTGTGCGGGCCGCATCCATGCTCCATGCTTCCAAGGATCCCGGGGGGTGGGGGTTTAGGGACATGAGAGAGGGGGAACAAAAAAGATACAGTAGGAGCCCTGGAAGCTGAGCTGCAAGATCTAAGACCTGCAGCAATAAACTCGGTAGGAACCAAACCGGTTCGAGCCGGTCCATCGGGCACATCCCAATCCTAGCCCCGCTTGAGGCTTGATGCTTGATGCTTGACGCTTGACAAGTTTGACACTGACAGACGCTGACGAGACGAACCACGCCATTAAAAACGCATTCTCCACTTTGGATCTCGAAGCGTTAGTTTAGCTTGGGGGTATCTTACGTATCTTACGTATAATAGTACCTAGTGCAAAGTACACTACATACCTACATGAAAAAGCCACAAAATGGATTATCACGATTAGGTACTTAATATTTAGTCTTATCCGATTTCTTCCCCCCACTCTATCTTGCTTTTTTTCCCCCCTCTTTCCTTGCAATTCTTACATATTACATATGATTTATGACTAGGTATGTACTTGATCGATATCGGATTGGGACGTAACACAAACTATACATTAGCTGCATACTTTAGGCACATTAGTTATAGGGCTTCCAAAGTCACACAGAAATAAAATCGATATATAATAGCAGCGTTATATAAGTATATATACCCAAAGTACTTAAATACATCCCATAATCAACGATCTAGCCTCGGGGGTCATTGTCAAACACCCCCACTCACCTACCCGCCAAGTGAGCAACTCTACCGGGTTACTGGAACCTTCACCTCCTTACCTTATAAGTTTATCCCAACGACAGCAGGGCTTGCTGTACTACAGCGAGCATATACCTGGTTTAGTCAGAAATACCCACGTACGTAACTTAGGTATTTTATACGCTACCTACCCTTGTGCTACCTAGGTATGTATACCGAAGCAATATCGAGTTATGAGGTCATGTATATATTCATGTATATATGTACCATCTATATCTGACTCTGCCCTTGTATCTCGGTCTCGATTTGATCCCCATCCCTACGCTGCACCTACACTGCACGCACATATGCATGCATCATCTAAATGCACGCCCCCCCACCCCTCCCCCCTCCCCTTGACTTACCCTGTACAATACATATTATCCTTACTCTGCCTAGATCCAGCACCAGCATCAAGCAACTTACACGCCAACCAACCATAGGCTCGCGCGCGCACCACCATGCAGCAGCAGAAGCAGCAGAAGCAGCAGCAGCAAGAACAAACGCAGAAACCTGATCCAGGCTGTGCAGAAAGTGAAAGTGGGATGGAACAGCGGCTAGACCGCGGCGAAAGCAGCGATGATCCCGCACATCTTAGCGCCAGCAGTAACTCTTGTTCTGCATCTACCGTTACCGTTGCCGACGGCACCGTGCCCAGAGAAGCGGTCACTCTGGACTGTCTGACCGGTGGGCAAGAGTCCCACCACCACCAACAAGATGTCCGGCTTCAACGCCAGCCGATGCACGACGCTACGCCCTCCACCTCCACCGGTTCGCATGGCGCGGCTATACGAGACGGACAAGACCACGTTTCCTCATCAACTGGTGCTCGAACTAACTACCCCAGTTCCAGCCCTAACGCTGACACTGCCGCTGCTGCTAGCGCAATGGGCGCGAATTCCGCCGAGTCCTACGAGCAGCAGCATGTGCATAGCGTATACGAGACTATCGCGTCGCACTTCTCTGCTACGCGGTACAAGCCCTGGCCCTTCGTCGCATCCTTCCTGTCGTCGCTGCCCCCCGGCTCCGTGGGTCTAGACGTCGGCTGCGGCAACGGCAAGTACTTGGATGTGAACCGGGACATCGTGATAATCGGCTCGGACCGTAGTGCCAACTTGGCACGGATAGCCCAAGACCTAAAAACCAAGGGGACCAATGGTGGTGCCGACGTAGTAGGCGTCGCAGACGGACTAGCGCTTCCGTTTGGAGGCGGCGCGAGACGCGTCGATTTCGCCATTTGCATCGCGGTTATCCATCACCTGTCGACGCGCGAGCGGCGCGTCGAGGCCCTGCGGGCCCTACTCGACTGCGTCCGGCCGCGCAGCGGCAAGGTCATGGTATACGTCTGGGCGCTGGAACAGGGAACCAGCCGCCGCGGGTGGGACGAGACTGCAGATCAGGACCAGCTAGTGCCGTGGGTTTTCAAATCCAAGAAGCAGAAGGCGGGAGGAGAAGAGGCTAGTAATAAAAAGGAAAACAGCAATAATGCCAGCAGCGCTGCGAGCGGCGGGAGTACTACAGGGGTCGCAGATGCTACGTATCAACGATATTACCATCTATACAGAAAAGGAGAGCTGGAAGAAGATGCCAAGGCAGCTGGAGGCGAGATTGTAGAGAGCGGCTACGAGAAAGACAATTGGTGGGTTATAGCGAGTCCCAGAGAAGAATACTCGTCGCCGTCTATAGAATCTCGATAGCAACAAATAGCAATAGCAATATTGCTACTAGTAGTAATGATCACGCTGTCAAGTTACACAAGTAGGCAGCCATGGAACTAAATTTTTATTTTGGAAAATAAAAAATAAAAAACAGAAAAGAATACTGTACATACTAAGAAGAAGAAATGCCTAATCGCCAGTCGGATCGCTACCCAACAACTAACTCATGACATACATACATACATACCCAGCCAGCCAGCCAGCCAGCCTCGTCTGCCTATTCCCTCAAACCAACCCACCCTGTCCTAGTAAATGCCCATCACTACAATAACAACAATAAAACTTGATACAAACAAAAACAAAAACAAAAGGCTACACGAACATAGCATAGCATAGCATAATCCGTAAAACCCCGTCACTCGATACCCATAGTTACATACATACATACATACATACATTCATTGATTGTGATGCTTTGAAACCCCTTCCTCGCCGTTTGACCTCCTTGTCACATATCTATTATCCTCCCAGCCAGCCAGCCAGCCTTTTTTTTCCGCGTTTCCGCGTTTCACAAAAAGCAGCCACCACCGCGATCGGGTACGTGGTATGACTACAACGTGGATCGACTGCCTGGCCTGGCCTATGCGTAGAAATACGGGATAGTAGGTAGATAGGGAGGTAGGTAGGTAAAGTAATAGGGAGAAAAAAAGGGCAACAAACGAGCAAACGGCGAAAACGAAGCGTCGTAAAATACCTAGTAGTGGAAAAATAAATGATTAAGAAATAAACAAAAAAAGCACTTTATGTTTCGTCCCCTTTCGCCGTCCCATGATTGCGAGCCAGAAGAAAAAGAAGAAAGGCGGCCGTGAATAAGAACAAACCAATTCATTCGAATCCGATAGTTAGAAAAGGGAAGAAAAGAAAAAGGAAGGCAAATCTGGTAGGTAGGTAGATATATCCACCACCTATTACCACCAACCAACCAACACGAGCAACATCCAGCTCTTTTTCCATCCACCCACCGCCCCGAATCCCAACCGGTCCGCCCGTTAGGTAGTACCTACTACCTACCCATTGCACCTTTTGTGTCTCTGTGGATGTGAATGCGAGTTATCTGTCCTGTTTAAGCTTTTCCTCGCTTCCTGTTGTTGTTGTTGCTGTTGCTGTTGTCGATACATGAAGAAGAAGAAGTATGTCCCCGTAGTTAAAAAACCCCGAACCAAATCCAAATCCAAATCCAAATCCAATACAGTGCCTGCTCCGACCCTTAATACATCTCTGGTTTTTTTATTTCTTTTGTGCTTTTGTATTTTAGTTTCCTCGGTATTCGTAGCAATCATAAATAAATAGGTAAAGGGATCGATCCCTAATTCAAGACCCAAGATGGGAGTCCAATAAACAGGAATAGGTAGGTATCTACGTAAATCTTGTGATTTATCTTTTTCTTTTTTCTTTTTTCTTTTCTTTTTTGGTCTCTGTCTAGTGCCCACGTTCGTGCCGTGGGATATTTGTAATATCGTAAGGTTCCGGCCGCGAGTCTAAGTGATGATGCCTTCGCCTATTCAAGTCGGGAGAGAAGCTGTTGACCTCTGAACCCCTACGACGTTTTGGGTTGGTTGACTCTAGGGGCGGATAGCCTAGAGGTGTCATATACAATCCGTTTGGACTTGAAGCGGTGCTGAGGGCAGGACTTGTGTTGGGAGGGGGGAGAGAGTATGCCGGTGTACTATAAGGGCTGATTCCCGTCGTAAGCTCAGCGACTCCGGGTAACATGGCTGGTCGCGGTGGTTGGTTTTGCGTTTGTATCGGGGCGAGAGGAACTCCATGGTGCGGATATACAAAATTATCGGACGGTTGTTCAGGATATATAGGAACGCGTGGCGGTACGCTTTCTCTTCTCGACGCGAGAGGCCGACCTGGTGGCGCCGTCCCTGCACGACCGTAGCCTCGTCCGGGTCCCGCATCGCGAGAAAGATTACCTTGCGAATGTGAATGACTGTGTCGTGAATGTGCCCTAGAGCTACCGCGAGGTCCTTCTGACGTCGACGTTGCGAGAGCAAAGGGCACCGTCACTCCTGCACGACGTCGCATATCCTGTTCTCCGAGTTGCCAGTGCATTGCCTCTGCAGCCCGCCACGGCATCGACATCTCTTCTGCAACTTTAGCCCACATCTCGGATTTGAACCTATTTCCACCTCGTCAGCTACTTGAAACTCTTTTTATCTGACGGACCAGGTGCCAGAAGCACTTGTTCCAAGCTAGTTTTATCTTTAACTTCAACTAACACCCATAAAATACTATGCTCACCTTTCATAAAGTCTTGCTAGCTTATTTTTACGCTCTTCATCCCACTCGCTCCGCTTTTCGAGGTAGTTCTGATAATGCAGCCGGCAGCTGATGGCGCTTCTTCCCGGTAGCTTCTTGGAGATATCATCCCATTTAAGCCCACTTCCCCGGAGTTCAATGATTAGGGCATCTTCCTCAGTAGACCATTTACTTTGCCTCCTGGCAGGGGACTCCGAAGCGTGTGGCGACATGCTGCGCTTTTTAGACGAACTCCCTGCTGAAACCAGTCCTGGCCCTTGCGGTTCTGAAGTATAATAGAAGGGTAACCCGCCGACAGGTACCGAAGTTATAGTCGCCGTGGTTGCGATAGACGAAGACCGCACTGATAATCGATTGTACTCGTTGTACTCGGGAGGAGAAGGGGAAGACTCATCCGAGTCGGGAGCCTTGAGGAGGAAAGTGAGATCCACGGTGACGGTAGGGGCCAAGGAAGCCTTAGGTAGGCAGATGTTTATAGAAGCGCTATACCGCGCTTGTAGTCCTCACGGGCTCTGAGGAGGTTGTAATGAGTTGTTTTTTCTTCAACACAGCTCGTGTTGCTGGGTGAGCCGCCAAAATTGCCTAACAGCGTTTCGGCTCTGTTTGCTCGATTTTAGGTGAGAAGGTAATAGTGAGTTCACAGCTCGTCCAGATATGCGCACTGGAGTCTAAGGGGGGATTATAGCGCTCCGATGTCAACTCCTTAATGCTGGATAGGTGCAATTTGGGAACTATCAGTACCAGGTATAGGAGTGTATGATATTTGAGTTAAAAGGGGGGCCTTAGATACGACTTAGAAGCGAAGGGAAGGGGACATCCAGGAAGGCCAGAAGCTCTAGATCAGTAAAGTGTGATGATACTGTTTTTGTTAGTGAGCTGTGACATATGATTGGGTATTCCTCCTCAGCCAATAAACGAAAGCACGATAACCTAAGAGGCTTCGAAATAATAAACCGTCGCCAGGCGGATAAGTACAGTACTTTCAGTCAGGTATATATCAAATATTTGGCTAGCACAAGGTACTTTATCCTGTCATTCATGATCTTTGGCCTATGGAGTTATTACTATAGTGGCAATGGACGTACCATAGGTCCACGTTGGGGATGCGCAGTGAAATTTGATCTCGGACGGGGAAAACAGGAAAAGAAACGCTAGGCGAGAGATGCCTAGAAGAGCTGGCAGAGTGAAGGCTTTTGGTTGATGGGCAGCGCGTAGTGGGCAGTGGGCAGTGTGCGAGTAGGTAGCCAGGGTACAGAGCCCGTTAGGTTAGTAGCCCAAAGCTCAATGGATGGGATAACCAGGGGTGTGGGGTGTGAGAGGGTGTGAAATAGAAAGGTGTGGAGACGATAGACACCGGGTTTTCTACGTTTATAGGTAATAGGCAAGTTGTGTGAGGTATAATAGAGCCCAGCAGTTCGTGTGAGAGTTGGGTAACCTCACCGACTATGCCAGCGCAGAATACATACCGTCTGTTGCCCTCCTCCCGAAGGGGTTTGGAAAGGGGAGGGGAGAGGGGGGAGGAGTAAAGTTAAAAAAGTGACAGCTTTCAGGTGATACACCCTCGAAGCCGAAAGGCATCTCAGGACGTAACGCGCAGTGGATATTCATCTGCCCGTGCCTGGGGGAGACGGCTTTCTCATTGTAAGTCGAACAAACGGCTCGCTGGCCATGCAAAGCTATTGACCGGGGGGCTGATGAATGGCCACGACATTCATGCATGACCTCGCAGAGAACAATTCACCACTTTCCATGTAATTTTGGTTAGTACACTAGGGGTAGCTACTGAATCGGCGGATTAATGACGCAAATGGAGCAACGAACTGGAAGAAGCATACAAACGAACTGGGTGTTCGAGAGACCCAGGGCATGACCCAGGACACGACCCAGGACATCTAGGATTGAAGCATCCACACTCCTAGAAGGGTAGGTAAAGTTGTCCGCGTCGGTCAGGAAGAATGTCAAGGCGTTGCGGCGCCGGAGATGGAATATGATGGATACCCAGGGTCCCAGGATGTATGTATACTGCAACATACGCTTTTAAGTCTTTGCGCGGTGTCAGAATATCCGTATACAGGCACGACAGGCATGCTATCTTGCCATCCATGACCGTTCGGGGCTGTCTAACTGCCGTTCCCGGGGCTTGAGGACCTGAGAGGACCCTTTGGCGATCTATTGCAGGGCATCCCACCAGCCCACAGGGCTTGGATGAGATCGATTCTCGATTCGGAGAATGTAATTCCCCTTGTCGAGCCAATGATACCGACTGCACATATTCCAGAAGCCGCAAATGAAGAGAACAGGTGGCGGTGGCAACTACATACATACATGTAATGTAGGGCCATGAAACTACATGGTTGAGTGGAGATCATGAAACCAGACTCTGCCATGCCATGCCATGCCATACCTACCAGACTATGTTACTGCTACCTAAGGGCAGTTTAGGTATGTATGTATGTATGTATGTATGTATGTATGTATGTATGTATGTATGTATGTATGGTATAAGGCATATGGGATGTACGTATGTAGCTACCGCTGATGTGCATGTGCGGATACGACCTTGACCTAGCTACCTGGAAGGGTTTGCGAGGGTCAACGAGCTAAGGAAGAACGACGTACGTTTGGGATACCTATACCAGTTCCAGCTGGACGGGAGAAGGAAAAGCAAGGTAGGGCTTTCGTCCGGAGGAGTAGGGCACACTAGTATAGTATACCTAGTATAGTATAGTATAGCATACACGAGGTATGTATGGTATACATAAGTGGCTTATATACTTGCCTTAGGTAGGTTAGTAAGTACCTATATAGTTCTCTGCCTTTATGAACATGGGTATCGATATGTGGCATGTTTGGAGAGGTAGTAGTGGTGTTGTCAGTTGAGATCGGAGCCCATTAACCGTAGAAATGAATAAAACGGTGTGTGGGTGGGAAAAAATACGTTAGTAGGCGAAGAAGGTATTGTCTAAATGATACGTTCGAGGTTGCTAGGATTGGGGCATACCATGTACAATGCTATAGTGTCTTTAAGTATGTACCTTACCTATCATATTACATACATATGTACATACTATACTATAGCATTGTATACCTAACCTAACCTACTAATGTACCTACATACATATGTAAGTTAGGTCCACTAGGCACATGTAGCACTCACTATAGACAAGATGACTCATGTACTGAGTTTGCAGGTACGTATGAATGGCCCACTAAATTTGAAGGGCACTAACCTCTACATAGTGTTAGCTGGGGAAAAAAAACAACAACTTACAAAGAACAAAGACCCTTGTTTTTTTACTCTCGCGGGAAACGGGGCTCTCTTTCTCTTTCTTCAATGCAGGTTCCATCTAAGCCCAACGTCTGTGCGTTTTTTTATCACGTTTTCACGAACGTCCCCATGGCAATCCTACACGCTACCATGCTACATGATACATACTATTACATTGGCCCTGGTTCGTCTCATACATACCATCACAGTACATCATACGTCGCCTGTAATGGGATACGGGCGCTTATGCTTCTTTTAGGTATTCAATAAGCTCCTCAGCTACCTAGCTACCTAGGTACTCTTCACCTAAACAAGTCCCCTCCGCCCCAAGTCGTCATAGGCGTCGAGAGAGCTGATCAGTGAACAAAGGTTTCCGGGTCTCCGGGAATAGCGATCTGGGGCCGATGAACTGGCGGTCAGCCGACTAGTATGCATGATAGACATTAGACATATATACATATTAATAGGTACCTTACATAGATGGTTACTTCTATGTAGGTATATTTACTAGGTAGTTACTATGTATATAGGTATATTTACTAGGTAGTTACTATGTATATACTACCTTGTACCTATTTAGAACCCACCTGTTCTCTCGAATAGATGGACGTATTGGAACGGCTGTACTGTCTTCCCGGTATGTATAGTACGTATACTCCTCAGCTCGTTTTATTCCTCCTTTTTCTATTATTTTCCCTTTCCCCCTTCAACTTACCTTAGGTACACGTCAGTGCCAAGAAGGTAAGGCGGTGCCGAACTTCTGTTTTAATGGCGTGCATGGGGGGACAACTGCCATGAGCTATGAGCCATGAGCCATGAACCATGATCTGCTTGCCTGCACCGCATCACAATAATTAGAAAAAGTTGGTTTGGGTCCCATTTATCATACATGCAGACATGATGCTTATGCTTGTCAAAGCTCTTACCCATGCGCCACAACAGGAGAGCTCGCGTTGTTTGTTTTCCTTACCAACTTCTGATAGGGTGATAGCTCCTTGCCAGGTTGTTCCGTCTTGGGCTGTCTTATATTCCGCACCTCTTCAAGTGGAGGGGTTTGCTACGGTTGGACCGATGTATCGCGTGCGCTATGCTTGAATTCAGGGACTACACTAGAATGTTAATTAATCGGACAGAAAGAACAGGGGAAGAATGAGAAACCAAAAGAGGACAGCTACATGGTCAACTACATGTACACACATCATGTACATAACATCGTAGGTATCTGCAGGGTACAATTATATTGTATGTACCGCTTTTTTTGCGAGTACATACATATGCGAGTGTTGCGGTTAGCGCAATCTGTTTTACTGTAACTGGTAACAAAATCGTGCTACGTATACTATTTCATCCTTGCGGACGGGGTAACAATTCATTACATATCTACCTCTTTTCATTTACTTATTGCAAGTACTTTACTGCTTACTTACACGTAGGTACTTGGTTTTGTGCGCACGCCGGATTGGTAGGAAAAGCGAAGCGTGGGGGAGTGGTGGATGGTGGATGGGGTCGATGAGGAGTAAATCGTTTACCGGCTCGTTTGAAATGTTGCTGCCCGAACAAAGCGGAGCATATCCAGGCATGCCTAGGCATTATTATGCTTGTCCGTTTGTCAATCAATTAACGAGAAGCGCGCCACAGCCCTGTTCGAGTTTAAGGCACCTAGGCGTATGCCAATCTCAGCCATCCTACTAACTAGCAGCTGTGAGAAAGCGTTGGACGAGGCAGTAAAAGATAACCTCCCGAAGGAAGGACACACGTAACGCTTAGGGATATTACTGCTGTTGGTTGTCCGTCAACCAGTCGTAAGTCGAGGCAAGCCGTCCGTGAGTGTGGCCGTGCTAAAGCCTGATAGACTGGGGGGCATGTAACGTTCGTGGTCAAGTGAGGCAAGACATATGTATGTACGTATTCTCTACCTTTTTCGGCCTAGGCTTCGATCGAACCAGATTGTGAGGAATCAGATGGGCCAGTCAATCCCGGGACCGTCTAGTTGGGCTCGTAGCCCCCAACTTCTCAGCTACCAATATGTCTGACAAGTTCCTTGATAACCCCCATTTTGAAAACATCAGACTTTATCGTAACCTACGTAAGCAACCTTGACATTTTGGGTTTCGGTACCGGCAACCCGTTTTTGCCCGGCCTCTAGATAGTCGTGTTGGCCCTATATTGATGGTTCGGTTTGGTCGTCTCCTCCCATTCACGCCACCGGTTGATACCCGCCTAGCCGCACTACCGTGGCTTCACCTAATATGTTCAGCTATTATTATACCCTGATTGAGGAGGCTCTTAGATATGTAGAGGTGAGGCGACGGTCTGGGCACGACGAGGCGCCCAGAAAATGCATATTTCGTAGCAGGCCGGATAGAAACCATTATGCTGCCCAATAGTTGGCGAGGCATTGTCATCAATAGAGGTATTGCTACTAAACCCATGCCAGGACATGTACCATACCACGTAGACCGAAGGACAACAACAATACCGTTATCCATCATCGCTAGATCGGGCTCTGACAGCGGGAGGCTGACCGCCCTTGGGGTACTTAGCGGTGAACAATACCGTGGATGCCGGATGATGCCGGCAGGAATAGCGCATATTTGCCTCCATGACGAGGTCCTGCTGCCCATACTAGATACACCCACCTTTGGGCTTTGTTGTGCTCATTCGACACTCGGAATCAAAAACATCCTCAATATATTGGTAGAAGGATGGATACTGAATCCGTTTAGGGCTGCGATATAAGCGAAAAGGGAACGCAACAAGGGTGTATAATAAATTAGGGCGTCAATCCGTGAATCCGGGCTCGGATGGCGCAGTAGGTAGAAAGGAGATATGACTTGTCAACTTTTATTCTGTCACGTTCCAGATTTCGAGGGCAGCATGTTTGCTCGACGCTGTGGTTTTGGGGGGTTCTGGGGGATGTATTAGAACCCAGCTCCCGTCTTCCCCGCGAAGCCTACAGCCCGTAGAGCGGCTGAATATCTGCGCCTCGTCCTAGGAGGATTGATAGATCTATCTGGAGATCGTCGGTAGGCTACCGTAACTATCAGCACATCGTAAGCAGTGAATCATACGTGGGGGGCATGGTAATGATTAATGATGATGTTGCAATGGCGTATCATTTCCATGTTTTTAATTTTCCCGGGTAAGGTAGGATCTCATGCTGGGTCGTAAAAAAAAACTCGATGAGGCCAGATGCACCAGGTACGATGAGGCCATACGTCCATATATCTCCCATCTTGCTTCGATGTTGCTGAAGGCAGGCTGTCGTGGTACCCGATGAGTTGGATCTTCAGGTACAGAGACAATGATGCAAACGGTGCTATCCAAATCGTTGGTCCTTATTCAGATTTAGTACCCCCTTGTTTGTCCTACGTGACAAGCGACTGGATCTCGGATACTGGCTGGCTAGTCGCAGGCATCAGTCGGTGGCCGAACGGAATCAATTGACACTTCACGATACAACTTTATTTTTCTTCCCTTCCTCATGCCATGTGCCAATTACACGGTACCGATCTGGACTTGGAGTCAACGCTAAGTGGGTTAGGTAGGTGTGCATGTCGACACAATTAGAAGTTTTTGATGCGGGAAGAAAAAAAAAGAAAAATTTGAGAAGTCAGAAAGATGTGAGGAGAGTTTGGAAAGAGGATGTTGGGGGGTGCATAAACTTATGTTGTACGATGCCCAGATAGGTTATCCCTAATGCAAGTAACAGTTCACAAGCATCATGACAGCATGGGAAGCAGCATGATAGCATGAGAAGTTATAATCAGTCAGCCCAGTCTACCTGCCCTAGGTACTGTAATAGCGTAGTATAGCGTAGTACTACATACCTTCTAGGTTGTCTGAATGGTGCCTGCCCGTGGAACGACTTTGTGGCTTGCATATTGTGGAGGTGTGGCGGCCTTTTTTAGTTGCCGCTCCCCCTTGCTACAGCTAACCCTTGTTAAGATGCTACCCTAGCAGTGTAACCTAGTAGCTGCCCAGGTATGTATCGCACAAGGCACAAGGATTTCAAACCCCATAATGGTCTTTCGAGATTCACTCTGCTCCAACTACATCCCCATTCTTGGATCTTGCGAATATATCGACGCACCCACAACGGAAATTTGCCTTCTTCCACGCAACTATTACCCAATTACCCAACAATCTCGTGTTCTCAACAGATTACCGAGTCTAGCGGCGATCTCATTTGTACTTTGTACGGCCCGAGAAAAGCCTACCGAGCCGGAGTGGGGATTGAGGCTTAAACGGCTCCAAAGATTAGGACCTGGAGCCTCACACTCTCTCGCCTTCGCCTTCTAGCTGTACGCGCCACCTCCTGCACCGTGTGTACGTGGAAGAAGGCCTGCACGACCCTATCCAATCCCAGAGATCATCGGCGTTGATACGCCTTTCAGAATCAAAATCATCTCGTCTAAGCAATACTACGATCTAGGCGAGCAATGGCGGATGTTCCGTTGCAAGTCATTTCCGAGAATTCGACTTCTGAGCGACGAATCACTCCATCGTGGTCGATCACTCAACTGAAACGGAAACTTGAACCCATCACAGGCATTCCTCCTTCATCTCAGCGCATTAGCTTGAAAACTGCCTCGAAGGAATCTATTCCAATCGAAGCTGCAGATGAAGATGTTGTGCTTTTGTCGAATTTCCCTCTCTCTACTTATGCAGAGCTTCATGTAAGTAAGCTGGTTCCCATAGATGCTTTAGGGTGGGCAATTATCGAGCTAGTCATTGCCGTGGCGGTATTTTATTTTGTCGATACGTGTCAGCTCACTAGTCGGTTGAATATGCTTGCATGCGCTCCATCCACCATTATGCACAGCTGCAAATGACTAACTTTGTCGTCAAGGTCATTGACACTCGGCCAGCCAGTGCAAAGCTGAACTTCAATGACACGTCGGGCGTCGAGAAATACATCATGCCCCCAGAAGAATACGAGAAGAAATCTGACTCGGTCTTGGCGTGGAAAAAGGCCGAAAAACTAGGCCGGTTCAACCCGGATGCTCCCAGTCTGGAGAAGGCTAAGATTGACGCTTTTGAGCTTGAAGTTAGAAGTAGGGGTATAGAGGTAGGTAAAAGGTGCAGAGTTGGCGGTGACGACACTCGTAGAGGAGAAGTCAAATACGTCGGCGAGGTAAAAGAAATTCCTGGCTCTATAGGTGCTTGGGTTGGAGTTCAACTCGACGAACCTGTTGGGAAGAACGACGGTAGCATTGGAGGTACCAGATACTGGGGCACTGAATCTACGCTTAAACATGGCGTCTTTGTGAGACCGGAAAGAGTGGAAGTGGGCGAATGGCCTGTGCTCAATGATTTGGAGGATATGGAAGAGATATAATTGAGTATTTCATTGCTCATCCATAGATAGATAAATCCGTGATAGCTTTTATTTTTTAAGATGACATGAAATAGATAGAAGTATCCCCACCAGTATGTTTATAAGGGATAATTAGGTAGCTAGGTAGTCAAAAAAGAAAAGCGTCGGTTGGGGAACACCCAGTCCTTAATCATTCTTGCTATATCTTGGTAGGCCTAGTTTTGGAACAAATTTTGTACGAACTAATGTAGTTATATACGTGATGCCTCAAAGCAAACAATTAGATGCGCAACTCATGGTTCGCCTGTCTCTTATGCTTTGAATATACTCAACCATCACGTCAATCATGTACCTACTTCTACGTTGAAATGGAACATAGCCCTAAAGGCGATGGGGGACCGACGAAACTTGTTAAATTACGACTGGGTACATAAAGTAAGATTGAAAACTCAATGTTCTTTCATCGAATAACTATACCTAATGGTTGTTTGAAGCTAGATACCTAGTGATAAATTATTTTAGTGAAGGCGTTATGAACCAGGTTGACGTTAGAGTGAACAGTGCTGTCCTGTACATCCTTTAGTTTATGACTATTTCATGGATTCATTAGGCCGATCGACAGGTAGTGATCGCCAATCAGGGAATGTTGAGCCCCCAGAGGCAAGGTTTGGCATCATAATTACCATGTATCATCAGTACCATCATCAGTATAGCATCATGTAGATTAGAGCTTGCCACGTCCCATACCCCCAGGGAGGTTGCTAAACGGAGCTTACGCTCCGTTCGCTCAGACGTTAAATAGAACAACAACCAAAAACATGGCTATTTTTTTCATTAGATACCGTAAAGACGCTACAAGATGATTAGTACTCAGCATACAAATAGTCATCGCGTCGAAAAACTTGATCCGACATCTCCTTTAGAGCATTGGACGATAAGAACATGAACTTATGCAGTAGTTACATTCGATGTAAGTTTGATATCTAAGACAAGACAAGCCCTGAGGCAGACGAGAGACATACCCAGGTAGATGGTACAGATGCATTTTAGAAAGTAATATTGTGTGTTTGGTATCACAGCAGTGCCGAAGATACCGAGAAACCACAGTACTACCTACGTGATGTTGTACTCAGGAGGAAATATGAGTTCCCAGTAGAACAATGTTTACGAAGAGGTAATATTTTGCACCTGGCCTGTGAGAGGAACGGCCTAGGTAGTAGGACGGTGCTCGCTATGAGATTACCGAATGTGGCCTATAATATTGGCCCCGCCCAGTAATTCAACTTGGAAATCCTACCTCTTGTAGGCATTGAGTTGCAAAAGAAGTATTTACGTACCCACGAACTGAACGAACTATACATTTACCATATGTTATACTCAATTGTCTAACCAATCAAAAACATGTGTTAATGTCACAATGGGCCATGTACTTAGTCTACTTCTAATATTCCAATTTAGAGGAAAGTCACTACTAGAATTGAGGCTTTGACACAGATAGTTGAATTCATACTGCTGCTACTTGAGGGTTGGCGAAGTACCAACAAAACATCCATGGCGAGTTGATGCATAGTACATATTAACCCAAACTTACAAATTGGACTTGAAATAACTACGATGGGTAATACTATAGAGGAACCTTAATATCTATTTTAAATCTATATATATTTGCCTCCTGGTAAGAACGATAAATACTTTGTACGTAATCTTTCTACTCTGTTGGACTTCGTTGTATCGAGCTACATTGGAATATTAAGGTTTTGAACATGAGGACCGTGCACTTTTCGGTAAAGTTATTGTGAATCAGATCTGAATCTGATATAGACCAGGGTCTTAACGTGTTCAAGGTTTATCTGCAGCGCCTGCCAAATTTCAGCCAACAATACCTAACATACTAACCTAGCAGCTTCGGGATTGTACATAATGGACCGAGCCGAGTCCTGAGCCAATTATGGGATATTTCCTTACTTGGGTAACTGAGCGCGTGATCTTTGAGTTCGAAGTAATAGCTTACAGAGTTATTCACAAGAATAAGTTAAATGACAGATATGGTTGAAACTATTTATAGAAATTAATTAACTAGTTAACTAGAAAGACAGATTGAACCTAAGCGAACTAGTAATTCCGCGCTTCTCCTCAAATTTACCCCAGAATACGAGTCAAGTAGCAGATAGCCGAATGTCCGCATTTGGATATTCATATTCCAGATGAGGCTCGATATCTCATGCAAGACAGCCAACTTAGTAGCAAGGCATCTATGATATAATAGTTATGTTAGATTGCAGGATTCTTATTGGCATCATCCACATTATGTTGTGATTGCGCGTAAGTACAGTAATCATAGTAATCCGTTATGTCCGTCTGTCTACGTATTCAAATGGCTGTGCACCGGAGAATTCTAGTGTACTGTTGTTAGCCTTGCCAAGCTAACTTTGCTTTAAAATGAAGATGGTGACAAAACAATGCTTGTCTCGGAATGTCTAAACATAAGAGACTCGAGTAACGATTATAATTGGGACCGTATGAACTAATTACTAATTACTAATTGCCAATTGCCAACTGCCAATTGCATTAAAAAGTTATTAGTGTTACGTTTCTGAGGGAAAGAATGATGACCTACAGGTAATACCTAGCATGTTACAAGACAAAGCCGGACTAGTGTCGTTGCGGCTTAACATGGGGAGTTGCGACTAGCCGTCAATCCGATCTTGGCATTCCAATGCCGTCGAATCCGTTAGGTGCAATGCATACGCTGCACACGTCGGAAACCGCTTTTCCCCACATCCCACCCGCTCGCTCTCGCTATTCTAGTTGTCACTCCAACTCAAACCATCAACACGTACTCATACAACCTGAACATTAGGTATCCCTCGACTTCCGACTTCCCATGTGTGCCGTCCGACGTCCGACAAACGATCCAAAACAGAGCGCATTGCCGCCACAATTGTCGATTATACCCGACACTTCCACGATACCCGTAGTGCCGAGCGCTTATTATCAATCGAGAAAATAGAGAAGCATCGCCGAGCTCAGAAAAACAATCGCACGGTCTCATGCTTGACTCTAGCGAGCATAAACGGTGCTGAGATGCGACACCAGCTCTGCGTGTGCAGCGCTAAATAGGGCTGTCCTCATACATGATCCGATAGGTACACTTGTTGGATTTCTTCCTGCTTCTTACCGGCCTGGTTCCGTCTATTCTTCTCTTTCCCGTCTTATTCCGTAACGGCTGGCCGATCGCGCAAAAGTCAACAAGAAGCCCAACATGGCGACGTCGACCGTCGCCGGTTCCGCCAGCGCGGTATACCTTCTCTTGTGCCTCACTTGTATCATTTCCATCGTATCCGCCGACGTAGCTACTACGAGTCCGATGCAAACACTTCCCGATTATTACGAGCTATACGCTATGGCCCTTACTCTTACCTCCGCGTCTGGTCCTGTCCAATTTAACTACAAGGTTGCGCCTTTAACAGCAGAGGCAGGTTTGAACCAAACAAATGAGAATGCTCTGGAGGTATAGCCATTATTCAACCCCACTCCATTGATGCGGTAGAGCTGAAACGTATGGCAGACATTCAAAGTAGAAGGTCGAATGGTCATCGTAGACCAAAGCAACTACAACAAACTTGATGACAGTACCAAAGACGCTATGGCCTATATATCATGCGATGCGACTACCAACGACTCCTATATCAGTCCTGACGATGTCTTGAATTCGGTTATGACTAAGCAGCCAAAGGCTATATTGCTATTCAGCACTTCTGAGGGGACATGTTGCTCTCTTGATGGATCCAATCTTCCATTCAAATCTGTCTGGACTATGACCGATCAGTCGGACGCCTGGGAGATCAAGAACCAGACTGTCGAGTCTACTGTAATTCGTGGGACAATAACGGGGGCTAACGCCGATGGAGATTCTGATATCGGTCAGTCGCAAGGCGGTAATAATTCGGCGGTTGCAATGAGCATTTTGTACAGTATCACTGGTCTGATTACTTTGCTATTTCTCATTATCATTGCCACCGGAGCGATCCGAGCACATCGTCATCCCGAAAGATACGGGCCAAGGGCCAGCTATGGCGGAAGACCAAGACAGAGCCGAGCAAAGGGTTTAGCGCGAGCTGTTCTGGAAACGCTCCCTATTGTAAAATTTGGGGATCCCCAACCTGTAAAACCGGATCCGGAGAACGAGCATGAGAGTATTTCAGGAGACCACCAGCTACATTCATCATCTCCAACGCAGCGCGAGTTAACATCATATCACGCAGAGCAAGGCGGGTCATCCCCAGATGCAGTAGCAAAAGCTGTTACCAATTCCACCACTGAAACCCCAGGCGCTGGCGTGTCGGGAGATAGCGGGGTCAGCTATGGGCTAACTGAAAACGAGCACCTTGGCTGTTCTATCTGTACGGAAGATTTTACGGTTGGACAAGATGTGAGAGTGCTTCCTTGCGACCATAAATTCCATCCTCAGTGTATCGATCCGTGGTTGGTTAATGTGTCTGGTACCTGTCCTTTATGGTAAGTATTCCAAGTTAACGTAATCTGATGTTTCAGAAACTAATAAGCATCCAACTAGTCGACTTGACCTCCGCCCACATGAGGAAGAGGATGAAGAAGGCGGCGAAGGCGCTTGGGCACCGGCTTATCCGGATATAATGAGCCATGGTCCCGTTGACAGTCACTTAGCTCCTCCGCCTGAGGATGAGGCAGATGCAACGCAAAGACGACGAAGGTCACGACTGCTAGACTGGAATAGGCTGCGCCATGCTACTGTCGATGAGCGTATTCAGGCTCTTAGACAGTATCGGCAGACACAAGGAGTAACTGCTGGTAATGGTTCGGCCGAGGACCAAAATCGACATGCAAAATTGTCAGACCGTCTACGGGAGAAGTTTCATATTCGTACGAGAGCTCATCCTCCGAGTGACCTACCATCCACAAGCCAATAAGCTGCTTGAGTTCACACTAGCGCTTATAGGTATACCCGACCTTTTTGTTGTTGTTTTGTTGTTGGGTTGATAGATTATTGTACAGTTGCAGCTGTATAAGTGTGACAAATCATACAACACGCGGTTTCGATGTGGTTACGAGGTGATGATATGAGAAGGGGGGATGTTATACCTCGGATAAAACGGCGTTAAATCTTATGTTGGAAGTTTGGGTATCAGGATACGAGGATTGCATTGGTCGGCGTTGGTGGCTATCGAGTTATCGGGTAGTTTTACAACTAGATGAATCTGGGATTGTGCAGGCGTTGGACGTGACGGGCGCGATGGGTCTGAAGCAGAACGGCAACGAGATAATGCCGTAAGAGTACAAATATATGAACCTGTTACTCTTGAAACCGGGCTTTGCGTGCAAATGATATTAAAGAGAGAGTAGGGTCTATCTTACTTGGTATTGCTATCTACTTGATCGGATGGTCAACATCTGAACTAATTGTTGGGGCGGTAAATAAATATTATTTTTATTCGGCCTAGATAGTATTCGATCATGCCGTCCTCGCTGCGTCTCCTATTCAAGTAAGCCATATCTTGGGATGGCTTGCTATGGCTCCAACGCCCTTTAGGAAGCATCATGTATGGACCTCCTATTCCGTACGCAGACAACCAGTAGATTCCAGGAATATCATCCCCCTTTTTAAAGGAGAGTAGGTTTAAACCTACCTCCTTCATACGAAAGTGGTGGAATTGAAGAAAGGGGTGGGGAGGGGAGTTGAGCTCCAGGCTTTGAAAAAGAAAAAAAAAACCTAGAACTCTGCCAATCGGTAAGCTTGGCAAAAGTCTATCTCATCCCAAGCTCTAGGGACACGTCTACTTATCTGTTCGACCGAGCCTACAGTGGTATGTAGGGTAATAGTTGTTGTATATGAGCACTACTGCTACGGAGGCTGGAAATGCTTCTGCTCGTTGTTCGTTCATGTTACGCACGTCCGGGATTCGCGCATGTGCAGTTCACGTTGCTTACTTGTGGCGTTCACGTAACCGAGTAAGGCCGTTCTTATGTTAGATATTTGGTCTTATAATATCGAGGATGAAAAATATGTTGTAGGTACCTATTGTTTTAGGTTTGAATAGGGGCTCCTCGCCCCCCCGGGAGTTCGAATACCCCTGACCATGTGCGTCCATAGCACTTTCCTTCTGGATAGTTTCTCTAGGGCTGTTAAGTGAATTTAGGTTCGACTTCTATTTAGCGCTATTGGTATCTCGCTTGGCAGCACATTTGTTTCCATCGAACCACCTACACAATGTTTCGCCCGTGAAAGTTCATCCAAAAGGGCACACGCCGACTATAACACGCTTGGGCTCTTGCGTCGAGGTACGCCGACAACCTTATTAATGGCGTTATGGCGGCTCTAGGGTCAATGGATTAAACTTTATATGAGCTCAGAGGGCTCGGACTATGTCCTGCTTCTTTCATTTTGTTACTATCTCAGGTAGGTCCAGTTATTCCTTACTCGCTTTCCTCTCGTTTTCTTTCCTGGTTATCCGCTTTCGTTCGCTCCAGCTTTGAGATTCTCACATAGTCTTCTAGGTCGTGCTGCCGAGAACGCAATATCCGATATGGCTTCGCTTCTGCTATCTAGGAATGGCACGTCTTCATTACCGGCTCCATCCCCTAGGCCGCTTGCTGGCACAGTTACTGCCGTGATTTTACCATTCGCTGCTATTACCATTCTAGCATGTTTCATCAGTATGTGCTTTATTTTTTATTACTTCTTGTACGGAAGGACATCAGTGCGCTAATAATGGATATAGCACAACGGGCGCTTGCCGTAAAGGCATGGTCGCGTCTACCGCTTGTTACCTTAGGTGCGTTTAACTGCCTAGATCATTACTCTACAGCCGGGTATCATATACAGATAGCTGACCTGAGACATTCTTTTCCCTAGTGGTCTTCGCAATTTATGTTGATTCCTGGGCCTTCGTGTCCGGGTCGAGTATTGTTGACTACGGCATAGGCGTCGACTCGAACATTGGCGTCTGCTCAGCGGCCATTTTGCTGTGCTTATTCTTCTATATAACGACTAAAGTCTGTCCAATTCTCTTCCCCATCCTTTTACTAGTATATTGAATTAACACGAGACCAGATTGTGAGAATGGAACCCATTATAAATTCGGAAAATCTCCTATGCTTACGTTTCTACTTGGGCAGTTAATCTATATTTTCCAGGTCGAAAAAGCTGTATGTGCATGAATTAATCCGCTTCCGCTGAATTAGATCTAGGATCTCACCAAGATGAATTAGTTCCTCATTCAGGGTGGCACGCAACGACGGGTCGAGTCTAAGCTCTATATCTTCAATTTGTTTGGCGTGCTCAGTAAGTTTATGCCTATTGCCAGTTGACTAAGAACAAGTCTCGCTTACTTTTTAATAGCTATATTTGTGGTTATATGTATTTTGACTTTCGTCTAGTAAGTCTGGAAAAGGAGCCTTGTAACGCATGAAGAGTTTGTTACTCAACTAACCACCACCTAACAGTCGTACAACGCAAATTAACAAGGGACGGTGTATCATTGGAATAGAGAAGCAGGCCCTGATACCTCTCATCGTACTCGAGACTGCGGCAAATGTATGTTACATTGGTGTCCTTCTCATTCATAAAGGATCAGGGCTAAAGGATGAAATAGGTTTATATCATGGCGCTATTCTTGAACCCGGTCTGGAGTAAGACTTCTATGTTATTCATATTCCACATTCATACATCGGGTTTCGCTACGTATAAGCTGCCTTGGCTAACTCTCCTATTATCACTTGCTAGATATCTACTCGCTCAAGGGCACTTCTCGTGGACCGCCCACCCACCCTGCTCTACGCCCGGCAGCAATACGGACCTTCGTTGGCGCTCTACTTACTACTACCTCAACCATAGTGTAAGTTCTCCCTTATACAGAATCATAACTATTGTATAAGTCCCGGGAACAAGAGCTAAGGAAAGTACTGCTTGAAGAAACCTTACGGTTCTTATGGTGCTCAACGGCGAGCCTGGCTGGATTTTCCTCGCGTGTTGTAATGCGGATAGTAAGTCAACCCTTTCTTTTTTGCGATTATTGTTTGCTGTCCAAGCATGCTTCGACTCATGCAGCGTAGAGCGGGCGGCATATATCCCCTGGTCTACTTGCTTTTATCCGCGGGAGACCAAAATAACAAACCTTGAGTAACCAGCCGACTAACCAGTTACCAGTCTTATTCTCCACGTTGATTATCCAATGGGTCACATCACGCGACGATGATAATACCATTACCTCTTCATCCCCTACTTCTAACCCCCCCGATAGCCAAGCCAAGTATCGTCCGTCCCCGCGCGCACCATCGGTTCCTGGACGGCGCAGCCAGAAACTCGCCATCTCGCGGCCGCTGAAAACGACTAGCACCTCACAGTACGAACATCTATTCGGGGAAATCGAGCCCGAGACCGAGACCGACATCGTGAGTGCGAGCAGCTTGTCTAAGCACAAGGCCGGGTCCTCGCGCTCTGACGAGGATAACGACGGTTTCCACACCTCTTTCTTCCACGACGGCCCAGAGGGCGATATCTGCGATGGCGCTAGGAACGAGAGAGCAACCAGTAGCATCTGGACAAGCCCAACACCACCATCTGCACGAGCGGACGCAAGGGCGGACGACCGAGCTTCAAGTAAATCGCATACTTCTGCCCAACCCCCCACGCACGAAGGCCCCTCTGTCATCTCGGCGGCGGTGGCCACGGACCTGGAGCGGATACGCCGGTATCGGAGCCGGCGGACGAATTGGACCTCCACTTCCGCCACGACCTCGACGCCACCGCCGCCGCCGACGTCTACATCGATAATGTCAAGGTCGCACAGCCCCGCACCAGTACCACGAGCATCGCGATCACGAGCAGCAGCGCGCGGGAGCGTGCGCAGTGTGCGCGAGTACTACCTTAGCCGGCTGGACTTCGAAGATGGAGGGGACGCGGGGTCGCGATGGCACGAGCTTATCCAAGCTGAAGAAGAGGGGCGCGGGGAGGACGGCGAGATGGTGGGTTGGATCTAGGTAATTAATTTGGAAACGCGACAGGAAAAAAAAAAAATTTAGCCATCAGTCAGTCAGTCAGTCAGTCAGTCAGTCAGCGAAAAGACAAAAAGGGGGTACCTAGGCGAAAGCATGTGATGTATGTGATGGCCGCGGTAACGCCCGCATAGGTAATTCGGAACCAAAAAACATGTGCGCGGCGGCATAGTTGGCAGAACAGAGGGGAAAGTCGGTGTTTTAGATCATGGTTGGCAACCTGCATCTATCTATAAGAATTTCGCATGACCTGGTTCCGTGTTTATATTATTATAGTTATAGTCTCGGGGTTATATCTGTTAGGTAGCTAAGGTAGGTCTAGGTAGTTATAGTAATGTCCAATGGTTCGCATATAAATCGCGCGGGTGAAGGGAACCCAACAGTAGAGTCCTCCTTTACCTATCTTGTTCCCCTTGTTCCCCTATGAGTTCGGGATTACGTCACGATACCCCAACATTCTACTTGGGCATCTCAATTGAAGAGATATTTTAATTTAAACCCTTAAACAATTTGTTTAAATTATGGGATTGATTCGTTAGCAAAGCATAGCTCAACTACTTAACCTAGGTAGGTAGACTATGTAGTTTACATACAGCCATAGGACACATTACACCTGCGAGACGATAATACAATTATATGCTACTGCAACACAATACTTGAATGAATTTCAATTCGTTGTTATTCGTATCTTCATGAATCTGCATTGATCCTAAGATATCCTTTCGCGCATGTTTACAACCGAATAAAGCAAAGCAGATCCAGATGGATATCCAGCGACTCAACCGGTGTAAAAACCAGTCGAATTATGTACAAAGAAGTGAAATGCCGACGTTTTGTATTCCCTCGCAATGCAAAATCCCTTACCCCTAAACCTAAACCCCACTTAAAACAAAAGTGATAAAGTAGAAACGGTATCTTTCGAAGGAATTGCCTTAGATACCTGCGAAGATTTTGCCGAATGAGCTCAAGTCTGTCGCCGAAGACATGAGGCTGCCTTCGTTCACCATGAAATACGAGTACTTCTCGACGAAACTAAACTCGTCGCTGTCCAGTCCCTGGGTGACGGATGTCATGAATTGGTCGATGTCGCCATCCGTTGCCGCGAACTCGGTAACCCAGACGGGTTTGCCCTGGCAAGCGTCGTAAACCTTCTTGATGTGGTCCAGGAAGAGGCTCGCGCCGTCATCGCCTCCGGGTCCGTACCAATGAGCAGCGCAGAAGTCAACTTGGCATTGGCCGTCACACGCATCGAAGAACTGGTTAAGCCAGTCGATACCCATTCCTGAGCTATCGCTGCTGGAAATGGCCGGTGAGCTGATCTTGACTCTGCCAGCATACTTGTTCATGAATTGCTTGTGAGCGGTCGCAGCATCCTGGGGAGACAAGTTAGCTTGACTAGAGATATCAGGCTCGTTGAAGCTGAGGAAACTGTCGGATCCTGAGGCAATAGCGGCTTCGGCCTTCTCATCCCAGTTGCTAGAGTGGTCCGAAGCGGGAGACCAGAGCATAGGGTAGTAAGAAATCTTGGCTTGTAATCCACCGGAGTCAGATCCCCAGTTGTACGCCCATGAGATTTTGTCAGTCTGGCCCACCAAAGCGCTAACAAGGTTTGGGTCGTTGTACGCGGCACCTCGCTTGCTGACTGTAGAAGCAGCAGACGACGAGGGAACAGCGGCAGCAGACGACGAGGAAGCAGCAGACGACGAGGGAACAACAGACAACGAGAGAACAGCAGACAACGAGAGAACAGGAGCCTCCGTTGACGCGGGTGGTGCGGGATCAGCTGGGGTCTGTGTCTCAGCCGGAGTAGCCTCGGAAGAAGTTGTAGGCGGGGCAGCCTCGGAAGAAGTTGTAGACGGAGGAGGAGCCTCAGACGAACTCGGAGAAGGGGGAATCTCAGAAGAGCTTGGGGCAGGAGAACTCTCCGCTGGAGTAGACTCAGGTGCAGGGCTCTCAGCAGGGGAACTCTCTGGAGCGGGAGTCTCAGGCGCAGGAGCCTCGGCAGATGTGCTTGACGGCGGTAGAGGGTTCTCAGAGGTAGGGTCCGCTGAAGGGGAACTCTCGACCGCGGGAGCCTCAACAGGAGCCGCAACGATCGAAGGAGACTCAACGACTGGCGCTTCAGTGGGTTGATGACCGGCAATGACAGTGTGGGTCACCCATTCAGTAACGACGACGACGTCAGTGTATGCGTATACGATGTCCTTCTTGGGGTGCTTGTGGCGATGAATAGGGCCAGCGCAGACCTCCTGAACTGAGGCTGCAGCGGCAAGCGCCAAAATGCTAAGCTTGGCATGCATCTTGGTCGATTTTCGTGATGGTAATGATTGCTGATGATGTGCTATATGGTATTCTTAGTGTAGTCAATTTCACTAGTTATGTAAGTTATGCTCCGTATTCTTTCGAGAATTGTTGCTGCGATTTCCGTTCAAGGAGTGTTAAGGTGCCAGCAGTCCAGTCAAAGGAGGGAAGAGACGTATCAGATGATACTGTCAGAAATGAATGAAATTGTCGAAGGGGTTCTGTACGCGCTGCGTATTGGGGTGTACCGGCGACGAGACGGGAAGCAGGTCGTGCAGTCTATCAAAGACGCAGAAGGAATGATGCGAGTTTGATGAGAGATCAGTTGCACCCTTGGACAATAAATATTGGTTGTAGTTGCGGCCGTGAGTGTGCGACGTTTGACGGAGGACAACACACAGAGCGTAGCTATTGAAGGTAGGCAACTATCAACTCAAGGCCAGTCACAACTAGGTGAGGCAAGTAGGTCGAGCTGGCGACCTTTTAGAGGAAATTTACACGAAGGGAGAAATGAATGTACGGGGGTAAAGAAAAGGAGCGGTGATTCTCGATGGAGATAACCGAGATGGAAAATAACGGTGCTGAGTGAAAAAAGAATGGATAAAGGGTCCGTGGTTGGAGTTTTATGTTGCTGACGGCTACGAGGAAGTAACGAGTGTGTGTGTGTAAGTGTGTACCTGCAGGTTCATCCAGCAATCGGGATGCCTGTGGGGCAAAGGGGGGGGAAGACAAGGAGCTCCTTCCACTTTCTAGTGGCTAGACTCTCCTGGCCAGCCGCTAACCGGGGTAGTTAGCGTCTTTTTAGCTGCAGGAGATGCTATTTAGGGCCGGACTAAGCGCCAAGACTGGAAAGAATCGTACCAAGTATCGTCCCGTGCACTAAAAGATCTCTTGGAAAGTCAATCCGATTAGCGCAAACCGATTCAAAGTTGACGGGTTTGTACCCAAGTACTAAGATGCGAAGCACCTGTCCGCCAGTTCAGACGGAAAGTCAGCCAAACCCGTGGCTTCCTATTGGCGCTTTTGGGACAATATTGAATTGATGACAGGTACGTACATGTAGGTACCTAACATACATACATGTGCCCACAATACATCATGCAGGTACGTCTACTAGGCGGTTGGTTGGGTACATTCCCACTCACTGTTAAAGGCTATCATAGTGTAGTTGAAAGTGCGCAACTTGGTAGCTTCTGATATAACGCATCAAACAAAATTCAAACATATGTCCTCCTTATTCCTGGGCATTCACTTCCAGATTCACTTTATCAACAGCCTCATGCTTCATGCTAAATATACTTTATCAGCCTTCTATGAAGGGAAGGTTCGGAGAGGAAGTGTTTAATGTTTCCTATTGCGCCATGTTTACGAGGACTATCAAACAAATCTGCCAAGCGCAGGAAATCCACCAATCAAAAAACAGAGCCACCCGACTTTCGGTTATAATAACAGGTCAGACGTAGCGCATGCAGGTACCGCTGCTAGAGCTGCAGGAACAAGGCACGCATACCTAAACAGACCGCTTAACATGAGGAGCGATGGGCTCATAGTGGGAGGAATTCAGGGGCTGTTAGAGATCCGTGGGTTAGTATAGCCTTGTATTTTTCTATCAAATTCAACCTTGAAAGTACTCCATAATACAACCCAGCATCCCTGCAACAATCATTCCTCCTATCCAACTTCTTGATTCGTTCTAGAATTCGTCGCAAATACATACCCGTAGGAAGATGAATATTGTTACAAATACATTGTATCCCAGTTCACAACCTACTTCAAAACAATATCAGCTATCATGTTATCGGTACCGAGTTCCTTTTCCAAATTAACATACCTACCTTTTAGTTAATCTACAGAACGGAAGGGAAAGAAGACAAACGGACGCGCCCACCAACTGGAACAATGCGCGCTCTTTTCAATAAACACGATGGCGGTCTCAAGTACAGGAAATGTATATACAGGTTCAGTACTTTCCAACCCTGATTCGATACGATTCGATCCACGTGTGAGCTATGAGTGGTTGGTTGGTTGTGGCAGCCCGACCGAGAGGCTGCTTTTGCGCTATTCCGCTCTTCTCCTCATCCCGGCGCCACCGTTTCTGCTTATGCCTTGCTTCCCTTCGAGTTTAGCGTCTTACGTGGACAACATGCTGTGTACCGGCCACCTGGTGATCAACGCAGGCCTTGTATATAATTGACGAGAGAGAATGAAGAAATGTTGCCCTACATACAATGACGTGGTTGTGAGACGGGAGCGAAATTACTCCCCAAGTAATATCGCTACGAGTAATTGCAGCACAGCGTTACAATGCGTTGCGGTACAACTCTGGCGGGAAACGGCATCAGAAGGTATTATATTATTATGGGCTTCCATGCCCACAGGCCCATATGTTCCGCTCCCCAAGTTTCTGTGCCCCTTGTCCGTTGTAACGGCACATCAAAGCTTGGCTTTTCCTCCCTTCGGATACTAATCGGGCGATCTTTAATATTAATAGCCACCACGAATTGAGTCGGGCAACAATAGGCTATTGCGACGTCGACATAATCCAAAATCCACAGCTGGACGCTTTTCAACGAGGAAGTGTTTGCTGGTGGCTGGTTTCTGCCAGCGTCGAAGCAAGCCTATCTACAAAGAAAAGAAGCTAGATTACTTTACGAGAGACATGTGGCTCGGACTGGCAACCTATCAGATTTCAGGGACAATGGCCAAATTTGGCTGCGCTGACTAGGCAATCTGTTGATGCATGGGAGTGTAAGGGGTGTAAAATGGTGAAATTTCACGGAAATAATCCTCATCCAGTGCAAGCCATGTGTAAGGAGATATTTAGACACGTCACTCAATAATATAATAACTTAGTGACGGGCTACTCATTGGGCAGGGAGTCGAGAACATAGAGAACTATATACCTTCATACTGGCACTCGTCGAAGACGTAAATATAGGCGCTGTTTGTTAGTGGGCTTGTTCTAAACCGTTTGAATGAAGAACAAATTAAATCGATAGGATTAGGTAGGTAGTTACATATCTCGGCGAATACTTCGCGGGAGTGTCCGAGCCGCATTATGAATCTCGGTACGTACCCTAGAATGATTATCGTGGGTTTCTGACCACCATGATTCATGTTGTGGGTTGTCATGATAGTTTTCACGATCATATAGTTATCCTAGATAGCAACTGGAAGCTACCTCATACGTACCTATGTACCTAAAATGCCTGACTTACCTGAGGTATGCTGAAAGCTACCTAGGTACGTATCACATGATACGCGTAACAAAGCTCTCCTTCCATCTTGTGTAACCATTTTTCCTAGCAATCAAACCATCTTTTAGATAGGTGCATTGACCAGTCTTATCGTAGAAATGATAAGCTATTTTTAATCAAGCCTTTGTCACTGGGAAAGTAGTTGAGTGCAGGTACGTACGTGCTCTTTCTCAAATGGTTTGTTTCTGCTATTGTTTACGAACAAAAAAACTAAGCAAGAACAATAGTTGTTATAACAACCTTCTGATACAAAGCTTTCGCGCGTAAAACTACAAATACTCCAATCGGTTCTTCAAATCATCTACCTAAATCTTTTCACCTTTTTTTTTCCAACCGACTCCATCAACTTTCCCAGAGGGCTCCATTCTTCTCCGTTCATCAATCTGAGCAATATCCGGCCCCGCATTACCTACAGGATCACCGTTCCGTCGGGTGCAACCAATACTACACATCGATTTCGGTCCGCCCAATTCCGATGTCTTCCTATAGCGAACACTCGTGCTCAAGTTGCAACTCGGATGCCGAGTCGGTATCTTCTTCAGTCCTCTACGTCGAGCAGGAACCATTCGACACATTTAAAAATCGAGTCCTTGACTTGGCTCTTCACAAAATCTGGCCCGATGCGACAGCGGATGAGATCATCATAGAGCGTATGCTCGGAGGTGGATTTAACCGCATCATTGGCCTGTCTCGGCATACAGCTCAACAACCCGACAATGATGTCCAATACATTCTGCGCATTCCCCGCGAGAGAGATGAGCCATTAGACAGCCAAGTTGATACTCTACGATATTTACATGAACGTTACAACATTCCGGCCCCAAAGGTCATCAGCTTCGACCACACAGACGACAATGAGCTCAATTCTAGATACATGATCCAGAATCGCATCACCGGAGAAACCCTGTTATCATCTTATCCAAGCCTTACCCATGAAGAGCGATGCAGGGTCGCATGGGAACTTGGTCATGTTTATTCTGAACTATTATCCACTAAGAGTGCAACATCCACCATTTTGGTGCCGCCTGAAGAAGAGTAAGTACCCCTTGAATCAATGACACAATAGTGTATAGAGCTAACAATTACCAGAGATATTCGAGATCCTCCTATACCCCAAGATATCGGTAAGATGCTTCTCGATATCTTCCAGAGTCAGAAGGCTGCCGAGTTAGAAGCCCGGCCGCGTTCCATCATCAGACCCGAGCTTCTTGATCAGTTCTGCAAGATGACCTCTGGTTTAGCCAAGGATGGTTGGTTTGAGGACTGTCACATCTCTTTAGCACACCTAGACATGGAGCCGCGCAACATACTGGTGAATCCAACGTCTGATACTGAACTACCGATCATCTCCGCAATTCTAGATTGGGACAGCGCCATCTTCGCTCCTCAATTCATGTGCTGCACGCCGCCACTATGGCTATGGGCATGGTCAGATTACGAAGAGCAGGACGAGCGTACAGTAAATGACATACCACCCACACCAGAAGGACGCCAGTTGAAACAGCTCTTTGAGGAGGCAGCCGGTAAAGAATATATTCGGTTTGCTTGTCAACCGATTTATCGGTTTGCGAGACAGCTTGTTCGCTTCGCCGTCCAGGGTTTATTATCCAATGAAGACTACAATGAAGCCAGAAATATGCTGCGAGAGTGGGAGGACTTCTGTGATGAAACTTGTTCTGATGAACCAAGCAATGTTTTCGATGAATCAAGCAATGATTCCGATGAATCAAGCAATGATTCCGATGGTGAGGAGGACGAAGATTCGGACACAGAAGAGGAGACCACTATAGAACAGTATGTGCCGATTGTCACCAAGGCAGCTGAGAGTTACACTATAGAACAGTATGTGCCGATTGTCACCAAGGCAGCTGAGAGTTACACTATGCAAGACTATGGTACTACTACTTGGTCTGCTGAGGATGCCACTATACGGCAAGATGAGAACACCACGGCTTGGCAACATTAGAATATTCTCGTCCGTTAGTTTAAGTATTTCTGTTTAGGAAGATGAGTATTTGGAAGTCTAGGGTGAGAGCATTAGTGGGTTGGGGATACGGCAATCCATCAATATCGATGGCGAAGTACCCATGGGACTTGTACTTTAGTTATCCAAAGATCCAAACAATATAAATAGACATACCCCCTAATAATCCCATTGTATTAAAAGAAGTGCTATTTTGCTATAAACATCCAAATTAAAAACCCATGTAGAGATCATATCATATTTTCCCCTCCAAGACTTATATAGGTACGTTTATATACGTAGCTTAACGGGAAGGCCTAGGATTAATATGATGATATTCATTAGATCATACGCGTATCACTGTGGATTTAAACAGTATCAAGAACGCGTCTAAAACTTCCAATAATGTCATGACCCAATCACGCTGGAATATATACTAATGAGGTGAGGATATTTCTTGGAGAGATCTATATACGAATGGAGGCTATACCATGCAGGAGGTTCAGCTCATGCTCAATGATATATATATTCTTAAGCACAAGTGTACAATTATCTACCACGAGCCATGTCTCTTTGCTTTCCTCATGATCGCTATCCCTACCCTAATGACATCACCAGTTGCATTACCCTTGGAAACCCATACTTATTTATCCCCTTCCCATTACTATGAGTACGCTGACGGCTGGCTACCACGATACCACCTGCTGCTGCTGATGAGGCCTGCATTACGGGCCTAACAATTTACTGTATGAATCATAACAGTCAACCATTAGCGTGCGTAGGGCACATCAGAAGCACGATTGTTTACCTAGACATTAAGTCATGAAAATAAAGCCCTTACTCATGTAGAAAACTAGGAACAAAGGGTATCCAAAAAAAAAAAAAAAAAAATGAATTGCTATAAAAAGCAGCTGTCAAGTGCTGCCAGTCCAACTGCCCCTTTATTGCATTGTTACATGACTCCTTAACAACGACATCTAGGTCAAAACACGTACATGATAAAGAAACTTCAACCATGTTTGCCAACGGTATGCCTTTCTACGAACAATACCTTTCGAGGATGTTTGTTATCATACAGCTCATGACAATTCACGTACCTGTGAACTAGCTTATTGTTACGTTCAAAATAATTTGTTATGCCAAGTATTTAACAATGGGCTGCGTACTCTGCTCAATGTAAATATTCCTAGAGAGTTCATCATACAAACCTCGGTTCCAATAGCTTCACACAATTCAAACCTGAGATACCACAGAGAAGCATACTCCTAAGCCTCTTACAAAGCCTACTTCCCCTCGACTATCCTCACGCGACTTACCTCGTCGTTACCACGTCGATCAACTCGATCTTCGATCACCAACAAGGTACGGAGTAATTTATTATTGATACACCTACTTACTACATTCCCCCATCTAACTCCATACGGTTATTTAGTCTTCACCATGCCGAAAGATTTCAAAAGAAGTACCCGCCATCACTGCCCCTTGAAGAACGGGAGCAAGGGCAACTGTCGTCGTCTGAATGGCTACTGCTCAGCCCATCAGATCAAGTGTATGCAGCACTCAACGATCCACCTCCGGGGCGAGCCCTGCATGGATTGTCAGGTAAGTTAATTTCTACACGCTGAGCGTCATTTAAGTTGTCATACTAATATCTGGATTGTAGAGAGAAGCACAACGGATGGCAGAAGAAGCAGCTAACGCTTCCGCGGATACAAAGGACGAGAGCAAGTCCAAGAACAAGAAAGTAAAGAAGTAATCTGGTTATGCTGGATGCGGTCGTTGTCTTTTGCTATTTGGTTCAGTTGGGTGGTCGAGCCGGCCCAATGGTTGTAATTAGTTTTTCACGAGTTACGCCACAATACCCAATAAACGAGACTCGATAAAAACCGAACCGAACACGTTGGTAGGACATCCAGGGTTCGATTTCGACGAGAGCTATGAGGTAAGGGTGATTAACAGTAATCCTCTCTAATTTCTAGGCTTCACCCGTGTCGAATATCGTAGATGTGCCCTCTTCCCGAAGACCTACTTAACGCATACGCAGTAAAGGCATCATACTAGTGACGGCTATATCTAAGATTGTAACTCAAGTATATATATATTATTATATATATACATGTAAGTGTGCTTCGGTTTCTAAAAACTTCTCGCCATCGTTCGCGGTTGCTTAGATACTGAGAGCATGACCCCTATTCTAGGTAGGGATTGTATTATAGCTTAGAAAAAAACGAAAAAAAAAAAAAAATAACCGGCTTTTTCATTATTCAACTAGATTGTTATGTGGATCCTTAACAACAGTGACTCAGGCACTCATTGTAATGAGGCAGTCGCTGCCTGCGATTGTACGCATATATAAACAATAGCTAGATCCTAATCCTGTAATCCTAATAATAGCCAATACAACAACAATGTCACCATAATCCAGGGAATCACAATAGTATTTCTAGGGAGATACTATGGGACTACTGACGTTACACAGGGACGAATTTGGTATTATGTAGCTATTGCCCACTATACTTTTAAGGTAGTTACGCGGAACTAGAAAACACACCTTATAGATGGCTGTGTTATTTAACCTTAAGTAGCTGTTTGACTAACCGTTGGTGTCACATAAGACTTAGAGGAATAATCTAACAGCACTGTTATTATCTCTTCGAGAAGCTTTGAAGCAGCCCACCCCCCTTTTCCTTTCCTTTGCGTTTCGATTCATCAATCGCATGCTCTGATTGGATAAAAAATAAGATGACATCCTTGCGGCTAACATATAAAACAAAACCTCATCGGTCTAACTCATTGCGCAGTCCGCACAATGTTTTATTGACTGCTACTGTTTATCCAAGTAGACAAAGCTAACGCAGCTAAGAGTGATGAGATTCAGTTCAATCTACGATATTAGTTAAAAGTGCCCAATCAGGTATCATTATCCCGGACTTTAGCTTTGAGCATCGCCACGATTTCAGACCACGTGATTGGTTGATTGCCAAGCCAGACTTGCCTTAACAGAGTCAAGATTCTTTGAAGTTCGTCTTCATGAGATTGACAGTCTTCCTGAGAAGTAATCATCTCATTTGAACTTTTCTGAGCCCAGTATATCACAGGGATAGGTATTTAATAGAGGCTCGATGGAACCGTCAAACCCTACTCAGCCCAGGATCCTCCCTCGTGTGAGCTTGGATAGTGGAAACGGCTTTAATTATACGTACTTCTCTCCAGACGATGACATCGGCTATCTCACCGGCGATGGTGCTCCTGGCCCTATCCTGGCATTGAACAATATATCAAACATTACGTCCCCGACGACCGCGCTCACCAGGAGTAATTTAACTCAGAGACAAAGGTATGAACGGCGAGGCCACACGAAGAGTCGACGTGGGTGTTACAACTGCAAGAGGCGACGCATCAAGGTATTCGAGGCTCGGAACGTATGTATAAGCATTGTAGCTCAAAATACTGATATCAAATAATAGTGTCAAGAAACACGTCCTGCCTGCGCGCATTGTACAAAGACGGGACTGAAGTGTGAATATCCAGCAGTACCACAAGTCATACACCAAGTATGAACCCCTTATAATTATTATTTATTATATAAGAATCATTACCAACAGGCGCAAAGCCACAGAATCAGGTCCCGCTATTCAGTCTACAAGATATGCGGTTCTTCCAGCATTTCTTGCAGACGTGCGTTCCCCATCAACCCATAGGGAACGAAGCCATATGGACTCATGAGATTCCATGTTTATCGCAGAATGTACGCGCTGTAACAAAGTCAATCTTAGAGCCAGGATATACTAATCGACTGGCAATTGTAGTACGAGTATCTCATGCACGCGATATTGGGCTTCGCGGCGTCGAATCTCATGTCGCAAGATCCTAGCCTAGTCACCTTCGCCATGTCGCATCGGCTGAAGGCAATTAGAGCGATTAAGAAGACGCTGAGCGAAGTCCCGAAATCGAATACTTTTGAAGAAGGGAACGCCCTTAGTACGTAACCTTACCTAGCCCCCCCCTTTTCCCTGTATCCCCTATTCTCCGACCCGGGGAGACTACCAACCCCTTAACCCCCTTTTCACGGTTATACAAGATGACTTTTCACTCGCCGAACAATCCTGGGACTAGATATAGAACACACCATCAGACTAAATACCCAAACCTCTTTGCCATCATACCTAAACTATTAATACATAAACCACCCTTCAACTTCTACTAACCAACCTTTCCCCCCTAACCAGTAGCAACCTGCTTCGCGCTAACCTTCCAATCCGTGGTCCTCGAGGACGGCATGGCCGAATTCATGACCTTCTGCCGCGGAATAATCCTAGTCGCGATCCAGATGTTTACGCGCAACACCAAATTCCTCTTCCGCAATCTTCTCGACAACGAGTCCGCCGCGCTCCTGCGCCCCTTCATAGAAGCGCTGCCCCCTATCCGCCGGGACTGGGTCGACATGGCCGTCTCCAGCGTCCGGGGCTTGGAGCCCTTGTGCGAGCACGAGGAGGTAGAAGCCGAGTACTACCGCCTGCTCCTGGACATGGCCTCGGCCCTGAGCGACTCGGCCTTCCGCGCCTACGAGCTCCTATCCAAGCACTACGGATGGTGGATGCAGCTGCCGCACGCGCAGTTCCAGCGCCTCGTCGACCCGGAGAACCAGACGTGCACGCTGCTAGCCGCGCACTGGATCGCCATCAAGCAGATCATGGTCCCCATCACCGAGACCGAGTACCGGCTAGGCGCACGCGAGCCGCGGCACCAGAATCACGACCAGGAAGGAGATAGCAGCAGCAGCAGCAACAAGGACAACGGCAGCATGAACCTAGGCATGGTCCGCTGGCTCAGGTATCTCAACCGCCAGGTCGACGCCGAACACCGGCGCTACAACGACTGGCCCGTGTGGGTCGAGGAGCAGCTCGACAGGGACCCGACCTTCTTCGGGAGGACGCTGTCTTGAATTCCAGCGGCCTTATCCATACTACAATCCACTAACTACGTGATCGTGATCTTCACACATACCTATAACAGACAAGCGGTGGGGCGTAAAGAGGAGCAATTCATCGCATCGGCTTACTTGCTTACCCGACCCTAGAAAGACGACGATAGATACCTACATAGCATCACGACATCAACCACGTGTGTTTTTTAGGCAGGCAGGCAAAAAGCCAACCCACGCACTTCGTACGATAACGCCGGCGATTAGCTCCTTGGCTTCTTCGCCTGACACTTACGGGCCGTCCCTTGATAGACCGAAGGAGCGGCTAGGATCCGGCATTAGACCGGGAGTGCATTCTGGGATATTAAGCCGCCGGCGGCGGTAGTGGTATGCAAGGACCTATTTGCAATATGTATGCACCTTAGCTAGCCTCTTAGATACCTACATTAGGTATGCATGATAAGAATCAAGCTCAGGCTTAGACTCCTCTTCTTACCGGTAATATATCTCTACCTATCTACCTACCTACTTAATAATGCATATAGCCTCATCCCACCAGCAAGCGCAATCGGCATCCGATCAGTCCCTAACCGGGTCTGCCAAACGAACTAACGCACGCACCGGCAATCCTACCCTATGTAAATAATCCCCGAGTCAAATAATCCCCGTCCGGGAACACACATAAAAAAAAATCCACCTTGTCGGTTTCCGAGTGCTTACCTACCTATCTAATACCTAACCACCGGGACTACCCACCGGGACTACCTATCCTATCCGCGGCAGTATTACCTTACATATGTATTCCTTCCTTCGTGCCCAATCCTTCGGAGTTTCCATTTTCTCTCTCTTTCTCTCTCTCTCTTTCTACCTACAATGTACGTAAATACCATTTCATTACCCCCATGCCTCAAAGCGGCGCAGCCAACCCATGTCATGTCCACTTGCTTACCCGAATCATCGGCCAAACCCCATTCCCAGTCCCAATTCGCGGCTTACGCCACGAGCCGTGTATCGCACACATACACACACGTGCCTACTAGGTTACTATACAACGTACCCAGGCCCTATCCCAGCTAGGTATCTCCTTTACCATAGTACATACCATACGTACATACATATTCCTTCCTTCCTTCGTTTGATACCCGCCGCAGGTAAAAATGAATCTCGCGGAAAACAAAAGAACCTCCCGATGACAAATATCACCTAACCTAACCTGATAAGATAAATAAATGGATATTGGATTTACCTACTGTCTTACTTACATACGCGTTTATTAATCCAACCCTTGACTACGGGATGCACATACATTAGTAGCTGCTGCATAAGGTACCTAGGCACTTAAAGTATAGAACCTTGAATGTCGTCTAGATAACCTCTTTCCAAGACCGAGATGACTAACACGTAGGCGTAAATTCTGGATGTTGGGGGTTTTTGAAACGATTGCTATTCATAATGCCTTATTACATATTATTATCGTCACGGTAGTTTATCATCCAAAGGGGGCAAGTACGTCACGCAGACGTGCAAAAGGGGATATGAACCTCATCGTGCCCACCACAGATGTCTATCCTACCTATACAAGCATAGCCAGCTAGTAGACCCGTAGATAAATCCCAAGTGCAAATACCACCAATAGATCTAAATCACTGAATTGACTATACTCAGCTAACCTAACCATTCTTGCGCTCTAAATCATAGCACGATGCCCACCCAACCAACCCGCTAACTCATGGCGTTCCTGAGTCTGACCCAAGATTCCGGGAAGGCCACCCCAATTCAAAACCGGGACGGCAAAAAAGAATCTAGAACCACATTTGATCGAAAAACCTGGTACGCCTTGCTCGAACAAAAAATACGGAGCCCACCGTTTTATCTCTCCTGTTCCACTTTCATGCTCGACTAAGCCATAATGTAAACATCCAATTCTAATAACAAGGCTATACCGGGGTATTTACACACAGTGAAGAAGTGAAAGGTGGAAAAAGAGGAGAATAATATATAATAACCTTAGGAAATAAAAATCAGGGCGTGCCGGCGATGTTTAGGGCAAGTCTCCGCGCAAACTCCCGTGGGTTTGCGACAAAGGCGGCCGAGGTGTTGACGAATGAGGTGCCGTAGAATACCAGCGAGGGTGCAACGCTGACTAGCATGGCACCAATGATGAAAACTAGTATCGGAATCTGTCACCATTCGTTAGCAATAGTATTAATAAAGAGAAGGGACGTATTTACCCAGACAAACCAGAGCATCTTATCACTGCTTCCGGTCTTGAGCCTCTGAGCGTGGGCTCGTTGTAGGTGTTCCTGTTGTTCCTTGGTAATACTGTGCTTATGCCCGATCTCGAGAAGTGCGGGCACTTCTTGCCTCTGTGACGCTTCTTGTGTTTGCGATGATCCTGACGTCGCTTGGTCGAAAAGAGTAGCACATTTCTCGTCGGCTATAGCCTCGGCTGCGGCTGCGGCGGCTGCGGCTCGCTTGGCATCAACATCTCTTTGTGGGAAGATGCTGTTATATGCTGGCGGAGGGCTGTCCTTAACGCCGAATCTAGAGAGATCCCACCACTTACCATCGGCATCTCGTGGGGGTTCTTCATCCCCAGGTTCAGGGCGCTGGCCCCGGATGTTAGGGACGAGAGAGCTGATACGTTGCATGACGGGAGCTGCGTATAGATAGGCATGGTAATCCGGAAGCACGGGTATCTGTGGCATCTGTGGCATCTGAGGCATCTGAGGCATCTGCGGCATTTGCATGTGCGGTAGGTTTTGTAAATGCATTGTCATGGAGTGCTGCAATTGCTGGAACTGCGCCGTAACTTGTTCCCGGAGAGCTGCCATTGCTGCGGTCGTCGTTGCGGGAGGAGCATCAACGCCGGTGGGTTCACGCGGAGGGGCATACTGCGGGAAGCTTGGTCGTCTCATGTTTAGCCAGTCGCCGCCTTCTTCGTTGTTGTTGTTGTTTTGAACTGACGAATCGTCATCGTCGTCACTGCTGTCTTCCGAAGAGCTTGGGCTCTCCGACATGAATTCCTCGCGGTGTGCCGGGTCCCATTGCGATCTTAGGGAGCTAGCACTATTAGCCCTGCTATGAAGTGAACCGTTGCTTCGGGATCTGGAATGGTTCTCGATATGTCGGAGAACTCTGAGCACGTCACTGGATCGAGCAACGTCGGCAGGCGTCAAACCAGAGAGACTTCGCATATTTGGATCGGCCCCTCTCATGATGAGACGCCGGACGATTTCTTGGTGGCCATTCATCGCTGCCAAGTGCAACGGCGTAAAGCCTCCCTTATCCCGCACGCCCACGTTAGCGCCACGTGATAGTAGGCCGGCGACAAAGCGCACAAGCCCGATAGAAGAAGCCAGGTGAAGCATAGTTTGCCCATTTGCCCTTCTGAGGTTGATCCTCGCCTTGTTGGGGCTATCGTCTAAATCAATCAACTCTAGAATACGAAGAAGTCCCTTTTCTACAGATTCCGAGAGATCCTGTTCCAGGTTGTTGAAGTTTGCATTGGGTGTTTGACCATTGGATCCAGGGGAAGGCCCCCAGGAACCACCGGTTGCGGGCCCGTAGATGATATTTCTTGCGATATCCGCAACATCTGTTAGATTATTCCCAAGTTTATTGCCCAGCACAGTGAGTGCTGTGCGTATTAGGCGATGTTCATCATCGTCGACGTATCTAAACAGGGGCTGTTGATTGCCGCCAAATGAATGCTGGGAAGCAACGCCCGGCTGTCTGATTGAAACTGGGACGATCCCAGCGACAGGAGATGGCGGCAGAAGACAAACTAACGATGTCTCGCCCCAGTAGGTCGTAGTAGCGGCTCTTTGTTCCCCAAACATGACTTCCAGACCGCCATTTGTGAAACCACTGCCAAGGATTGTGACCTCAACTCCTCCCGTTTTTGGACCTTCGCCAGGGATGATCTTGTAGATCATTGGTTGCGTTCTACTCGAGTTCATGACCGTAGGCGCATTGTATATATTCTGACTAAGCGAACTATGACATGCATTTTGTATATCATTCCTCACTCGACTCGGACTAGGCGCACGGCTAGGATGAGCCGAGGACGGTGTAGAGAATATTTGAGATGCTGGCACATTGTCGATACTCATGTTTCTGCTTCCTTGGGGGACGCCGATTTCGGCGTTATTGGTCTTGGGTGTAGGTGGTTCTGCCACCTTGGAATATGCTTGTCCTATACTATTAAGGTTCGCCTGCTGTCCATGAAACATCGACTCCGTGGACATTGGGAAGTTTCCCATGATTGGCGAAAATGGTGATGCGGCTGCAGAAGTCACAGCTGATTCATTTTGAGCTCCTGGAGGCATTATCGGTGGCGATTGCCCTGTCTCGAGCCTAGTCATCGCTAGGCCAGTAGGGAGCTTTACCGACCCGCTTGCTTTCCTCTTTTTAGATGTAGGACCGGAAGGACTAGTGGGCGAACCCTGTCTAGACATATTGCGAGATGTTGTTGTAGTAACCGGCATAGATTGGGAATGATTAGCGGGAAGAGCAAATGGAGTAGCCGGTGTTAATCCTTGGAGATCAGAGGTTGCTGGCGACATGCGAAAGGACTGTATTGAGGGCTCGATATGGTGAACGTCCATTGCTACAGGAAGCGGTGGCGATAGAACAGCATTCTGCGTGGCTGATGCTGCCGGGAGATGCGTCTTGTGATCGTCTGTTATCATAATGGAAGACGAAATCTGCTGGGCGACAACATTATCCTGATAATCTTTGATGGTAAAGATAACTTGGAACCCCATCTTCTCTCCGTGATGGCGGCAGTAACAAGCAATGCGCATTGGCGCGTCTACTTGAACGGTACCGTCAGGGACAGAGCGATCAACTAGCCCGGCTCCCGTAGGATCAACCATATGAGGAGTGACTGCTTGCCAATCCTTGATTTCTTGGGTGTTGAAAACGATGACCCGTTGATGCTCAAATCGATTCCACAACTCATCCTCCTCCGGCTTCTTGTGCTTCTTACGACTGGCACGTTTCCGTTCCCGAGTTATACAGCCAGCACATATGCGTACTTCGCCACCATTCTGAGGCTTATGTTCATCATCCTCATTTCCGTCGTCTGATCTCTTTAAACTGGCGGTATCATGCCCGGCCACCGCAGCTCGGCGAAAAGCACGCTGAAGCTTCATAGGGTCTTGCATGGCACTGGTGCAAACTAACATAGTATAGAGTTCGAGCATGTCAGGTGACCGCGCCGCCCCGGGCTTTGCCAGTAACTTAGGCTTCGAAATCGTATGAGTTGGTAAGTGAAGCCTCTTGATACCAGGGGGGAGTGCGTGGATAGTGAGCTTGATTGGGATTTGGGTCTCAACTCGGGATTTGAGAGGCGTAGGTTGAATCACCAGTCTTGGCCTCTGCGCCGGCGCCAAACTTATCTGAGGCGAATAAGACGGAAGACTATTAACCGGCATGCTTGTCGGATCTCGTCTAAAGGGGGGTTTGGGAGCTACGCTGTTAGCACATGGACCCGTTGTAGACGGCCATTGCATCAAGGAATCCCACCGGCTGGACGTGGTGCCAAGATGGTTCGTGATATTATCGGGGGAGGGTGAGTTGTTAAGCATTGTTGCGGGAGAGGTTTCCTGGCTAATTATCATATTCGACGTGGGCGAACCTTCTCTGGAACCACTCGTTTTCAGCCCGTTCATCGACTTTGTTATAGAATGTTGCTAAATACTAGTTAGTGTGAAGAGAGTTAACGCATGTGAGTAAGAATGGGACGGACCGATTGTGTCTTATGATGACCCTTGATCCGCTTAGCGGCAGGGGCATTCGGCATGGAATTTGCTGCTACGGGCGACTCTTGCATGAGACCATTCGTAGCGGGGCTAGGGCTACTAGAAGCACTATCAAAGTCGAAGACACGGGACATTTCCATAGTAGTAGGGTCTATAGTGTCGAACATAAAGTTCGCGTCGATATTTCTAGATTCATGTTCGAGGTTCCAGCCGGAAAAGGGTTCGTCGGTCATCATGGCCTCCGCCGAAGTCTGGCTCGTTTTCGCCGACGTCGAAATTCCGCTTATCATAGACGAAGAGGAAGACGCAGAACCCCGGTGTGAAGGAAGAGCCAGAGCTCTGTTAGGGTTGGCCTGTTCGGGTTGGCCAAGCCCCAACGGAAAAGGCTTTGGATCATCGTAGAGACCTGTGTCGAGTAGTTCGCCGCTTGTAAAATCGAATATATTCGTGCCTGATGAGTGAGCATCTTCGTAGAAGTCGAACTCGTTGCTGGCGGCGAAAGAGGGAGGTAACATCCCCGAATCAGAAGTAAACTGGTTCGTCCCACTGAACGGGGGGGAACCAGAATTCGTCATGGCCCAGCTCACGCGGTTCTTGGGTACACCAAGAATGGGATACTATAAGCAGTTGTGTCAGCGTGCTGGGTAGAAGTCGTGATACAACACAATACCTACCAACAAATTACCCTAGACTGTGTCCACACTGGTGACGTATATAAAATAATAGCAACCCCTAAAGATGCGACAAACGTCAAGATAATCTTCTGAAGTGCTGTCTTCCACCAAGTCCGACCGTATGAGATGTACTATGCTTTGAAGTTACAGCAACATGCTTCTTCTTATTCTCCTGCTCAATTGAAAATATTTCAACGAGTACAAGAGTTTCCAACAACCTCGATAGCAGGTGTTATAGGCAAGACTCGATATCCGAGCGATGGCTCGAGGGTGTTTAGGATTCGATACTTGGGCTCGGATAACGTGCCGAATCGGTGAAAAGTTGCGGTAAGTCCTACTACGAGGTCTGTTTTGCTAGAAGTGCAAACTATAATGATGCCTATCCGTCGCGCTATGGGAATTCCAATACGTCAAAACTCCTAATCAATTGAAGATGACTCAGTAAGGAAAGAGGCGATAGAAAAAAGAAAGAAGGAATGAATGTATTGGCCGTGATGGTGGTGTGGTTTGTTGACTTTAGATTTCACCAAAGGCCGGGATGGGATGTGGGATGGATGATTTAGGATGGGAGAGAGCGCAAGGCGGCACTTTGGATCAATCAATTTGTCTAGGTCCAAGATAGCATCGAACCCGACCGGGGGCAACAATCAGTGTACAAGCGTAAGGTAGTGTAGGTAAGAGTTGGGGTGGAGAATTAAAAGACGGTCGAGGTTGTCTGGGTGCTGGGTGTTCGAGAAAAGGGTAAAGTTCGTTCGAGCACGCTAACTTGGACTATGTAATTAGACCTAAGAGTTAGGTACTATGTACCTCTTGAGACTTTCAAGGTTGTGCGCGGCAGCCTCCCCCCGGTGCCCGGAAAAACCGGGGTTTTCCTATCTTGGATGAGTGCGAAAAAGGTACTTTGAGTCTGCCATAGTATCTCCGAAATTTGTTAATGACCTAGCAGCAAATCATATAGTAATCGACTAATCTCGCTTAACCTACGTGTAACATTGTCGCTACTAAATTCTAACCATGTTAGTGCGGAATCTTCTACTTAAAACATCTGTCGTGTGCTCTACCTTCTGTAAGATCATGAGAGGCACTCTCTTACAAGCTTAACCTTACGCAACTCAAGGCTGTAGCTACAACCAGACTAATAAATAAGCTCAATCAAACCATCGTGTTTTTTAAACCTCCCGCGTTTACCTATGCGTTTATATATATACCTACCTAACCTAATACATACGCGTAGTTCTGCCAAAGAGTCACATCACGCAGTTGACATCAGCTCTCCTCATCTTTGAAACCCTCTAAGCAACGCCGGTCATCGGGCATAGCTTTGACGTGCTGACCACAACTCGCGAGGTTTCTTCGCTTACCTGATACCCTTAAGGAATATACCTAAGACTAATTAACTAGTTACATGACCTGTTACAACTAATTCGTCTTACGGAAACGTTTACGTACCGCTCACGGCAGGTTAAGTTTATAGTCTAACTATACTATTTATTTTTCCTATTTCTTCTACGGTGTTTTAGGGTTGCAGACCATTTCTAAGGTCGATTTCTGTTCCTGCGTCCAGTCTGGTCTGGTCTCTAACTGGTCCCCCAGACAAGCAGACAAGACGAACTTAATCAAGGGTCCTCCTTATCTGATAGGTAAATCTGACTGATAGGTATCTAATGGAGGGGCTGATGACTCTCTATCCTACATACCTGCATACACACTACCTACCTACATACACTACATACAACCACAGCCAACCTCCTTCACGTTATCCACCGCGCATCTCCTACCTCCCTCCGGAAGGTCGTTGCTCTCTCTTTCTGACGACATGCCAGTCTCGAACTCTTGTCCAAGTAAGCGGTGCCCGTTTCCATAGCCGTTTCTGCTTCTTACCTTTCCTTCTCTCTCTAACTACAACTACACCTAACAACTACTACTATTACCACTACCACTACCACTACCACCACCACTACTACGTGTTCTCCGTCTCCGCCATTCGCGCCAATCCACGCATCCACGGGGAAAACTCCCCGATGGCAAAACCCCGTTATCTCCCCGCCCTACTGAGATTATGGAGGGTCACACCAGGATAGAGTCGCACTGGGAATAGACAAACCTTCTCCGTCGTCGCTGCGATGCGGTTTTAGCATACGCGGAATGGGGCAGCTGCTTCGAAATTCTGCTTTCCGCCTAGAAAACTTGGCGGAGTTCAAATGTCGTATCCCTTTGTCTGCAACTTTGTCTGCAACTTCTTCTACGTGTGTTCCCATTCAAATCCCTTCCTCTCTCGTAGCCACCGGACAATTAGACAGTCCAGGTCCAGCCCCGTTGATGTGCGAGATAGCCAGGAGATCGCACATATCGGCATTAATTAAAGAATGGATATCGGTACTTAGATTATGCGAGACCCTTCCGCCTGGATCTTTGTACCTTAGGTAAAAACTGCAACGGTCTTACCTACCATCTTACGATAGATCTACCAAGGTAAGGGTATCCGTCTCGGTGCAGTTGACATATGAAAAGAGGGGAACCGATATATCACCACTTGACCTTTTGGTGTGTATGGGTCTATTCAAAGACCTCGGACAGTATAGCACCCAAGGTTGTGGAGTTGCGATGTCTTCCCCTCTTGCAAGACCGATTCAAATCAACTTCCAAGGCTGAGGCAAGGAAGAAAAAAACAAAGGACCCTTGATCCCCCACGCAGATCCAGGGTCCGTCGTCTACAAGGCTAGGCCAAGCTACAGCCAAGGCGCCCAATTATACAAGAGAGAAAACCACATTAGGAAGATGGTGGCTTAATAGCTGATGACATATATCTATTTGAGCCGATTCGGGCAGTTTGGCTTGAGTAAGCCGGTGTATGATTGATTACTGTAACCGGACATCCGTCTTATGTTGTAGTTAACATCACCGGACTCCGAAACACGAATGAAGTGTAGGAATCTAGTATTTGCAATAGATCATAAAATGAGTGTTACTATTAAATTATAAGACGATCGATCAGGTTCACGACCGAATTTTAAAAGAAAATATCCATCTACCACGAAGATGGAAGCTCTTAAGCGTCCTAGGTAAGGTAGTATTGAAATAACTTGACGAAGCCGCTCTCGTGACTCTAGTCTTTACTTTAATCCTTACTCTAGTCCTTCTGCCTGAATACCACACTGCTTATTGTTCCGCTAGTAGATGGTGAATGCGTAGTAAATGATCGATGTGCTGGCTCTACACTAATGCCTCAGATGTCGCACTGGAAGAAAGAGCAACCAAGGCATTGTTGATGGGAGGATGTCAAATAGTTCACGACGTAGTTGTGGCATCCCTCTTAGGGTCTTGGAATTCTTTACTAGCTGACGACGCTTCATCAGGGAAGCGGATCGTGCGGCTAGGTAAGGTAGGTGACGGTGTACTGTAGGGCGATCCTGATACTAGCTCCGGAGTTTTCGAACCCGCTTCAAGATTATCTCGAGATTCGACGAGCTCGGTAGCGTCCACCGTAATTCCCGTGTGCTCCGTAATGATGGAACCACCGACCCTATAAACGGGTCACACAGATACGGAGCGAGAGTCGGCGGAGGTATGAGTCGCTGTCCCGTCCCTAGAACGGCTCCGTGGAGTTATTCGTGCACCTATTCGGAAAGGTAGATCCTCAGATGTGGACAAAGTCCTTGAAATAGTTCGAGGGAGGTAAAATCCAAACTTTCCCAGGGGGATACTAAGCCCGTGAACAACCTAACGAGTGATGAGTATGATATCGACATCCGCAGTAAGATAGGACGACACTTACAACGCTGCATATTACCATGAACCAGACTAAGACCGATACACTCTCTTTGAGATGAGCTACATCCCACCTCGCCACATTTCCTTCGTCAGGGTTCAATGTGTCGATGAATTCTAACGTCACGTATAGATAGAAGATGGCCGAACATCCGATTGGCCCAAAGAAACCCATGAAGACTGCCTGTTGGAAACCATTTATCTGAGGGATTTTTTTATAGAATGCTAGGATAAATGGTAGACGCCGAAATAGCAGTATTAAGATTCCGAGTGGGACCAGGCGGTAGATCGGAATGATGCTATTAGCCACGAAACTATGCCACTATATAAGTATGCTCAGTTAGTATTTACTAGTTATAGGAAACATTCGGCGTAACTAATTCAGGAGACTAGTTCTGACAAACGTTACTTGCGTGAGGCTCTGAATCCTTGCATTACAATAAGAGTGAATAAAGAACACAGATATGTACATACCGGGCATACCGCGCCATACCACATGAATATAGTCACGTTGAGAAGCATGTCTATAGTGGGTTGTAGAGAGCTAGAAACAGAAAAGTGGTTAGTGGAGGTTCCGCTGATACCAGGGGGTCGCTCTAGGACATGGAAGAATACATACTAATCCACAGTTAGCACACAGATACGATAACAATAAATTCAATATATATGCGTACGAACCTCATCAAGTGTTTCCAAGCGGAACCAGTCGTCCCAAGTAAAAACGTTCCCGGCAATAAAGCAGGCCAGAATATCATCGCTGCCGATCATACCGCAAGTCCCAGTAATGAAGAGTGCGAGCGAGAATGCGAAGACGAGGAAGCTCTCGCGATCCACGAATTTGTGTTCTTCACAGAAATGAAGCAACTCCTTAGCGATCCAGCCAACGACCGCGCCGTATACCACGCTAAGAAGGATAGTATATCCCCAGGTCTCTCCAAACCATAAGCCTATAGCAAGGCCGGCACCCCCTTGCTCATTTACGCCACCGTCGCCAATGTACTTGATGAGGTATAAGGCAAAAAATAAGAAGGGATATCCGAGGCCATCATTAGCTCCAGACTCCGCGATGATGATCTTCTGGAGGTCTTTGGGGACATTGTGATCAGCGAACCTCCCCTTCACTATAACATTGGACAGTACAGGATCGGTTGGCGTCACACAAGCCCCAATCGCGAGAGCATGAAGGAAAGGCAAGTTTGGCACTAGGCCCCAGACGAGTAGACTTGTTATTATCCACATCGCCGTCATGATCGGCCCTAGAAGTAAAGCCAGCGGTTTCCATTCTTTCTTCAAATACCGACTAGGTAGTTGAACGCCGGCTAGAACAAGCTGGACTCCGAGAACAAGGCGAGTGAAATATAGCGTCTATAATGGAGTGTTAGTTGTGCCGATTTAAATTACAGATGACTCGGGTAATTATAAGACTCATATGTGCTACTTGTCACGGTCAAATCTAATAAACAAGGGGAGCTGCTTTGACTTAGAAGGATGAATCTTGAAGGATCGCTTACGATCGCATTTAAGTTTTCTTCCGAGCCTGCATATTCAAGCGGGCGGACAAAGTTAGCAGCGTGGGGAGAGAAGACGAGGCCAGCCAGGAGTGATATGACTAAATAAACCGTCAGCCCTCTATCTCGAGCATTGTTGAACTACTGTAATACTTACGGGCTTCGGAAAGATAGAAATTCTCCTTGAGAAGGTAAGATACCAGACCGAAGACTGATATCCAGCCACCCAGCACACTAACGATAATGTTGAAGTTGGTAGGGGCGAGAGTCGGCATTGTTAGTTAGAGTAGAGATCAAACTCGGATAGACTGTCAAGTAACTCCTGAATCGTCCTTGCAGCAGCGCAAGGCAAGTAAGCAGTGATATGCCGGTGAAGTGAATGTTATTGAATCATTTGGTTCGGATGAAGTTGCAGTGGACGTCAAGTTAACCGCCACCTTGACTCTATGTACTTATTACAACGAGATGGTTTGAACGATTGGGTTACCAGCGGTATTGGTCTAGGAGGTAGGTACTGTTAGATGCTGCTCTTTCTCTGTCCCAATGAGCAAGATAATCGACTTAGTGATTTAGATATAAAAACATCACTTAAACTCTATGATTAGTTAGAAAAGAGAGATGATGCTCTTGGCAGATAGGTACTTATACCTATCGGTCCATAGATCTGTGAGCGGTGTAAGGAAGAAAAAGAAAGGACATGAAGGACGGCGAATTAAATCAATGGAAGACTTTGGCTGCTTCCGTACTCCACTTATAAATCAACTAACTATCCAGCTATCTAAGATCGGTAACTTCCACGGCTTGGCGCACGGGAACTTCAATGCTTGTTCTTGTTACACAACTAGATAGTTACATAAAAACTGGACATTTGAATCATGTAGTTACCTACAAACCTAAAGATTTAAATTACAGGTACATCTGTAGAACACGGCGTGGTACCTTAGTAGGTAATTACGCATTTCTTACGTGGCAGGTATATCTGATATCTGATATAAAAAAAAGCAAAACTTTCCAATGATATCTTGCTCGACGGAAACCATCTCATATGATTTTGCTTCGGTCCGAGTTCGCTGTGGCTTTCCAGAGTTGCATGTCATGAGATTAGGCATCAAGTTTATACTATTTTTCTTCTATTTTTATTGGAGAGTTTAATCACCGTTGCCCAGAAAAAAAGTAATAATTAGGTAGCGATAGTGTATCATTGTTTATGTATGTATCCTTGTGTGTCAAGGCGGCAGATTATATTATACTGCATTACTAGCCCGACCAGTCGTATCTTGTTCGTAGGAACGTAATAGTTATATCATAAAAACTAATCAACATGAAAATTTAAAGCAGGTAAAGAGAGACGGTACTCCCCTCTGGCTGGTATCATTGCGCGTTACCCGGCGTTAGCATCGTGAGCCTATCGAGGTGCACCTCATGAGCGATGTTCGGATCTTAATATGCAGGTCACCGTGATACACATGTTTACATCATCTGTCTTGCGCCGTTCACGGCGAGTTCGTCTGCCGCTACATTTCCGGCGTCGAGAGCGTGGCCCTTTACCCATTGGAAGAAAGTTTTCGTTCCAGCTTCCGTGCGCTCATCGATCTTAGCCCGGATGGCTTCGACGAGATCTTTATTCTTCACCGGTCCGTCTTTACTCTTCCAGCCATTCTTCTGCCAGTTCACGTACCATTCTGTCGCGCAACTAATCGAATATTTGCTATCCGAGAAGATGCGTATTTTTTGGTCGACCGGTACAGTTTCTAAGGCTCGAAGAATGGCCGTTAATTCAGCCCGTTGGTTGGTTTGTATTTCACCCTGAAGGCGCTCTGAGATATTCCTATGCAGATATACGTTAGTAGATAAACGAAAAGAAAAAAAAGAAAAAAAATCGAAACGGCTTCATAACAATTACCTTTCGTCACCGGGTCCAAAGTAGACGCCAACGCCAGCAGCAGCACCAACACGCCCGTTGGCAAGGCTGCTGCCATCCGTGTAGACGTGTAGGACGTCCTTTTCATCTTCAAGCTGCTTACCGGCATCGCCGCCTGTGGACTTCTTGCGCTTCTTTGAAGAAGGCTCGGCACCTTCATCTCTTAAGAGAGCGTCCTGTGCCGCCTCATTCCCGTGGGTCCGTATGTATTCTATTGCACCCTCGCGAGTATCAAATCTCTTGTATTTCGGACCCTTCCATCCTTTAATCGCAAGCGACGCCGTATCCCAATCGGTGTAAACTCCGGGTTCTCTACCGACAGCCACCGCATAGAATCTTTCTTCGCCCGGGACGGTGGCAGACGTCTTCTTACCGGCAACATACGCCTCGGCGTCCTCCTTGCTGAGGAAAGACTTGTCTATAGAATTATTGTTAGCTCCTTATTTAGCATCTAACGGGTGTCCGGCTTACCTACAGGAAGCACCTCTGAATCCCGCGGTCTGCTCCTGGCATTCCGCCCAAGTTAAATAGACACCCGGGTTTACTCCAGCTCTTACGGCATAGTATTTCTGGGCATCGGCATCCATCTTGCGTTTCCTACTAGTCTTGGCCGCGGTTGTATTAGCGGGTTGCGAAGCGGATTTCGACGCTTGACCCTTCTTCGTTGGATTTATCGGCATGTTGAGTGACGGAAATGGTATCGGAAATGGTATCGGAAATGGTATCGGAAATGGTATATCTTTAATAAAACCTAACGCGATTTCACTTGGCCATAACAGCCCGCAGGATCCCGTAGATATAGTAAGTTGTCGTACTTGTTCGAAACACGCGGCTTTGTTGCGGAGAACAGGAGAGTAACAGGTTGCTGCGGAAGCAAAGGTGCGTTTAAGGCGGTGTCGGAGGAGTCAAAGGAGTGTCATTTTCATTGAAGACGGGTAATTAAGACCCCCAAGAGAGGATCAAAGGTGGCGTCCGTTCTCGTCAGAGCTCTCCCTGTCTATTCTTTCTACGATGCGAACAAAATGCAAGTACATGTAAGTCTTGGGGAAGAGGGGAATCCTCATCAAAGCAGTTGGCCTCAGTCATTGCATACCCGTGGGCATACGAAGTAAGTAAATTCATTTTAGGTACTTTAAGAGATAAGATAAGACGTTATCCTACATAGTCAGGTACGGATTAGCATGTCCTAGCTTTTAGGTTCCCACTTTGGCGGCTCGTTGGAACCGCTCACTCGGGCCTACCAATGCCTAACGATTTATCCCCTTTATGTATATATCCATCAATCGTGTATAAACATCATAGGAGGTAGGTATAGATTCGCATATACCTACCTAACCTTGGGTAATGCTAATCACGGAGACCAGCCAAGGTATTTTGATAATTTCTTGCCATTAGGTATAGCATACATGACGATCTAGCGTCGGTCCAAAAACATACAACGAATATCCTTTGACCTCTGTCATCAAGGACTTGCCTATGCTGATCAGGTTCGCGGTCCAACTTATACATAAAATGTCTTGAATAAAACGGGATGCATATGATGCCCTAAGTGTAGTTCCCTTCATAACCATGTAACCATGTAACCACGAGACGCCGCGCCTTTCAGTAATGCCAATTCCGGCAAGGGGACTACCTAATTCCTCTGCTTGCCTCAAAACCAAACTCCGTGGATGCGTAGGGGGGTTTTACTGAAAAATATTTATGCGTGCAGGTGCGCATCGACTGGCAAGCTCTCAATACTGTCCGATTCCCACTCCCAGCCCAGGAGAGTCCAGTTTAACTCCTTGCGCCAGTGAAGTCCAAGGCCTTGACCTCCACCACATAAGCCTTCCCCACAAGCACCAGAGGCTCCGCACATATCGTAGCCTCGATCCTCGGAGCTCATACCACCTGTTAGCGGCATGCGATGACGAAAGACGATCCGGCCCATTCGGGAATGTAAAATTGCCATGGCGCACATTGTGCACGGTTCATGGGTCATGTACAGCTCAAGCTCATGACAGAGGTAACCATCAGGGCAAGGGTGGTCTTCGTCGAATACTAGCTGCTCATCGCTAAGCAGAGGCTTGTCTTGGAAGGCCTCAAAGTCCACCATCTTCTGTTCAGATTTGGGTCGATCCTCAGCCCTCACTAATTTCTGCGCCACCATGCTGATAGCCCTGAGTGCTGCATGAGCCATAGGGTTTCCGATACGTCCCGTCTTCTCTTGTTGGTGCCAACGAGCATCGGCCGCGATGGCAACAATCTGGGTCGTCTCTTTTGCCTCGGGATCCGATTTGGTAGAGTCCTGGGCTTGGGCCTCTAAGTTTGAGGCATCCGGCTGTTTGACGTCCTGTACGATACCATCAGGCACCTCAGCAGCAGCACCGTGTGCAATTCCATTCACACCTTCATCAGCTTCGGGACGAGAATTGCAATTGTCACCGTCGGCCCCCGCACCCTCGCCGTTGGAAAAGTCGGATTCTCTAGCGCCTTCTTTTAGGGCAGTTTGTTTTCCAGACTCATTCTTTCCGGGTATCGTACGCTTGACGATAACAGCGCCGATAGGCTCTCCATAACCGGCTTTCTGTGACTTTTTGGCGATCTGGTGCGCCAAGGTCATCCATACGGAGGCGTCGCGGGAGACAACCGCCTCCGTTCGAGAGATAGTACTTGGGTGAGGGCCAAGGGGGTTATTCTTCCTGTAGACCGTCTGCCAGAACTGTTGTGACCACATGTTGGCCTGGACCTGAGAAGTGGGTGCCAATAAAGGAACAGGGATTGTCCCTACAAAGATGTCATCCCTAATGTCATCAATGTTGGCGAGACCTTTCACCAGTTCGTCGTAGGACATCTCATCCTTAGGACCAAGCACGATGTAAAGCCAGTTGGATTTCCCAAGATGAACCTGTCGTCCATTGCCTTCATTCATGAACTGGGTCTTGAGATGAGGTGGTATGTCGGCGGGCTTGACGCACCGACGCAGGTGAGGGAGGTTCTTAGCTGCATCATCACCAGCTAGAGCTCGGGCAATACTATAGTAGGTGGTGTTAGCTTGTGGTATAATTCATAGGGGAAGCAGCCAGACTCACTTAACAACATCGTTAGTGACTTTATTGGGAGCTCGCGTGACATAGGCTAAACCGAGCGAAAGGTTGTCTCTCAGTTCGAGTATAGTCTTAAGAGGTACTAGAGTTCCCAAGGCAATATCGGGAGGGATAATATGTCGGGAGACGGGGTCGAGCGCCTCGACAACTTCCTTCATGGAATCGCTCATAGCGGTAACCCCCGAGACAAGGCGTCAAGTTTGTTTAGGTGCCGAGTTGAGCTAGACTGTAGAAAGATGACCACCAATTAGAAGTGCAAGTTTGAGGTAGGAAAAAGTTGGGTGTGGGCGCAGGCAACAAGGCAATTTTGTTAGGAACTGCGAGGTTGGTTGCGAGGTTGGTGTAGTAATTAGAGCGATGGCCAGCCGAAATCCAAGAATCGATGGATCCAGCAGGATCAGATTAAACGAGAGAATTGATCAAAAATGAGGTTGATGTGAGAGATTTCAGCATTGTGCTGGGAAGTCGGGAAATGCATAGACTGGTGGAGAGGCATAGGCTGCGCTCTAGGAAGATGCTAAATATTTATTTCGTGTCTGAGTCGAGGAAGCCAAGAACCGCGCGATTCTCAGGTCGGTCGAAGAGCACTGTCCGATTTCGAACCTTCGCGGTTTCTAGTAGGCTTGTATGGTATGTCAGTCTTTTACGTATGGATGGTTGAGGAAGCTTGTAGTTGCTCTGTTGTTGTGATTTGAGTGTAGAAATAGTCGATGAGTTAAAGTTGAACCCTTGCAGGTACGGGCTGTTGATCCACTTCATGAATATGGAGGTGGGTCGTACCTGCCTACAGAGACTTGGTGGGGTTTATCGATAGAGCCTCTGTAAATTATAGGGTCCTACCTTACGCACTAAATACTTTACAGTTACGGAATAGACTTCGCTGCCTTTGGTACAAACATAAAGGGCTGAGTCAAGGAAAGCATGTTCGTGTACGTACCTTAAAGAGTGTTATGGAAATTGACGTTCTACAATATACATACATGTAGGTATACAATTTTGTTTTTTGCTGCAATATGACAACATCTGTAGCTGTGTGATTGGTCAATCCTTTCTGTTACTCTTAACGTCTTTAGTGTAACATAAAGGCCAATCGGAATTCAATGAAAGTCTTATATTTATTATTGGGTTGTACTCCTTGCCTGCTTGTGTGAGCGTATATATGTCATAGGTACGCGTATGTAGAAGCCCAGGGCCCCAGCTCTAGAGCCTCAGATTTGCAGATGTGTTTGATAATGTGAAGATCAGAGCCAACTCTAAAATCGCGAGACGATCGCGAGACGATCACGGCGTGCTAAAGACTTTAAAAGTCTATCTACGTACCTAGCATACACTATATTATATATATGGTGTAGATACGGAAGTCCCCATCAAAAGTTTTGTCCATAGGCCAGCCCTTGTTAGCTTTTGACCAGCTTTAACAGGGCTTGGCAACAGCTGTAGGCCATTAAGCGCATGTACTATCCATATTACACTACTTTCGTTTATACATAAGTAATAACTCAAAATCTTCTCCTCAAACAATAAAAGTTAAATAGGTGTATAGAGCAGCTTTTAGTCTTACAATAGGTCTAATTTTAATGTTTTCATTAGCATATTGAAGCTAAAATTGGATGTTATAAAAGCTAAAGTTTTGTATACGTTTATAATCTTGGTTGCCGCATGGTGTCAGGTCCTAGACAGCTGCATCAAAAGCTATCAGGTGGCACGTATAGACAAAACTTTTGATGGGGACTTCCGTATAAGTCTAACAATTATAATAAGCCCAACCATAGTACGATAGTTCAGAGATAACATTACATATACGATGATATGGCGCTTTTCTCAGGTGAGTCTAATGGGCTGAGCATGGTTAGACTTCAACCCTATGATAAGGAGCTCTCAACTCTTAGCATTTATATTTCCGACCCTATCATCTCGTCTCCATATAATACTGTATACATGCATCATATTCTCTGCTGTGCTTACGCAAACACTCTCTATCACTAGGTCAAAGCAAAGCATATAACTGGGAGGTTCTTATGCTAGGGATGCCGGGTTTAATTGCTACTGCAAGGCTGATAGTTAGGACGATGATTTGAGTATACGCGAGTACGAATCCGTACGTTGCATCCTAGCCAACATTACCCTTATCTCCCCTCCCCCCTATTTCCCCGCGAATACTGCGCTCCTGATCCAACACGTGGGGTCGTTATTCTCCAAGGCGACGTTTGTGAGGTATTTATTGGAAGGCGTCTGCACACTTACCCACCTTCTTAATAGCTCAGAAAATATATTCATGACGAGTCTAGCTAAAGTGCAGCCTGCAGAACTACATAGTCAGCATATCTTCCCCAGCTTTTACGTTGCAGTATGTCGTCGGTCTGGCACGTTAGGTATGAGCGCGATGAATACGATATATGGAATATGTAACCGTCGCGGCCATGTGACTAGGCTTAAAGGCGGGCTAAGGTAACAGTTTCTGACCTTCGAGATATTACATACACGCGAGCCTATACTAGAGTTGCGGAGAGTTGTAGATTGGAATGCTGTTCAACAAAGTGCGACCCAGTTTTAGAATGTCAACCCCACGACTATTGGATCTTAGGAGTATGCTGATCTCAGATCGTGAGGGGTTTGCTGACAGGGTTTGCTGGGCGTTCCTTGGGGAAATATTGGGGTATCTGTTTTCAGCCCCCCGGGGGTTACTCGGGCGTGAGACATTGTCCGGTCAGACTCTTATATCATGTCTATGCGTTGAACCCAAAAAAGAACCCCTCGCCAAGACGGATCTCCGGTAAATCTCTCATCCTATGTATACCTAAGGATAAACTACCTAGCTTATACTGTGGCATTGCGTTACCTATATGTCTAAGCCCGTCTCGGCGCCGAGGTGAAGACAATAAAGAATTAACTTGGAAATTGGGATAAGTTGAGAGATATCGCCAGGTTCGGAGTTATGTTGAGTAGGGTGGTAAGTGGCTAAGTGTAAAGGGGGCCAGAACAAACAAAATCCAAGACTTGATGAGGAAATATGGCGATCGATTCGCCGGTTTTCGCTCTCTTACGCCTCCGCGCTCACAAACAGCTTTGATATGTGTAATCCCCGTTGCGCGATAATTACGTTGCAGGTACTGATCCAGACACCACTCTAGGATTTTGATGTCAGCGAATCAGTCGCATTAGCACTTACATGGCACACATCCTAAAAGCCTCTTCCGGTCGCAATACTTAGGGATCCAATAGCAATTAGTCTGAACGGATATGATTGCTCTTCATAGTAATGGAGATATATAGTTACCAATTTTAAAGGTTGAGATGGATGGTTATGGATGCGCGGTTTGTTGGAGAGATTACATACTTGGATATGTACTTGAGTTGTACGGGACACTTATACACTTACACACAATAATTTCTTATACAATACTGCCCTTCTCCTCCCCCCACTGGCTTTGGAAGTTGGAATCTCCATAAGTTGACGACTACTACTCAAGTGCCTACCTATTCAGTCTAAGCCCTGTTCCTTAGTCCAAGCACTCACTACCTACCAATCATCTGAAGACTAGAACGTGGGTTTGACTAGTTAACTTATTGTTACACCCTATTAAACTTTTGGGTGGTCTTAGATCCGCCTTGGCCCTTAGCCATCAAACCAAAGAAGTAGCAGGTAGGAACAGAAATAAAAGGCCGCCGTCCCTGCAAGAAAGCCAAGCCCCTGGACTTATTTATCTTCGACGTCAAAAGCATTCGGATTTCCAGCCTCACCAGCATAGCTTCTCTTGGCCTCATATCGTAGAGGTCTGCCAAGATTAAAATCGGACCAACTGTTGAGCGCAGCCCTGTGGTTGACACTGACCCTGATCATATATTACGACGACTTGCAAAAAAGACGTAAGACGTGTGAACGTTAGAACGTCAGAACGGCAGGACGTCAGACAAACAACGCCGCAACCGCTAGAAAACAAGTCTCAAGACGACATCATAAAGTCCACAACAGCCCACTTACGCCCACCTCAATCGACCTCAATCGACCTGAATCCACCTTGTCGGCCCACAGATAGAGGAGAGGGAGCCACTATTTCCATTCGTTTCTTTCTCTGACAGGGAAAAAAAAGGTGATATCAGAAGCTGTCGAACGAGGCTCAAGAAGACTGAAACTGAAAATATTAAGCTGCATCGGTTACCTCGGTCGCTTTATTCTCGGCCTTCACCTTTCACCTTTAAATTTTACCGTCATCGATCGTCGATACCATTCCTTCTTCATATCCCTTCTCCTTGGCATATTCATACGTGGGTGTTGGTACGACCTGCAGTTCTCTATCGGACCTGTTTGGGGGGAATGACGTGAAGCGACTGATACGAATATTGTATAAAAATTTATTTTTTTACAGTACCGAAAATCATTAAGCGACCTATTAGTGCGGTGCCAGAAAACCGACAAGACGGGTAGGACGGTCAGAAGCTCCTGTCAATTGGCAAGCCCAGCGTCCTTTTTGGGGCATCTTGGGGGGGAGTGTGCAGCAACCTACTGCATCATTACACTCTGTTCCAGCACTACCTTACTTTCTAGACTCATCCGATTCGCCGATCTCGCAGCCTCCCACCCTTCTTTCCCCTATATTGGACGGTACTGTATCTCTTGGTATTGTACTGTCTGCGCTAGCAATCTACGCTAAAAAAAACCTTAAACCAGCTAAGGCTAAGACCCTGAAAAGTCCGGAAACAAGTCGCCTGGAAAATTGGAAACTATGACACCCCGTCTTCACGTAAAGGGAACTGGCCCTTTGGAAGTTGTTGTGCCGTTTGACTGCAGCAATTCTACGCCTCACCAATATTTTCCTAGCTCACAAGGTACGTCTTCGATACTTTTGAAAAAAAGCACTTGATATTCTCCTCATTACATTCAATATTACCTAACCTTAGTCCAAGTACCCAATTCTTTTATTATTATTTTTTCTTCTTCTTTCTTCCTGGTCATCACTAGTCCTAAACAACACATGCAAAGCACCTGTTACATCATCCCACCTCAGATTCTCTTTTAATCCCTGTTATTTGCGAGATTGCATAAATAGCCACCGCTGCTGCATTTCCCTTACCTAGACTTGGCGTTCCAAACTCGGCGCCCCGATAATCGGTTGCATTTACTGCAATTACTGCAATTACTGCAATTACTGCAATTACTGCAATTACTAAATTAACCAACTTTTTTCTCCTTTAGATCGCAAACCTGCACGAAGACCATCACAATCACAACAATCATCGCTTGCAAGAACGGCGATGAACAATCAACATCAGCGTCAAGTTTCTAATTCAACGATCCCTCGATCTATACCTACACCACCAGAGCAAATTATTGCGACCGAGTCTAATCCTCCAACCACGAGCTTCGACGCCGCCCTGGCTACCGTCTCAAGAGATGGCGCATCTGCATCACCACCAACTCCCACTTCCCTAAATGGTGACGGTCC